TGTGAACGGTCGAGTTGTTACTGCTGCTGCTGCCACCCTTGCCGTTGCCTGCGGAGGGACCGACCTCTCCCTTGAGGGGGTTAATGAGCTCCCACTCAATTGCAAGGTTCCGTGTCCGCCGGACAACGTAGACATCAGCGCTGGAGGCCCATTGCGTGAGTGTCGGGTCGTGTTCCCCGCCAAAGTGGACCATGGGCTCCTTTCCTTCCGCGGCGCGCTCAAGATGTCGCGCAACGTGCTCCATGCGTTCGTCCCAGGCCTGCGGTCCGGTGAAGTCGTGTCCGCAGTCGACGGCGGGGCAGCGCATGTATCTTGGCAGATCGCAGCGGATCTTCTCTGCGTCCGTCTGGAGACTCTTGAGGTGCTCGTCCCAGTCGGGGGTAGGCTTCTTCTGCTTCTGGGCCTTGCGCACATGTGGCGGTACGTGCATGCGGCGGACGTGTTGTGTGTAGAGATCTTTGCGGTTGAAGATGGCGCCGTTTGGCAGGGCGGGTGGTGTCGGTGTGACGGAAGAGGAGGAAGAGGAGGAAGAGCGTCGGCTGGTGGGAGGGTTGGTGGTTTTGGAGCAGCCGTCTTGCTCGCAGAGCCAGTACTGGAGAGCCAAGTGTTGAGAGCTTACGTGACGCTTCCATTCATTCTTGCTGGCAAAGGTGGATGGACAGCCGGCGTAGTTGAAGACGCACACAAAGGGGCGGGTATGGTGTTGCTTCATGTGCTTCTGGTGGGTGCTCTCATCGGAAAAGGGGGTGTTGCACTCCTTGCAAAGGATCTTGGGGCTTCTCATTGACGAAAGTGTTGCGTTTAGTCTAGTTGAAGAAAGACTACCAATGTCGTTGTTGATTTTCGACCGCTTTCGTTCATGAGACGAACCGGAGGGGCGAGCCTGGGATCTGGCCGTGGATTTTCGGGAGCGTTTCCTCGAATGCTTGGGCTTGTAATCCAGGTCCTTGTCGTCGTCGGCGGCAAGAGGCTCGGCCTTGATCTCCGGTTCGAGGATGCTTGTGCCGCTCGATTCAGGGTCTGGGTAGTTTGGATGGAATGGTAGGTCGGCCATGGTTGCCTCCTGTTTGATGATGGGCTCTGGAGTGATTTGCCGTGACGAGAAAGTCGAGTGCTGGGCAACACTGGCCTCATCGGACTCTGAGCAGCAAAAGCTAAAGGTTGCGGCACTATCAAAGGTCGTTGGGACAACCTCTTTCTCAAACATGTCGTTGACCTCGTAAGGATTGACACAGGTATTCCCTTGCACGTCCATGCCAAACAGCGCGTGGGACTGGAGTTGGGTTCCCCAGCTTCCAACGAATTGCTTGTGCTGCAAGAAAGGAGAAGTGGACGAGTAGTCCGGGGGAGTTGCGGGTAGGACGTCACTCTCCGTGGGTGGGCTATGGGAATCACTGCTCGACAGCGTCTGCTGGGAACACGGGGAACCGTGTCTCCTTTGTGAAGCCGGAGGTAGAGGGTTTGACTCCTTGGCAGGTTGGCTTCCTTCAAGCAAAACTTGGGCATGGTCAGGAACGAAGAAGGCTGTTCGTGGTCCATCCATGTATTGCTGAATCTGGTGGGTTTGGTGTGTCGGCCATGGAGTTTGGCATTGCGAATGTGAAAAGGATACAAAACTAGGGTCAACTGGTGCCGGGGAGCTCGAGGTCGTTGAACTTCCGAGGTAAGCCATGGGCATCTGGCTGTAACTCTGTTCTTCGTAGTAAGGTACCTGGTCCTGAGAGAAATGTCCTCCTTGGACATTCTCGTAGTAGTAGGCCATGTTGTATGCTTGGTCAAGATGGAAGTTTCGAGGTTACAGTGGTAGTATACTCCAATGGGTCAGGGCAGCACCCTGGATGTGAACCTCCTCGAAAAGGCAAATGGTAGCGGATATCCAGGTGGGAAAGGCGTCGTAGTATTGGTCCGATCGTGATAGGGGATTTCTCGAGAACCAGACCAAAGGGCTATGGATGTTGGAAAGTTGAAGGATATGCTGCAGACTTAAACGAAAGGAAGAGGCAAGTTATAAGTGAGTGAACAGTGCAACAAGTGTAGGGATACAGAGAGTTGCTGTTTTCGTGCTTGGTCTGAACAGCAAGAGACACGATAATGTCATCGGAGACCTACAAGCGTGGCGGAGCCTGATGTATATAAGCCATAACGTGGATAGGCATATCGGTAGCACATTGAATTGCGCCAGGGCAGTCACCCAGGCATACCAACAGCAAAGGCCCTGAGGGGACAGAAGGGAACCCCCGAACAGCACGGGGTACGTACTTGCAGAGCCTCATGTGGGTTTTGAGAGCCAGCGAGAGTTGAGAAGGAAGAGGCAAGGATTTGCGGTGGATGGCCATCATCATCAGGCGCTGCAGAGCGCATATGCACACACCTGGAGCCAGGACTGTGGCAGGGAATACGTGTGGTGCGGGCTGGCACACCATCAGGGACTAGTCTTTAGTGGCTGCAGCAGATGTATGTATCTTTCTGTACAAAATTATACAGTTCTTTCTGTTCTGGTTGGTCAAGCTCCTCTTTGGGGGCCGCTGGTTCGCGAACCACTGTTCGGTCAAGGGGCCAGCAGATGGAGGGTGGTGTTGAAAAAGGGTGGACAAGAAGAGCGCCAGGGCTGCGGCTGCGCCTGGCTCGTCTTCCGACCTCACGGCCGATGGGGCGAATAGGTCGGTTTAGCTATGGCATCCGTTGCCTCTAGGCAGATACCGCTGGGTCGCCTTACTCGAGTTGCCTTATTTCCAACAAATGGGCGATGACCTCAAAGAGCCATCTCCAAGGCTCGTCAGCGGATTGCAGTGTCAGTGCATGCGAGTCGACTGAACTCGACAACGCAATCCTCGACAGATGCGTCAACAGTTGCGAGACATGCTGTCTATCCCAACCCTTCTTTTGACTGCTTCAGCCGCCGCCACAGAGAGGTTGTGTCTGTCAAGAGCGCACTGCGGACGTCACTGACGATCCTTGTTGGGGATGACCGGTCAGCTGTGGTTTTGCGATGTAGGCACTTGGACCGTGATAAGTCAGTCCTCCACAGTCCAGGTAGTTGATCCACTTCAGCAAGACTGAGCCAGGGTTCCGGACAATGTCGAGTGAGATATCCATCTGTACGACGTAGTGTTGGACCCTCTCATTTCCATGGATGATGGCCCAGGTCGAGAAGATGCTTGGCTTGCTTGGATGGTGTCAAAGGGGTCAAAAAGGAAGATGTGTAAAGGAGGCGTGTGCCGGGCGTTCCGTTGAGGAATGAGGAATGAGGAGTCGGTCGAGATACTTGGCTTCTCCGCAATATCTTTACCAGGTAATGGTAGACATCCCTGACTGCCTAGACGGTAAGATGTATACCGAGCGAGGGTCTCAGGACGGCATAGAGGTGCGCCATGGTAGAGATGATGGGCGAAGAGATTAGAAGGGAGCGCGCACTCGCGCAGGAGAGAAGCAACAGGGGAGTGATGTTGGGATGGGAGGTTCTGAATAGCGCTTGGCTAGACTGTGTCTTGGATCGGAGGATGTCAGGGTGTCAGAATGTAAATCTGCGGTGACACGGTAGACGGTCTACCTTGAGGTGGTTCATGGTTGAAGATGACAGATGCTAGGTTGGCATCTAGGGGCCCTTCGCGGTGGAGAGGGGCGGACAGGACTCAACCTCGTAGGTAGTAGCACTGGGAAGTTGACGGATGGAGGAGGCATGGGGCAAGACGGAGACGGGGAGTGGAACGGACGGAGCTGGTTGTGAGTAAGGTGATGAGGAGAGAGAGAGAGAGAGAGAGAGACATAGGAGAGACAGACAGAAGGAAAGACAACAGCTTAGGGTTAGGTTGTAGATTGTGAGCCAAACCTTGTGTAGGTACGTATCAATACCCAGGTAGGCCTAGTCGATAGTAGGCATCGGAAGGTACACACCTAAGGGCCGGAGTAGAGACTTGAGAGTGAACACTGAACACTGAGCACTGAGCACCTCAGTTGACAACGGGCAACGTAGGTATCGCATCGCGCAGCTGCGCGAGAGTGTCGCTCGCTCGACAAGTCCAGGCCATTGGTCTCATGGGCCCATGAGGCGTACTCCCAAATAAGGCAGCCGCAGGCTGACTAGCGCAACTTGCAAAAGGACTGGGCATATTACTGGTGAAGGTGGGGGAGCCATCGAGCCAGACGGGAAGAGATTTGAGAGAGGAGAGTCGAGCAGAATTTCAGATACGGACCCCACCAGACCTTCAGAGTCGCTCTATGGAGCATCAAGCATCGAGTTACAAGCATCGGGTGTGCAGGGGGGGGGGTCAGCGTCGCTCTTTGGGTGGAAGGAGCAGACTCGCAGAGACACCGACAATCTGAGGTATCCGTACCTTGAGTATTTGAGATGAATGGACCGGGCAGTGGGCAGGTATGAGGTGGTGACGATGTATCCGTACCAGTATCTACGAATAGGTAGGTAATCCTTCCTCTCTCTCGAGGCCTGTGAAAGATGGCGCCTTCTCGGTGCAACTTGACCACAAGTTCGTTCATTGCCTGGAGTATTGAGTACTATTTACTCTGGAAGGTACCAAGGTATTTGCGAACTGACGGGCAGGCTTTACGTAAGGCAAGGAAGGTGAGCTAAGCAAATGCTACGCAGCGTGACAACTTCAATGTCCTTACAGTGTACGTACCTCAGTGCTTGCTCTCAGCCACTGGGCAGAAAAACAACGAAATCCCGACATCCCATCCCCTCACTTCTTCCCGCCCTCGCAACCCGCCAAGGGTACGTGTTTCTTGTGTAACCTCCAAGCCTCCTGTCATTACCATGCCTCTCATCCACTCAACCTTTGACTTCGCTATCAAAGGACGGGACCGTCCCGCAGCAAGCTCCATCTACCTTACCATGCAACATACCCACAACTTACAACGCCCAGCCCGTTTTAAGGCAAGCCATTCGGCCAACGGGCTTACACTGGCACGACTGGGGAATCTGGATCTGCTTCCATCCCACGGTACCACGGGTACCCCTGTGCTCTTGCCTTGAAGCCGTCTCCACGTCCCACGAGGTCCAAGTAGGTATCTGCCCGGATATAGCAAACCGGACGAACAGACGGATTGACGGCGCCACGCTAAAACGGAGACTAGACGCAGATATTCGGACTGTCATTCTGTGCCCCACAAACACCGACGACCCCCGAATATTATTGATATTGCCAACAACCCTGCCCACTGGCTAATGGTCCATCACCATCACCCATGGAGTATGGATTCCCTCATCGCTACATCTCGAAACACGCTTCCCTATCTGCGGAATTTTTCATATCACACAACGAATGGAACCCCAACTACGGATGCCACCCCCGGTATTTAGCTCCCACTCCTCATCGCCAACACGCCGCTGCGACTCAGCGAGAGAATGTGGTTGGCCGTGTCTACCTCCCGGCTTCAGTGTCCCAACGCGTCACATCCACTACGGATTCCACCCATTTTGGGGCAGCTTTCACACACCATTTCACTGCAAAGATGGCGTGGATCCACCAATACATCAGCAAGCCACCAAGCCTCTGCTTCTTTCAGAAAGAGCGAATCTTGGCATCTCACGAGGCCCAGGGGCTCGCCTAACGATCGTTCCTTCGCTCCTGTTCCCGCTCTTGTCCCGTCCTCTCCTCCCAGTCAACTGGTATGTTACCAATACGATTACCGTTTATGGGTACGGTACACACGCAACCGCGCACTCTACGCTCTACAACGGACGTTGGATATCTGAAGAAGATCCCTCTACACGTGTACGGGTACAGACGGTGATACGCTAAGTATTCAGTTACCCTGGACATGAGAAGCACACACCAGCACCCGACTGGGCAATGTGCGAAGCGTCGGGGGATCGAGAACCCTGGCTCCTTCGGACTTGCCTGTCGATCTTTCGTGGGACTCGACCGACATCGCCGAAAACAAGATCAGTATCCGTAGTAGTACGCTGCACTGGAGAGAGTTGAGACCTACCAACAACCAGAGCGCTTGTTCGCGGAACTGCCCGCAAAATGGCGCGCCGTTGCTCGCTTCGTCCCTGCCCCGGACGTGCGGTCTCATCAACAGCAGGCAGCCGATCAATGTAATTTTCGCCATGGTTGGTAACTGGCCGGTATCCAGCTTCCTCGCACGATTTCGATTCCAGGCTTCCAAGGCAACTACTTGCTCGAAAACTCCTCGTAGGTGTGGCCCAGAGCACCGTCAAAGATACTTGCCTGCCGGGGCGGCAACAAAATACCTACAAGGTTAGGGGTCTCTGTTGTCAGTGGCTTCATCTCTCATCTCAGGGCTCATAGGCTCCTCTCTAGACCCCAACGTCTAGAACAAGGATGACACGGCGCAGACTTCATTGGTTAGCCAAGCCAAAGCTGAACACGAAATCACTAACCCGCTGGAATCCATCATCGTCCCCAGACACGAACCATGTCAAGTCGCAACAGGAGCCAGCCCCGCTGAATCCTTGTTTTCGCATCGTTTCACAGGTATCCGCAGACAAATCTCAAAAAATGAGCTCGCACATTGCTCAACCTCGACGATCGCAAGACGAAGCGGTAATGAGCCATGTCTTTCAGATTTGCGGCTGGGAAAGACTCTCAGTCTGAGCAAATTGTGCCTTAGCAGGTCTATCCTGAACTGATGTCTTGAGTCCCGGATTCACGCGGGTCTTGCAGCATTGCGCGCTTGAGTTGCACGCGTGAGTTTGGAGGACTTGCGCAACTTGCGCGGAGGCAACTGCTGAAATTGGCGCGGAGTGTGCGGCAATTCTATTCCTGTACGCAAGACTGCATGCTTGACACCAATCCACGCCAATGACGCCAAAGCCCTCTTCTGGGGCCTTGTTCGCTAATTAGGCATCGGAATTCTGAGACCTGCTTGAGCTTCTTCGATTCACACCAACCCCTTGCCTCTCGAATCAGCAGACCAGAAACGAGATAGATCTTGGGCAGCTCTAATCACTTCTACTCGGCAAGGCGTAGTCGTGTTGGTGGTCAAATGTTCTATTATGAAACGATCTGCAAGCATCTACGGAGAAGGATTCTCCCAAAGGAGACAACACGCCCGTGGTGGTTCCAGCTTGTTGGTCCAAGACAACTTCGACAGATGATCCAGATCGAGGCCGTCGTGTTCACTTTGCGTTGACGCTCTCAAGGATATTTCATCATCTCACGGTTCTCTTCCTAGTGGCCCCCTGCAGATGGCCTGACCGAAGTTGACGCTGTAGGGTTTCTATCAAGGCCCATCAAAAGTAGGACCCCCGTGACATTCAGACTTCGGATTCCTTCCGGGGTCGAGACAGGCCTGGTTCTTCTTATGGCCGACGACGAATGACCAGCAGATAACGGCATGCGAAGCTGGCCTTGCTCATTCACCTAGCGATGGGACATCAATGTGGGGACACCCATCGTCATTGCGTGAGTTTGTTGGATGCGGATCGGCGGGATCCATGACAAGAGCTGACATATCTAGGCTTGCTATTGATGGTTTGGAAATTGGTCTTCCTTGAGACCGGCTTTAGGACCGGCTTTAGACCAGCTTTGAGCTTTGAGGTAACAAGTTAGTACCAACCCTCGCATAACGCCCAACAAGGCGATCGCCCATTGTCTCAGGACTGCATATTTACTATTGGTCCAGGCCCAGGCCGACCAACGTATTTATTCATAATTGTACTGGTTGAGTATTAATATCGTCTCCCACCGGCGGCTACTGCGAAAATATATGCTCACTTATTCTCAGCTGTTGTCTGGTTGTTGGAAACAACCCTGCAGCCATATTTGATTGATATCGGATCTTACGGCCGTTCCCCATATCCAGGCTCCCAGCAGCTCTACGGCTCGACTGAGAGTGTGAACCGTCGAATCTAAGTAGCCGCGATGACACAGAACGCGAATCCTGACAACACGTTGTCCCACATGCAACATTCTGCATCTACTCAACTTCCTCGGCTCCCTTTCCCTAAACGACCAGCAAGCCACCTCGAAACATGAAGCATTGGGAACGCACGCCCATAGGGAGAGACACACACATACACCCCCTCCTCTAGATCTAAGCCCAGGGCTGAGAAGATTTCGGGGGGGGAGATGAGAGAAAGCAAGTATGCACAGCCACGTCTTCTATAGACTATCTTCCACGAGGCGTGTTGCATGTACATCACTGCCGTCCCCCTGCCTTGAACTGTTTGCTTGCTGCTTCGGACTTGTCTGCGCCTTTCCCGACCTTCAACCTTGCCCTGCCCTTACCCTGCCCTGCCCTGCCTTCGCCATGCCTTTGGCGGCTGCCCCCCCCCCCCCCCCCCCCCCCCACGCCCCCCGGCTTCGGCAGGTTACACAGCGTGGGTCACCCCTCCGTACAGGGCAATGGTTCGATTTTGGAATTCCGGGCCAATACCAGGCTTTTTGCTTCCGCTGAGGCTGGGCCAGCCTGTCTTGCGGACCCCAAATGTCCGCACATGGAGGCCCCGGGGGGTAGCAGCCTAGCACGGATGACGGGTAGGTTATCTTTTACAAGGTGTGCCTGGCATGCCTGGGTGATGGAGGGGAGGGAAGGCGCAAACAGAGACGGTGCCGAAGAAGTCGTGTCGTGGGTGTCAGATGTGAAGAAGCGTAAGATCTACAGAGATGGAGGGGGGTGTCTGATAAACTTTGCTCCAGCCGTAATAAGTAATGGTGGTGGTGGTGGTCAACCAGTCCTACGGAATCGGAGCAACGTGTGAGTGAGCAAGGGTCCTGGGGACCTGGACGGGAATCCGTAGGAACGAAAACGCCGTATGTTCAATGGCGCGCAGCCTCTTCTTTGACACGGAATTTGTCAGGAAGGGGAGAAGCAAACATCAATTTACTCCGTACCCAAAGCCCAGGTTCTGGGACCGTTGCCGTCGAAGAAAGGCCCGGCATCCGTTCTACGCGGCTACAGGAGCTCTCCTTCCACTGGTTCTTGAGCTCATACCCCTGGGATCTCTTCTGCCCCCCTAGAACGGCGGCGTTAGCCGCTGCAGGACGAAGGGTGACCTTTGAGTTATTTGTGCCTCTCCTTCTATTGCGATCCAGGTTCTGGACGAGGCCCATGGAGGACATGTTGAAAAAACGAGCTAATATCTGGTTCCAGGGGTTCTGCTTACTTACATGGTAATTAGTTCTTGCCAGGTATACTCCATACACACAGACAGACACACAAGTGCCGTTGTCATAGACATGGATGTCGTATGGCCATGTGGTAGGCACTCTCCAAAGACTAACCAAGGGCTGAGGATGAACGGAACACTCGGCAAGGGAAGAGAGTGCAACGTTTGATGAAATGCTGACGCCGAATGTACGGATCTTGGGAGTGAAATTGAAGGTAGGAAATCATTGTTGACAGGCGCTGCCTGAGACGCCGTTTCCTGTCATCTCCTCTCTACTATAATGAGAAAAATCGGAAATCCAATACAGCCAAGCATCGGTCCAAAGATCTGTGGCCTTGCCAAATCCAAGCAAACAAGGGGGAATCATTGTCCGTCGTGGAGCACTTCCATCGCATGTCATCCTTCGCCCGTCCATCATAACTCCATATCGTTCGTTACAAAACATTGGATCAGCGAATGCCTCTCAAGAGTCATCTTCGGCTGTTGTGTTCCTGGAGGATCAATGTCTCTATACCTAATTCGAGTTGTCGCCGGTGCTGTTGGCGTCCCTGTCTTCCTGAACCTGAACCCACTTCCCACTGCATTGTTTGCAACGGTGGTGAAAGCAGTTCACGCAGGCCGAATGCAATTTATAGTCTGCATCCCAGCTACACGAGCACTATATGCCACGTTAGCATACCTTGACAGGCCGAAGAGAAGAAATCTCAGGGTAACTTACGCATTCCCACATGTATGTCCTCATCCGCTTGTGGCCAGGCTGTTCGGCGCCGTCGTCCAGGCCTCTCTTTCTTGACTGACCATTGACACCCCTGCCATTGTTCGTCAACTTCCGCGAGCCGGAAACGATTACGTTCTCATCAGCTGAGTCTACGTCGCTCAAGTCATCCGAAGACCCAGTGAGGTCGACATCTGGTAAGTCGGTATCGACAGCCACCCATTGGGAGTGGTCCTTCTTGGTGTAGCCGCTACGCCCAGCGTAGTGGTTGTCGATATGATCGAATTTCTCGGCCCAGGCGTTGGCGCCCTTCTTTGAGATTTCGCAGATCTCGACGCAAAAGCCGCACCAGAACTTTGGTTCTCCATTTCGCCCAACGCGACACTTTTCGAGAACCTTCTCAATATTGGATGAGTCATCCATCTTGTGTTCCTTTTGAAGATGACTTCGGAAGGTTTCTCGGCGATGACAGACCTTGCCGCAACTCTCATTGTCATTTTCGGGCCGTTTCTCGGAACATTTCCAAACCTCAAGCTGGAAATGCTGGCTGTTCTCGTGACGTTTCCAGTCATTCTTGCTGCCAAACTTCTTCTTACAGCCGGCGAATGTGCATCCATATGGCTTTTCGTGACGCTTCATGTGCTTCCTATCCCTTTGTTAACGATCTAGACAAATTGGATAAGAGGGGTAATCCATACTTAAGTTCACACTTGCGCTTGAACACTTTGCCACAGCTGGAGTCCGAACACCGATGCTGGCCGTCAGCACTGCCGTTTGTCGTCGGTGTAGATCTTTGAAGAGGCCATTCCATCTGAGACTTCATGAATGTCTCAATGATGTTCTTAGGCATCTTTGAGAGAAAGTCAAGCATGGCCTGCTCACTCAGACTCTTGCTTGGAGACACGGGAAGAGATTGGTCGAAGATTTGCTCCTCCTGAGCTGAGTCCTTGTTGGTAGGTTGACTTCCAACAGTTGTCTCGGCTGACGTACAAAGAATCGGGCCAGTGCCAGTGACCTCACAATCCAAAACGTCTGTTGGCGAGCTGTCAAACATTTCGTTGCGGGCTCTGCTCGATCCATTGGCATTGCTAGCGATATTCAAGCTCATGGCGGCAGGAGCACTCGCGGAATGGTTTTCACGATTAGCGTTGGATTTCGGGCTCCTCCGTGCTCTCATTATTATTCTTGGAGATGGCGCTTTCGAGATATCCCCGGGCTGTACATATTGCTGGCGGGATTGAGAGCTGTCGCAAACCGCGTGGCAATTATTGTCGTGCAATTGGGGGTTGGAAATGACCTTGTCCGCAATCGACGATTCGAGAGAGGCATCGGAAGCTGAGCCGCCAATCTGCGTCAAGGACGGGTTGATGAGGTTGATCTCCATGCCGCCCACTGAATCCTGCGGGGAGAGTTGAACATCGTCATACATGGGCGATGGGCCATCCCCCCAGGATATCGGAGTAGTATGATAGAACACCTCTGAGCCCACGCCCACACCTTCGAGGACGTCTTGTGTGCTTTGATGATAGGTTTCTCCCAACGACTTCTGGGTAGTTCTGTAATCTGTTAGGTGTCTTGAACAGCTACATGTGTTTCTAAACTCACTGAAGAACATATTCGCGGAGGTCATCCTCGGGATTGTGGGTTATAGAATGCACCCGCTTCAAGTGTTGCCTGAAATTATCGGCTCTAGGCCATATCTTGGTCTTCGTTGCGCATGAATCCCTCTGGCAGCGGTATCGCGGACCGGAGCTGAAAAACTCGGGATGCACACTTCCCTTATGTCGTTCAAGGTCATTCTGGGTGCCGAAACCCTCTATACGGGTACATCCTTGAACATCACACTTGAAAGCTTTCTGATGACGTTGGTGATGTTTGCTATAAACGTAGTGTGAGCGGTGTGCTTCTAGAGTGCAGCAGCATATGATTTCAATACTCACTTCAACTCCGACTTGGTCTTACAGGGAGCACGGCAGTGGTCACAAACCAGCTTGTTATCGGCCGCGCCATGGTGTGCCACTGACATGTGAGCAGTCGCCAAGTTCCATTGAGGCTCAGTAGGCGTTGCGCTCAATTGAAAGTCCATCAATTGGCCCGAGATACTGTGAGTATCTTGGCTTCGATCCACATCGTTGAAGACGGATGCGTTCTCAACGCTGTGCTTGGTCCGACTCTCATAACCAGAGTCAGAAGGCAGGTAGCCTTGTGGCATGGTACCGCAATCTGAAGGAAGAGGACTTCTCCATCCGCCGTTGAAGACAGCGTGATTACGGCGCCGCGGATCGCCTGAGACGTTCAACTGTTGGCCTTGATGTGACTCGGGGATGATTCCCGGAGGAACCCATGGTTGTGAAGCGTCATTCCCGTAGAATTCCATCAATGCCCATGGCATTGGTGTCTTTTGGGGAAGGAAGCCTTGGCTTGTCGACTTTTCCATACCGGCTCGTGTCTCTAAGCTATGCATCGAAGCCATCTGATTATGTTTCGTAGGATCCATGACTATAGTCTGAGGCAGGCCTTCGCCGACCAGAAGTTGGGAGAGATTAAGCAGAAACCGACCCGACCTAGTGAATACAGCTGGGAACTGCTCGCATACGTTAGACACATGGTGTATTGACTAGGGGAGCGCATGTGTATTGTATCAAGTCAACGGGCACTGGCCCGAATTCAGATTATAACCTCAGAAGAATGAGGAAGTTGATGTTTAAAGAGAGGAGGGTAACCAACTCAAGTCAGATGATACCCAGCCACCTTTGTGATGATCAATGCGTGGCGAACAGGCACTTGACTCGACCCGAGTCCAGATCCTCCAAGAATAAGGCGTTACTCGACCGAAGCAGTCCGACGTCGGCGCGGATAGGGGCGTTGGCCTCTGGGATGATGTTTTCGGACGAAGAGGAATCCGGACGACTGAACGAAGGGGGCAAGGTTGATGCAGTTCAATTACCGGTCCGTAGTGGGTCGGTCGGAGCCGGGAGAGGACAGCAGACTGCCGGACTAGATAGACATGGGTAGCTGGGCGACCAAATGGGCGAAGTATCGCGGACGCAAATCGCTGGGTGAAGGACGATAAAATGGAAGAAAACCAAAGGTTTATTCAGGCGACATGGGCACGGGCACGGCTTGTAGTCATTCAAGCGAGAGGAAAGGCAGCGGGTGGGCAGGAATGAGGAGGAGGATGAAGGGCGTGACTGATGTGAGGGCAGTGAAGATGGAAGGTGCGGCTCGGGGGATCAGTTTAGGGGACTGGGCCAATGAGGCAACCGTGAGGGCGCAGTCATTCGCTTGTTCGCCCTGCTTTTTGGGGAATTCTCGGTGAGGAAAGTACGCCGTCGCCTCATTCCATCCAATCAGCGGCCATAGAAAGTAGGCAACCACACGAGGCAGCCAAACAAGGCAGCCACTGCAGCAGGCGCCCCAAGTAGATGGTTCGCCATTTTTTCCACTTCCAACCCCGCCAAAACCTGAGCCGACCGAACATGAGAGGAAAAAGCAAGCAGAAGCTCAACCGCCCAGGGGGAAAAAAAACAAGAATGAAAGACGGAAAACGTTTTCGATAAAGAACCTACCTGTTCATGACCACCTCATTGCTCGAATCCTAGAAGGTTTCCTCCCTTCAAATCGTTTTAAATCCGGAGGGAAAACGGGATGCCTGAACAGACGCGGTTGCGAGCGAACCTGGGATAACATGTTCTCTGTCCAACTCATATGTAATGCCTTGGCCAGCCACGGAAAGTTTACCCTGGATCTGCTGGTCTAGGGTCATATCTACACGAGAGTTCATCTCTTGTCTCTCGGCTGACATAACCAGTTTTGGCTAGGGCGCTCGAGACCACTGAAGTCATCAACAACACCTAAGGTACTGTAATGTGTAGTACAGAGGCTTAGACGATCTCGCTAGACCATGACCTACGGTATCTTCGTACCTCCATGGCCTCTATAGTGTCAATCCTCATCATTTGTCCGGGCCGCCACCGACTGTATAGCTATGTAATTAGGTAGGCGACGTCCTCGAGCCCGAGCAGCCATCTTTGGGCATCATCGCATCTCACTTCCGGCCAACTATCAGCAGCTTGAGACTGTCCGCCCATCGGAGCTCGCCGCTATATCCAGCGCAGAAGCTGACCAAGCTGGTCGAGAAGCTTTACGCATGACGCAAGTGCGCACTCTCTCATCTCTGACGCCGCCGCAATGTCTCCATTGCAACCATATAGACAGCCACGGGCACCACAATGCCCATATTCACGGGCTCGCCAAAATTATTCTCTCGCAGCAGGTTTCCATATCCTCTTCTGTCTGTTCGCTCATTTTCGTTGAGCAAACTGCATATTATCGGGGCGCGACCGCTCATGTGGGGGAGCAAGACTCAAGACTGGATGAGCATCACAGGAAACGAGAGTGCGCTCCGGAATAGATATGATATGTCATTATTGATGTCGTTCTCCGATGGTACAAACCTTCACCGCGTACAGAGTCTTTCGGAGCTTGCATATTTATTTCTGACGACCTACTGTTCACATCAAGATCGGTGGTCATGGAAGGCTACATATGTATGCAACAACTACACGCTCTGATGAGCGGGGCCTTGTCCCTTGTTGCACAGTATCACGAGTGCAACATGTTGGCCGCGACATTTACTCCCAGCCACATGAGCTTCCGTTTTGGCGCCGCGCGGCTTCGTTCTGTTCTTGCGTCTCCAGTAAGATTTCATTATTGGACTCTGTTTTAAGCCTTGAAGGGGATCATTCGGCCGTATCTTCGGATTCGCCTGGTGTCTCGCCCGTCTGCGAGACGGATATTCGATGTTTGCTCTATGCCAAGGAGTGAGCGTCCCTCTCAGCTTACTTAAACCCGCCTATCGGGCCGCTCCGCAACATGCAAGCGACTTGGATCCCAGGCTGTTGGCCTAGACTGATTGGGTGGCACAGGTACCACCCTCTCGGCCGTCAAAGTCTTGACGTTGATCATGTCACACTACTTCCAAATGAGAGACGAACCTAATGCGAACATGGAGGAAAGAACGAGAGTGATGACCATTGATGTATCAAGGTAGTGGCAACGGTAGTCGCTGTCCGGTCTGAGGATAGCAAACATTTGATGTTATAGCCAATAACACTGGGTCTTCACGGAATGGCCTGGTATGGTTCCGGAGGACCATTCAACATCGTGAGATCGAGTCGATCGAAGACGTGTTGATAGGCGTCAACTGTTAAGCCATCATAGACTAAACATGGTTTCAACTTTAATCTATTTTGCAACGTGTACCAGAAGAGGCGTCCAGTTGTTTCATCAACACACCTGGCTCACTGGTGACTTCATACCATCGCCTCAAGGCCCGAGGCAGGCTTCGAACCGCCTCGTGCCGAGAATGAAGTAGTTCCTGCATTCTCGTCAACTACCTGGTCAGCGGATGCAGTCTTCTCTTCCGGCCTGCATGATCCATCGTCTCTTTGGTCCAAGACTAGTCTCCGTAGGGTAGCTGTTGGAGCTCGCAAGGAGTAAATAATGAGTGGTCTTCGCCCCCACCACCACCACTCTACGTTGAACCTAGTCATCCTCGCGAACAGGCATCTCGACACTTGCATGCCACCAATATGGCAGCAACACACGCACAGTGTGCCATGTACCCAGGCTTCCCAACGTCCTTCAACAAGCCCCTTTGCGTCCATATGCAGATCTGTTTTCGAATAGACATGACAGAGCGTGTTGCGGCCGATGCCTTGAAGCTCTGGGATGAAATGTATATAAGATGGAGCGAAGTCACCGGAGGATGATCAATGAGTTCCTCATCCTATTCACCTTTACTTACATCGTCGACCTCGCTCGGATCACGACTCTTTGGATCGCACTTCTCAATCGTTCACGGCTCTCAAAAGATTACGCTTTGTTCGAATACTATTCGCCCAAATACAGTCCTTTGAACGGATCTGGACGGCCAAACTGCACGTATCTAAACGTTCTCTTGTAATTATAACGTCTTCAAGGAGCTGATCCAAGATCTCAGCTACTACTATAAGCCATTTATTTTCAAACAAGCGCAGCATACTTCCCCACCAACACCACCATCCCAAGATGTGCGATTGGGAGGAGTTCCTTTTCACCTGCAACCACTCCATTCTACGGCTCAAGTCGTATTGCCACTTTGCCCGCAACGACCCCGGCCACCAATGCTTCGGCGTCAAGGTTCTTCGCAATTCGTGGCAGCAGAGCGTCCCGTGCGATAATTGCATCTTGGCCTGGCAGGATCAGGGGCACCCGCATTTCGCCGCCGGGCAACACCGTCAGGAAGAGTTCATTGGTGGCCAGCAACAACGTCGTCGTTGAGTTGGGTCCAGTCACGTCCAATCTTTTGAAAGTACCCTTGAAAACCAGGGGAGATGCTCCCAAGTTCTGTCGTCTTGGAGAGTGGCGTGGGGTTTGTTCACTGGGTTCAGTGCGAATACCGTGGAGACGGAGCCTTCCTTCATATGCAGGCCAGACTATTTATATAGAAACTGTGATTTTCGGGAACGCTCCACCAAGTACAGATCGCAAGGGTTTCTGCCTGGCACAGAATGTTGGTTAAACTTGCTTTGTGGGGAAAATGGTAGATCAAAAAGGCTGGTGGCCATGCCCTGTATAGTTGTCCTCTTTTCTCATTTTGCTACTGGTAGAATGGCTGGATGGCAGCGTTTCTCTGTTTTAGCAGGATGATGAGCAGCCCAAGATGCTGTGGCACATGAATCTCGATTTCCCGTAGGAACAAACTCAATCCCACACGGGTTTATGCATTTTAAGACATTGACACAAAGTGACGTTGGGAATTGCATCGGTCTGATGTTTCTGGGCTGTGTTAACTCGGGCAAGCCTAGAATTCGACGCCAAGCCCCACTTGGGCGCGGTCCTGCAAGCATCTGTTACACATGGTTCAAGAGGAGATAGATTACTCGTTAGTGTTTCTGGCCCTAGAGTGAAGTTTGAAACGAAGAGAAGATGCTATACCTAGTAGTGAGGCTGTCACTTTACGCATTTTGTTGAAGCCTCACCTCCCATCAAGATTTGTAGCTCATGACTATAACCCTCCTAATTACGCTACATAGTTTGCTTATGAGCCCAGATCAGTTTTCAAAGGTCCAATGCTATAGTGTAAAGTCCCTTAATTCAAGAGCTACCTGAGGTTAGGTACTCACCGAGCTTCCGGGCTTACGTCGTTCGTTCAAGGTCTCTTATCAAAAGGAGAAAGATGCATGCTCCATGTCGTGAAGAATTATACCACTCATTTCTACTTACTTTGGGACAATGAGTTTTCAGGTCCCGAGCCATACGGTGTCGGGCTCAGATCGAGGGGGTAAGCATGGCGGACAAGTACTTCTGCACGGTATGTCGTACAACGGGGCAACAGAGATTAAGCTGCCCCTATGAAACGGAAATCGGGACGCCTTTAACACGATCACTTTTCTGCAGGACAAGTCACAGGAAAGGGGACCATGAGCTGAAACGCAGGATGATGTTAATGGCTGGGAGCCTGCAGTAACTCCAGGACACGTCATTTGTCACTTTGTTCAACGACTACTTTTTTGGATCATCTCTGCTCACCCACGTGTTCTCGTATTCAATATAAACTGGTGCCCGAAACATAGCTATTTCTTGAGTCGAAGTAAGTATATCTCGTGAGCGATTGGGCGTTGACGCCGATCGTCGATGGAGGGGAACCACGCCCGGGACCGTGTCGCGAAGTCGTGCAAGAACGGTGGCATCGCATATGAACGACGTATGCAGTACACAACTCAACACATGTGGACGGATGGATTGGGAATTTTCATCGCACACTTCCTTGAGGATCAGGCAGCTTTACATCGGAGCCTTGTAGAGTGCGATGAAGGCTCAAAGCGAGGTGACATTGCCACCCATTTTCAGCTGTAGATGAGTTAGAGATGGATGAGTGCTGAGGGATACTGAGCACGAAGGTGCCCGGAGTCGCCGAAGACGTCCTCTCACATTTCAGGGTAGGGGGTCATTGACGCAAGATACTCTCAGTTTATGTTTTACGTTTACACTCGCTCATGGCAACGTCTCACGCCCAAATGACGGATATCTTTGGCCTCTCTCTTCCCCCCAACCTCTTCTTTCACCCTGCGCTCAGACATCACAGCCGAGCTTTTGGTAACCTTCATTCAAAGTTGGTAGCGCCGGTGACGCGGCCAACAACATTGTAGCGCTTGGAAAAGAAGGTGATCCAATCGTTGAGGACACCCTTCTCCTTGTCAGGAAGATCCTGCCAGTCGGCGCTGACATCCTCGGCCTTTGTTGAGGTCTTTCCGAGAGCACGGGAGGCGTCCTTTCCAGCGAAAACTATGGAGTTGTCAGTCATGATAGCCTTGAGACCGAGATGGATATTTTCCTTACCGTTGTAGGATCCTCCTACTTGGTATGCCTTGTTACCCGTTACATCGTACACGATACCCTGTATCATAAAGCATTAGATGAGTCAAAAAGTGCAAAACGGGAATGCTTTATTACCTTGATCGCAACATATGTTTTTCCATTAGGGTCGGAGCCTATGATATTGTTAGGATTGTCAAAGTGGTTTCTAAATAACGGCAAGACAATTGCGTGTGAGGCTGAGAACATCTGGGCACCTTCGCAACCACTTGATGAAAGGACTACAGAAGCCGCAGCCATTTCCATATTCACAAACTTGTGTTCATGAACTTCGGATTAGGGAAGGTATCTAACCAAGAACCTTGGTCTCGCTCTCTTCAATACATAACACGATCCTTCGTGACTCTTGCGCTAGGAAAATGCTGCCAGAGAGCCTCGAAGCAGGTCAATGAAGGCAAAAAACATATCGACTTACCATCGGCCTTGGCCAACTCCTCGAGGGTGATGGGGTCATCCTTGGGAGGGGCCAGGGTGACGGGGTTCTTGGGCTCAAACTTTCCAGACATTTTGCTGGTCTTTGCTTGAATATGAGTTGCTGTGGAGCTTCGGGTATATTGCGCTAGCGTCTTGATGTTGAAGATGAAATGCGAGGGTCAGGAAGACGTCGAGTCCTTACACAAAATAGATGATGGCGGGAGAAAGAAGCTCGGTACTTGCCCCTCTCAGGCCGGAGCTCTTCCCCACGATCAAGGTGGGGGGTGCACTTGCGACATTGCTGGCTGAGCCTCGGAGTAACTGCGTTCGTCTGATTGGTTGCGCATTGATGAGTGTAGACCCACCAGAGCAAGAGCTCCAGACCTGCCGGATAATGCAGGCGAAACTCATTGATTTTTGATCGATACGTCACTTGACAACCATCCGAATACAGTCAACCACCACGCTCCGACCCACGAGATTAGCCCTTTCGCACAACTTGACCGAGCTTCGGAAACTGTTTTCGCATCCTCTTCTCAATTGACGACGACGATGGCTGTGTCGCGCATTGCGGCATGTCGGGCAATCAACGGCCTGGGGCTTCGCCAGGTCGTCAGGTCGCCCGCAACGTCCACAGCAGCGTTCACAGCAGCGTTACGAGCAAGCACATCTCATAGTGCCTCAAATGTGTGCCTATATACCCAATTGAGAAACCGGAGCACTTCGAACACTTCGTATAACGGCACCAAGAACAACTCCTCCACTCCGCCGCCGCCACCACCACCGCCGCCTTCCGCAAGTCAGCTCTGGAGGGCAATATCCTTTCGCTCAGTTTTGACTTCCATGACACCGAGAGGTATCAAGAGGATGTTCAGAGAAAGTCCAGAAGAGCTTGTGTTAGCACTGGCAATGTGAGATATCTGAAGCTGTCGCTGTCTCTGAGTTACGTAGCTGATCCGAACTTTTCAGTCTTGCTGGCTTGGCGGGCGTTTCCATCTACATCGTGAAGTTGTACTTCGACTACTTCATGGCCCGTCAGTTCACGAAGTATCCCAGGCCCATCGCCAAGTCTCTTCGCAGAGCTCTTTACTACACAAACATCAGCCCCGACCCTAACCTTGCGAGAAAATACTACAAGCAAGCACTGGAGCAGTGCAATGAGCTCCAGCTAGACCCGTTCTCGGATGATGTCTTGGGCATCAGGATTCAGACCGCGGCCTGGCTCGAAAAGATTGAAAATTACCAGGGAGCCATAACTGTTTTGGATTCCGTTCTCAAAGACTGCCTCAAGTGGGTAGAATGGATGGAAAACTCCATTGCAGATGGGACAGTAGACAAGTCTGGCAAGCCGCCTGCCGTGAAGTCTCTGTCGGATAATCAACGACTAGCAGTGGCGGAGAATGGTGAAGAGAAGATTGTCGAAAACTTGTGGCGCAAGCGCACTCGTCTGTTGGCTAAAGCCGTCGGGACCAGCACTAAGCTTGGTGCCCTCTATTCGGACGAGCATGTGCTGGAGCCAGAAAATGCTCTGGCTCGTCTGACGTGGGCTGTCGAAACAGCACTGACAGAGTCAAGACGACGCCACAAGGAAGGTATCAAGAAAGATGAAGGTCCTTGGATGAGCCCAGAGGAAATTGGCGGTGCCATGGAGTGTTAGTCCCCCATTACACGCCCTATATTGCGCCTGCTTCCAAGTCACTAACAGAGTTCAATAGCCCTCGCCCAACACTACGAGACCAAATCTCAGTTTCACCTGGCAGTGCCTCTCTTGTTCCAGGCATTGCGACTTTGTGCCAGCCCGTGTCACCGAGTCACAATCAGTATGTTCCTAGACTCCTAGAAGTGTACTTCAAAAACCATACTAACGCATTCCTCAGTGAACAATCTGGCTGCAGCATTTGCTCAGCATCCTCTCCAAACCCCACTGGATGCCATTCCTAACGCGCCTGCAACTTCCGACGTAATAATCAGTCCCGACATGCCGACAGACCGAGCCGGACTCTTGGAGGCTGCGAAGAACTGGGCTAGCATTGCTTACTCACACTCGAAGGAAGTCAAAGGAGAGGATCGAACTGAAGAGTGTGACGAAGCTTGCGCCGTAGCATTGACCAACATGGGTGACATTGCTGCTCTACTGGGGAAGAAGGAGGACGCAAGGAAGCGTTTTCAGCAGGCAATCGACATGAGCAGGAAGATTGGCTTCGGTCCCGGCATCTCTCAAGCCGAGGCGGGACTCCAAAGACTCTAGGATGATGGATATGCGGCCTTTCGAACTGCTGGACCGCTGTAGGGGTGTTGTCCTCGCCTCGCTTGAGGTATTACTGGGGCATGCCGGGGCATCATGATCCCATTTCGGATGGCATATTAGCATATCGAAAAGGTATGAGAGAGAATGATCGTCTCCTCTTCTTACGCCCGCAAAGACCCTGCATAGGGCTAGGACTTGGCCAACAGAGACTTGAAGTCGCTTCTGCTGCATCCTTCCATCGACATGGACCTTTTTCAAATCGATCAGCACGGGTCCTCAGAGATGAGCCCAAAATAGGTAGGCGATGGGTTCTTACTGCCTGCCCACGCCGTATCAAAGGATCCGTGACTGAGGCGCGGATGGGGACGGAGAAATACCACGACGGTAGCCGTGTGCCACGAGACCACGACTAGGTCGGATTCAGCAGCATCATTGCATCCGGCGCAGGAAGTCTCGACTGTATTAATTGTTAGAGCCACCGCCAATTTGGAAAGATGGCAGACGAAGCGAGTTGTTTGGAAGCCAGCAACGGACCCAATAAAGCTCGATTCGGTACTGGCAACCCCATTTATACCAATAGCATCATAAGTGCAGACGACAAAATCTGACACAACCCGTTAAACGAGTACTCATTATGTGTTAGGGAGCCACGCGAGGCCCAAGAAACGAAAGCCATCAGTCTCATACGGTCTCCCAGCCGCCCTCTTCTATTCTGTTAGATGATATTTTGATCGAACACAGGAATGCTGTGAACGACTAAGCACTTCCAAGGCCATGATCCTGCTGGTCCGAGAGAGCTCAGCGTCGAACCTTTGCCCAGAAAACCATATGGGGCCAAAATATGCTGTCACCAATCATATGGACGAATGACAACGGCTTGGCGCACCGGCGGACGCAGCTGCATGGGTCCAGTGCCCCCTGCATGTTCATCCCAGCAACTCCAGTGCTGGGGCATACAAAAATTACCCTTTTCGGAAAATAGTTGGGCTGAGGTGGAAAGAGACGGTCTTGATGGACGAAGAAAACGCTGCCAGCGGCCAGCCACCTACAAACAGTTCAACAGCCTGGACACCGCACAGGGGAATCTGAGACTAACTTGCAAAGATTCCTTCTGCCTAATCTATAGAAGGAAACTGTCATGTGGCCTGCCCCCACAGACCCCGAGACAAATCGTCGCCAAATTTCAAAGTCTCGACGCAAAACGGTGCTCCTTACGCCACCGTTCACGCTGCCATGCAGCAGAGCAAGATGCGGGAATACCACATCATGTCAACTTTTTGATGTCACATTCTAAAAACTTGGGCATGGACAGAGTACCACGTCTGCAGAATTTGAGCACTGGTCAAAGAGGACGGTGTTGGCACAAATTGCATTATTTATCGACTTTTGGAACACTGACAGTTTGTGCTGCCCATACGACAGTAAATACAGACGGCTAAGGTCTTAAAGTTATCTAAAGGAAGAGGATATCAGTTCTTCTTCAAGAAAAGAAGTCAGTGCCACCTACAACTTTACTGGTGTGGTCGCAACTGCTAGTGTTGTTCTTCAGATTCAATAAAACAGGACATGGTCACCAACAACGAGCAATGAGCTTTAGGACAGAACCTTGTTCAGCGTCCCGGGCTTCTCCGTCATCTCATGGTCCTCGCTTCTCAGGGCAGGCACGTCACAATGGCCAAATGCCCGCCAGCACAAAGTGGGCAGCCCTTTCCAGCTTGCGGCATTTCGGGATATCATGCCGGCATCCGTCAACCTGCGATCCTTGAGACGCAGCCCTTATCTTTGAGGTGAAATCCATCCCGCGGTATTCGAGTCGCACTTTTTCTTACCCTCCTTGCCGGGCACTCTCGTGGCACTCTCGTGGCACGTGGCTTATGCACGCCATGAAGAGCGAGGGCTTCGATCATGTACCTGGATTTGAAAGTGATTGTGCTCTCCGCCCTACGTGTGTTCCAAGGACGGAACATATTCCATCAAGTCAATCGAGTTCCTTCCTTTGTGAATATGATGCGTTGGAGCTGGCCAAACATTGGTCAGCTCTTGACGTGGCAGGCCATTACAATTGATGAGCAGAAGTGTACCTGAGGGAACTGGCCTTTGATACCGCCTGAGAGCTCACTTCTGCTACAGCCGGCACACCTATCATAGAATCGACGGAAATTAGGCCCGTCGTTTCATACGGAATTCCGCTCAGCTAGTATTTACCCCATCGCGTTGGAGACTAACTCACATGTTGCGGGAGTACACCGAGTTACGAGACGCCTCCATGGATGGATGAGCGAGACTACGAAACCTCATTCGAATGCTTCGTCCTGCTTCTCGCCCCGGATCAGTAGTAGATTGCTGCGGGAATTGTATACCAAGGCCCATGTTCGTGGTCTTTTGCTCAGCTATTCGTAAGTTACTTAGCTCTGTCGCATAGGTGGGCCGGCAGCTTTTAAAATAGACTTGACTCGGCCGAGCTCTAGCCTCATCCGTCCGTCATCAATCCAGCTCTACGGATTGAGTCTCAGTATCTCAAGCAAGGATTACTCTGTCCTGAGTCGAGACCGAACAAACCAATCTACGGGTATCGTCACTCACCAATACCCACGATCCATAACCCACCATGGAGGCAACAGAAACCTGGAGTTTTCGAGCCAGCATTCTTCGCACTATGGGGGCTACAATCTTTCGAACGCCCTGACAACGCCTGAATCCCCTGTAAGTATGGTTCCACGGGATATGGGGACGCGGGTAACGCTAACGGCTGCAGCATGACAAAACAAAGCTGGGCATGTGATTGGCATGTTCGTACAGGCGTGGAGGACTAGGGATCAAAAATACACCAAGACTAATACAGCCATGCATCAGAACCCCGCCCTTCCGCTGAACTCGGGAGCGGAGAATGGGGTCGAGGAGACTTCAACAGGGACAATATATGGCTGCCTGATCTCGAGAATAGCGACCAGCCCGTGGCGAAACTTATCCCTCAAATCTCGCAGAAATCATGCCAAGAACGGCAAACTATTGGCATCCTCCCGTCGCCGTAATTGTCACAATGGCCTGCTATTCCCGGCTGCGATGCGGACTTCAAGCAAAGGCGAGGTGTAAGATGACGTTTTCGGGAGTTCCGGTGTGGAGTTCCACCCGGGGCACGGGCTGCGAGCGGCAGGATTCGGATCCGGGGAGGAACAGGAACGCTGATCTTCGGCCGCCTCACCTTAAGGTTATTTGGAGGTGGCGGCGATGATATCGACACCACGAGGTCACTACACGGCTTGCGAGAAGCGACAGATCAGATCATGTTACAGCAAAGAATGGGTGCGGCGTCTACCGACTCATTCAAGCCTCGTCTTTTCATCTCGCGATTACAGAATACCAGGGCTGGGATAACGGTGATGAGCCGTTGGAAACGGCACATCAAGTCAAAAGCAGCTGTCTTTGAGGGAACGCCGGCAAAACGTTGTAACCGGAGAACAACGCCCGCTAGTGCGGCGGAATTCCACTACAGAGGTCGCATCACACTCATGTTGTCCCGTTGAACGCCAATGGGCATGCTTTTTGCTCATTCTCGGTATCCGACTTTCCTTACATCTTGGGCAACAGGTTCTTCAAAGGAACGAGGAAACGTTTCCCTTCCTTTCAATGAGTTGAATCGCTTACTCGATACGATGCAAAACACCCAAGCCTCAAATGATTGAGTTGTGGCTGTGGTGGGGGCGATTCAAGCCTGTCGGCAATATCCTAAATACATCTGACAGACTGACAGGGCCACCGCTTATCAGATGGAGATCCGTGCATTGTACTGATGCTGCAAGAGCAAGGAACAACAAGGTCTCCAACCGTCGGTCCTTGCGAATTTCACTAGACATGGGCGGATGAGAAGACACAAAGTTCCCATGTGTTCCAATATGCCAATGCTGCAGAATCAGACCCCACGGCCTAGACCAACACCATCTATCTTGCGGATACTTGTCCGCGATATGCACCCCCGGATTGAGAGACCACTCTCATAAGATTTGGGGGAAATTGGAGAAGACGACAAATCCCATGTTACTTTCCCCCCCCTCTTTCCCTCTTTTCCTCGCATATTGTTCCACACCACTCACTCTATCGAGCATCCCGGCTAGCTGAATGCTCCGTAAACCGAAGCACAGCATCGCAACATCGACACAAGGTTCCTCAATACATCTCGGTCAACTATGCCGTCTATCAAGAAGAAATGAGAGACGGGAGGGATTGACCATTCTGACGGAAATTAGGTTGGGAAGTGCGTATGGCATCCCACCAGTATCTCTCTTATGTCCTAGTGTAGGATCTCTAGCTGCCTCGCCCTAGCTCCGGCCGACGACCGAGTTAAAGTCTATCCAGAAGACGTCCAACCACCATCGACAGCTGACAGCCCCGTCACAACAGTTTTGACGTAAGGTGTCCGTTTGTTCGCAAGCAAGACTCGTGGAGGCTTCTATTGTTGGCACTGCGGAGTACCTTAGCTTTGGGTCCTGGGACCGGGCCAGCCTGGCAAGGCAACGATCCCCTGCGAAAGCTGCACTCACACGGTGAATGTGCCGCCATCCTGCATACCATTAATCGAAGGTGTGGTTCGTAACAAATTGCATACGGAAAGAACAGCAAACGCAGGCAGCCTCTTTTGGGCTTGAGTAGCATTGGCAACTCTTACCCAAGTTCGTGGGATTCGGAAGCATGCGAAGACTGTGCAACTTAGTCATCACTTTCGTCATATCGCTTTGGCACTGCTTCTTGCTGGAAGCCGACAACAACCCGCAGCCCCGAATCTGCGCCGGCTGTGACTGAGACGAACGCCCACAAGGACCTTTGTCATTGGCAAGAGGGCAAGTCGAAGCGTGTAACAGCCGCCACCCTCAAGCAACTTTACATACCACTCCATCCAATCTCGGAGTATGTTGTCCTGTCCTTCGCCCCAGCAGGCGACCCAATAAGGGTATTTGACGCACTGGGCATCTCATCTTCGAGATCCCCCGGAGAACGGCGAAAGGACGGCATGCATCAAGCTGCTGCCGCGTTATGCATACGCCCTTACTGTGCTGCGCCCACAGCTCAGTTCCAAATTGGGCTCCGCCCTTCTAGAGCGAGAAGTCTATCCAGAATAAAGCTTTGCTGCTGGGAAACGGATCCCAAAAGGCGGGATTGCGACTCTACGCTCGGCAGCAGCCCCCCGGCTTGCCACACCCCTCCCCTCCCTCCTCGGTCTTGGGCGACGTCGACACATTCAGAGACTGCTTTGTGGTTCTAGCGACAGCCACGACTTGCACCTTCTGCATGCTGGATGGATTGGTTAACTCAGTAAGCTATGGATGAGGCTGTAGAGAAGAATTTAAAACCGTTGGTCATGCAGCGTTGCCGTTGACTCGCAGCGAGCATGATTCTTTGGCACCGAAGAAGCGAGTCTAAGATAACTTTGGCGTCGTCTACACCGAAGAGGAGACCGAAGAGGCGAGACCACGAATGTTTGCCTTTCCCAAATTTCTAATTTCTTCTCGTTGAAGCTAGGATCATGAAGAATCTAGCAGACCAGACGAAGAGGCTAGATCTGGCTGCGGCGATGCTTTCGTAAACCTGTCGTCTGAATTTTCGACTCGTCAGAATGAGAACCTGAACACGCAGAGTTATCTCAACTGGCCTACACACGGCGTCGTGGTCGAGAAGGCTCAGTATCATGCAACGGCGGCAGAGCCAAAGCTTAACGGCACCGCGTCGGCTTACTCGACTCCTCACCTCCGTCTTTGCGCACCGTCTCCCGTCCTGCCCCGTCAACCCGTTCGAATCTGGCTCCGTCTTGCTGGGGCCCCTTGCAACATCGCAGCCCGTTCGAAGCGGGTCCTTGGCAGATGCAAAAGAGACAGCAGCGGTCTCCATTCCCATCCCTGCCCGCACCATCACCACCCCCTCCACCCGGTTCAAGCTCTTCGACCAGGCCCAGAATGGCGGCGGCGGCGATTCTTCTTTCGCTCTTGGCTTCCCCATCACGCTACCCAGAACACCACACCAGGGACCAGGAACAAGGAGGGTGCGAGAGGGACTGCTATGCACCTAAGCAGCCCACGAGCTGGTGCGCTATCTGGGGGTCCAATCGACGACCCTGGCCTCCATTGGATTGTTGCGTTGCCGGTATGTACGTTGTGGTCCTGGCAATGTCTGTCGAAATGTTGCTTACCGACGTACTTACGAACCAGAGGATACTGCTTTCACACATGTGCATGTAGCTTCTGCCCTACTAACTAGTTTCCCCGAGTTCTTCTTGACGTACCGGTACCCTGTCCGGGACCTAGCTTTGTGTGGTGCGTCTCTTCTCGCATGCGTCGCGCCATATATATTTCCTCTCAGCCCGGTTGCAAAGCATCATGGTGTAGCTTAGTTCGCATTACACATCTCCTTGCAGACACACCTTTCCAGACGACGCGTTGCCCATCTACTTCCTCGTATATATTATCTCATTCTTCGCCCAGACTTGACAGCCCGTGGACCTCCAGACAAAATCGAATCAACCCGTTTACCACCTCATCCACCATATAACTTCCATGCCTCGCCCCACTGCCACTCAATCATTACACATGGATCACTCACTGCCACTCAACATGTACGACGACATGGACGCCTTCTTAGATATGGAAGCACCGTACGTCTATGACGAGACAGAGCAGTACCTGGACACTGCCAGTTCATCTGAGTCCACGAGCCCCATCATATCAACTGTGAGTTGTGACGCTTCCGTCGCAAGAAAAGAGTGTAAATTGACCAATGTGTTACCAAAGTTTGACATGATCTTTGTAAACGACTTCAATGGCACCGACCAAAGCATTTATCCAAGCCCAATGAGCTCCTCCCGCGATACAGCATCACCTCAGCCTACCATGGACGAGAAATCTGGCGCAACCAAGGGCCCGGCTAAGAGAAAGCGTGAAAACCGCTACAAGAATGCGCCCCCTTCGGTGCTCTCAGTAAGTTTCAGACCTGACGTCAACCCAGTATCTGCGCCGACAGCACCAAACACATAAAATCAGACCACAGTAGAGGACTAATACAATCACCCAACAGCGTCGCCGAGCCCAAAACAGAGCCTCACAAAGAGCATACCGCGAGCGCAAAGATCAACGCATAAAGGATCTCGAAGTCATGCTCTCAGACCAGAAACAAAAGAACGACTCCCTCAGCCAGGCCTACTCCGCCCTCCACGCCGAGTTCCTCAAGATTCGGGGAGCGCACGCGAGGGCGGCGCAACACCAGCAACAACGGCAACATCAACACATGCCGCGACACCCAGCCGCGCCGGCAATGGCTTACGATCCGACGGGCGCCGCCCACATGGGCATGTCGTCACACCCCGGCGCGATGGAATTCGCGGACAACATGTTCATGTTTCAGGATATGCAGACTTACACCATTTAAAGAGTGGGAAAAGCTGCCTTGAGAGAGAGGGGTCGGATAATGGTTAGTTGAGCGAGCGGCAAGGGAAACGCAAAAAAAGGGGCCGCGACAATATCCCACTCGTTTTCGAGAAAGAACAAAATATCGGATGCTCAAGATATGGACGCGCAATCGAATGACATGACTGTCAAAAACGTACGGATGGAATACGGCCGACTGGCTTGACGAGTTTGGAGGTTCGCCTGATTTCTTTTTCACACTCTCTGCTCATCACCTTTGCTTTTGTGGTTTCTTGTTACTTGCTTCGGGTCCCGGCGTGCTTGAGATTTCTGGCTCTATTATTAGATGGCAAACATGGGCTGGCAGGCATCGGACTTCGTATTGCTTTTTTTTTCTTGTTACTTGGCGTTTCTTGGGAATATCGGAGCCTGGTACACAGTTCTCTTGATGATGATATGATGATGGGAGGCCATTCCGAGAGGAAAATCTTTCCCCGCATTCGAATGTCACGATGCGCAAATTAGTCTTTTTACACACTCGTTCAAAGAGAGGGGGGGAAGAAGCTCGGATGGGGAGGGAATGGGAAAAGAAAACTTGAGGGAAGTTTAGTCGAAAGCAGAATATGAAATGACACGTGAGATTCCCATCCTTTCAAGGCTGCGCATTTTCCAAATCTCCTTCTCGTGGGATCCTCAGAGTTTGGGACTAGTACAGGCAACCCCGCAACTTAATGACGATAAAATCGTACAAGAGTCCCCGGTCTACTGAGTTTCCTCGGTCAGAGGCCTTGTTTTTCCCCTCTTAATTATTTCTCCTCGGTCTATGTAGAGCCTCTCGGTCTGCATGGCCGAGGGAGAGGGGGCAGAGAGGACCACGGGTGTGGGTTCGGTCTCTATCTGGGTCTTGATAACCTTATTCAGCTGGGAGATGGGGGTTTGCGTTTATAAAAATCACCATGCTAAGGCACAGCGGAGAGGGAGGGTGGGATGTAGATCATTGTCTCAATGCAGTATGAGGGAGGTTTTTTGATGGGATACGTACATGTAGTTCTGGAATGGGTTGGATGGATGGCAGGTGGGTTTCCCTTTCCTGAGTTCGAGTTGGAGGAGGAGTCCAAGGTGTGTGGTGTGCGCGGCTTTGCCGAAATCCTCGTGGGAACAACCCAGCTCCGGGCGTAGGTATGAATCTCCCAAGCTTTTGGGGGCTTCTGCAATTGGTTCACCGGGATAAAATCCGTCAACCGTTGAGCAAGAACGGTCGGCAACGAGGAAAAAAAAAAGGTAAAGTTAAAGAAAGAAAAGGCTTGTTGGACCCCATTCCAGTCTAGCCTATACCTTCACCTTACCGGCAGTGCAAGCCGTTTGTTTGCATACACAACTTGCCTTCAGCCCTGTTAAACCCGTGCGTGGATGGATGGAGGAGATCTTTCTAAGCAGGATGTTACTCATCCATCGACTCACGTCAGCACCCTGTTCGACGACAACGACATTTTTAGCCTCGTTCCTTTTTGGGGGTCCAAAGATGCTGCTAGCAAGCAAGCATGATGACTGGCTCCCGGCGCCGGTTCCGTTGCCTTGCCCTCCTAGTTGATTCTATTTCCTTCATGATGTTAAGCTTTGGAGGCCATCTCGGTTTGGGACGTTCGTACATGTAACCTGGAGATATCTAAGCCTCCCTGTTTATGCGTAAAACATGAAGCTTTTCTTGAAGACATAGATGCTTGAAGCAGTTCAAAAGCGCGCTTGCGTTGAAACGTGTGGCTGTGAAGGGAACACGGCTAGATCGTTGGTCATTCTCCTTGGCTATTCTTGGTATGTGCGTGAAGCGCTGCAAACTCGTGGTTGTTCAGCTCGTGGCAAATTGTTTGAGATGATCCGAGATAGCTTGAAGACCCCGGAATTTTGGGTTTTTCGTTTCTTTTGGCAGTGTATGGCTTACGTTGACATCTTACATGAAAAATCATCAATCTTAGAGAGTGGCGTTGTAATGGCCGTGCTTGGTCTTAGCATGGGATGAATGGTGCTTCTGGCTCTTCGCTGCCCTTGTAGCAGGGATATATAGATTCGTGTTGTTGGGCATGAATGTGTTGATGTTCGGAAGCTGCCGACACGTTGTTCACTTGTGTCAGACTCAAAACCCAGTACAATTCGGATAGCGTTTGATGGGTAATCAATCTCTTGATTCCATCAACAACTTGACTTGTACGCTACATCTGCATCAAAGATAATCCGGCTGCCTACTCCGACGTCAGTGGCGGCAGAACTTTCGGATTGCTGCATGTATATCCAAATATTCGAGCACCCATGAATTCACTCGCATGTAGTAGGTCGGATGAGTAATTCGGAGCCCGGGATGTCACGTTGCTTCTTACTGGCCTTGAGCTATCTCGGTTTCTCGGGAACTCCGAAGGTGATTTGACGACCCTTTGTCACGCTGACATCCACACTGCTAGGGTCGAAAGATCCCCCAACCAGTCATCGTAACGAAGACAGCTAGTTTAGACTAGACGTCATGTTGTCAGTAAACTGCGAAGACTAAGGGAATCAATGCTGGTCTGGAGTCGCATGTCAATATCAACTGATTCGGACATAGATCAAGCCTGACAACTTTGCCTTGCAGTGACATGCTCGAATTCAATGGTACTGGATCAGACATCATACCATCATCGCCATCGACGGCGTCAAAATCTCTCACTCCCTATACCCGGCTTAGCATTCATACTCTTTCATCATAAGGTATCTTCAAGACGATGTGATGGATCTCAGGCGAAATAACAGCTGGAATCAGTGTCTGAGCACCTCGTCTCATGAATACTTCGGTGACTTTGACGAAATAGTGAACAGCGCGGAAGGGAAGTCTGATTTATGGCCTGGGAAGATTGCGAGTTCTGATTATACCATACAAGGCCGCTGATCAATGTAATAGCATCTCATATCATGTCACCAGAGTATAAATATTGGCCAGTTGAATCAGTAGTATTTCAAGACTTCGAGCTCACATCTAAATGATATTTCCTGTCTCATCCGATAGAACGGCGGAAAGAGACACTAGCATCGGTGTGCAACTGATAGCCAACGAAGGTTCCTTATAAAGACTTGTGCTAAGCTCGAGCTCACAATTCAATAGCTATCGTCTGCTAGTCAAAGGGCATTTCGCTCTGCCAGAAAAAAAACATGGCCATGAGCTCCAACCGGAACAAGCCTTTTTTGCGTTTGAAGTGTGTTGTTGCCCCTTAGTGGACAGAAGTGCAAGAAAACGCATTGATTCGAAGGCAGGAGCTATACACCATCGAGATTGATATTTGCTGCGGACCTTTCATGCAGTAGAAGAGTCCGTGTCTCATCGTAGATCTATGGAATCAAACAAGAAAAGTTCTCCGTAGTCCTGGACGAGAGATGTCTGAGATACTACAAACCTACGAGTAGACAAATCTCTTCCCTTGATATCAGTGAATCATTATTGCCTGATATCAACAGTGTGATGTATCTAAGCTCAGCTCGCTCACAGGACGATGCGAGTCTCATCAAGTCAGTCTCGAGGGCCTACTAGTTAACGATCATCTATCGACCCACTGCCGCGCCAACTTTAGGCAGGAACGCCAACAGACCCAATTGCTAACGTCAATTATAGCTGTCGGGGTTGATACTCGGAGAACGACGAGCGTGAAAGGCTTCAAGGGGTGAAGTACATTTTACTACAAGTTGCCTACATCTCGTCTAGCTTGGTCTCGGCTGATCTAGGCGTACAGCAAATTGATCAAGACAAGTCACGGGCAGTGATGACAGACAGAGTGTCATAAGGCCGAGGGTAAGAGGCAACGTGTCTCCAAGATCTGGAAAGCAAAGTTTGGTTGGTTGAGTCCAATGTGACGCGAAAGTCGTTGTTCCAAAACCGATTCGATCCTGTGAACGACGGCATATTGCGTAAGTGACGCCTCTCGGACTGAATGCAACGCAATAGAGCTAGAAACTTCTACATGACAACATTGCAATGAGCAATTCGTGATAAGGGGAACGATCCTGATTGAAAGGCGGGTAGGGATTGCGTGAGAATAAGCTCGGGGAAATAGAGGGCGAGGTCCTGAGTCAACCATTGTGACGTGGAACTCTAGCGAAGATTCGATGAGTCAATCACGACGACGCAGCTCAGCAGATCTTGTTGCTGTCCAGAAAAAGTTCGAGATCTCTAGACAAGCTGTCGTAATAACGGACTTGACTCACACAATCTTTGGCAATACCAGGTCGAGACTGTTCGATACGAGGGTAGAAGTGGAACAATCACGGCATGAAGGTCACGGGACCCGTGGAGAAGCTGAGGCGTGGCCGCTTGCGTCGAGCTCCACCGATAATGACCGGACCCCGCTGTAAAATGAGGCAGTTCGGGATCACGAGCACTCCGAAATCGCCTGCCATTCACACTACCTGCCAATCCAGCCTTCGTGACTCTAGAATCTTGGAAACATTGATTCCGCAATCGTCGGCATGACCTTAGAATCCACATATGCTGATAGCATTATCTGGCCCGCAGAAGATAGAGCCCCAGATAGATACGAGTCTAGTAGATCCGGACCATATAAAGTCAATAGGGCCGAGAGGTAGTAAAGCCTAGCAAACGGAGCCGGAGATCGTTAGAAGCTGGACCCGGCCCCCCATCGGCCGGTTATAAATTGACGAATGGGATGACAGCCTTGATGGGAATGCGGCAGGTAGATGGGAGACACGTCAAGCTTGAAGTGCGCCGTCGAGACAACCAGCCTGCAGGGTAGATCAGAGGAGTGGTGCCAAGTGCACAGACGGCGGGGAACCGATTCGTGCGAGTCAGGGGGCTAACCTGTACAAGCTGTCAACCGGTGGACGGGGCCGAGAGAGAGAGAGAGAGAGAGGATCTCTCTGCTGCTCGTGAACTCTCCGATTCAAGCGCCGCATCGAAGCTGTGAATCCAATCTTGTCTATAGTTGGAAGGCAGTTGAGTCAGAGTAGGCTTCAGAAATCAGCGTGGGATGTATTGCGAGATCGGGGGAGGCTAAGTTTGGTTCGAGGAATCGAGAGAGCTCTAGAAAGCTCTCCGCCTGAGCCGGGTGGGGGCCATTGGTCAATTGACTCGGACCTGACGAGCTTGGCCGGTCCAGGGGTTTCGGGGACCCAGATTGAAACGCGGAATTCCAGGTCATACGGCCAATTCCCCGCGAGATGCAGCGGCATCTCAGACTTGTTGAGACGGGATTCCTTGGGGTCCAAGGTCCGGAAGCGAGGTTGTGGCAGCTGACGATGGAGAGGACCCATTGGAAATCCCCATCGCCCATCAAGCTGGGAGCTGAGCAGTTTCTCGTGGAGCTTCAAGAGGTCTCCGTGAGGCAGTATGCGTTAGGTAAAACCAACGGGTTGAAAGGAGACGTGGAGCCTGGAAAGTGGGAAACGGAAGGCAGAGGGCAGCCACCGAGCATGAGCATGATCATGTGCCCCATTGATGCAGCTTGCCGCGATGGAGTCGTTGCAAGGCACCATGCTCAGGCCAGAATAGCGAAGCTGGCACATTGGTCCAAACGAAGCACGAAAGAAGCTGCCTCAGCCACACGTACCGGCCTGGGCCCCGACCTCGGAACCAAGCAGCAGAATGGCACAATTGAGGCCCTTGCGACATTGCCTTGCAGGAATGTATGTAAACAAACGAAAAAGAAGCGGTTGAGCAAACGACGACGACTGATTGAGAGACAAAAAAGGAAGCAGCCGGGGTGAGACGACACTGACGATGGGCAGTTTTGGATCAGTTGTGGACCTGAAATGGCTCGATGGCAGGGGTTCGTAGGTACTGGTCTCGTGCTGCTCAGGTACTTGGGTGGGCGCTGCGACGCAGTGGCTTGGACGATGTACCGGGTTAGCGGCGGTTGGTACTGAGGTATCCACTACCCCGCAATCTGGCCACCCGTCCCAGCTGCACGCTCGTACCTGAGACCCCGGATCCGAGTGGGCCCCCTTTGCGTCACTGTGCTCCCGTGGTCAATCAGTCATGACTGGAAATCTGTCAGAAGAAGGAGCCTGTGTTCTTTGAGGAAGGAACAATTGGAAACAGCTCTCATGGAAGGAAGGAAGTCAATGTTGGACGGTCCAAGGTAGTAAGCCTGCCTGTTACCAAGGACCCCAAACAACTTGGATGAGAGGGAGGGGTAGTAGGTAGAGCAAAGGAAAGGTGAAGCGTAGAGCTATGCGGTGTTGGGAACCAGCCGGCCAGCAAAGGCAACAGCTTCCCTAGTCTCCAATTCCTCTATGCCGCGAAGACGTACAACAAAAAGGTGGCATAATGAAGGTTTGGTCTGGCGTCAGTCCACGTCCATCTCCACTCCCGGCCACTCCCAGTCCATGCCGGCCGGTACCCCCGTAAGGTCGTCCACCTCAGTGTCCCAGTGGCACCCCGTCCCCCTTGGGCGTGCGGCGTGCCTTTCCTCGTCCAGCTCCTGCCGTCCTGATGTGCTTCCCTTGCAGCAGCAGCCCCTCCGTCCGTTGCATCAAGTCACGCGGTCCAACTTTCCCAAAGGAACCCCCAGCCGTCCCTGACCTGCTCGATACTTCCCCCCTTGCTATGCCACCCCATTGGGCAAGCTATCTGATGATCGCGTGATGTGATAGGCTGCCATTCCTCTCGAGCCTTCATCCTTTAAAAGCATCCTGAGTAGCTCTCCTCATCTACATATCTTCCCCTCCTCCCCTCCATCATCCTCACATCACAACAACTCATCAAGCTATTCCTCAAACCATCGAATCAACTCATCAACGACGATCAATTTTGACCAACCTCAATCACCGACAAACCTCTTCAATCTCGACTCGCTCTTCTTGAACCCTCTCAAGCACTTTGCACACTTACAACCACCCTTCAACAACACCAATTCCATCAAGAGTAAGTAGCCCGTTCCCCTCCCAATACTGTGAAGCTCCCACCTGCCCCGCATCACCATTCCTTCCGTGATGCTCTTCCCCATCATCACCGGCTTGTACGCTGGTCCATTGTCGACTCGAACATCAACGCTATAGATGGTCAATGTCCACTTCCTGGATCTTGCTGTCTTCGTCCCAATGCTTGATCTATGGCTCCTGGCATCATCTTTGACTAACACACCCTTCTCAGTGACTCGATCTCACAAGTACAACGACCGTGACCACGCCGGCCTGGCCGACGGTACTGCCTCTCCCCAAGAGCACTTGCCTCGCTACTTTGCGAAGCACGGTCATGAGGGCGTCGATCCCAAGAAGGTGAAGAAGAACGGTGGTGGCAGAAGCAATTGGTAAGTTTGGACCCCCTCTACCCCACTTACACACGCCCTTCTTGGCAACTTCAAAGCACCAACGTTTCCTGCCAACGCACGTCGACTTGACCAGATAAGATCCAATTGCTGACTTTCATGTCTCACAGGGGCAATGCTGGCGAGGAAGTCGTTGACGAGGACTTCCGCTTCACCAACGCTCGCCGCCGCACCAACAGCAGTGGCTTCGCCGATAACATCGGTGCCTTCAAGACCAAGTTCGACGTCAACGAGCCTGAGCCTGTCTTTGAGGAGTCCATACACGGCCCATCCGAGGAGGATGGCGAGGACCTCACCAAGACCGAGTCCTCCGAAAGTGGTCGCTCTTCCACCTACGATGATGAGAAGATCACCAAGCACTAATTATACGACCGTGATGTCTCTTACTCGGGTGCAATCACTCTCATAACCGCTATCCGGCAAGGCAGTCAATATTTACTTAACGGCTTTTCTTGTTCGTCCTACGAACTATGCTAACAACAAACACTACAACACAAACACACATCACATCATGCATGGGAGGACACTTTTTATTTGCTTCAGTTATCTCTCTTTCGAAATGGATTCGGCGACATATGGCTTTGTATTTCGAGGAACAGAACGGGGATCTAGGGGGATCTCCGCTCGAAAGATTGACTGCCTCGGTGGCGGATGACAGTATGCATCACGAACTTATTATGACCTGGCGACAAAAGGGTCGCCCTTGTATTATCACAAATCAAACGGCCAATGATCTAAGTAATAGATCCATGCCTTGTACCAAACTCTATCGCACTCTTTGCTCGTGATGCATCGTGTGAATAACCACTGCCACTTGCTTGATCCGAGAGGCCAGGCGATATCATCACTTTATGAACCTTTTAAGCGTTTGTTGACTGCCAGTCTTCTAGCTCTCAGATTTGCAGCGTATACTCTCAGAGCCGCTCACAGCAATGTAATGGGCATTCCCATGACGGCTGTGAACAGGTAAACGCGGATCACGGACGTGTCCCAAACCTACAGCAATCCCGTGCCTACCTTACATGTATATTAAGGTAGACAGAAAGCCTCCAGCTCACGGACAAAAACCGCGAATCAACACGGATTGAAGAGTCAATGCTCTATAGGTTTTCAGCAAGGACGGCAGTCGAACGTAAATCTTTCTGAGGTATCCAGCACCTTGGGACCAACCCGAGCTGCTGGGCAGCGACGCTCTCCGGGCGCAGAACATGACTACCAGCCTAGACAACGTATCACCACGCCTTCACTTCCCCAGAGCATATATCTGCCAGAATGTTTTCAATTCAGCCTAATGTGAGCAATCAACAGTGAGCAAGCAAACTTGTAAGCCACTTCTAATCATATGCACCATCTGGAAGCAAATGTCCTCGCCGTATCTGCCTTGCTTTGTGTCCCCCTCAATAGACGGGCCGCGTCTTCTGAGTTCCTCGTCCTGACCCCTCATCGCCAGCTGAGCAACCCCTTTACACCACCAACACCATGACGAAACAGAACTGCAACCCCCGCTTTTGAGCCACTCTTGGAAGATACGAACCCTTCACCACTCAACTCCAAGCACACACAGCCGCTCGACAAACGGGGACTAGCCGAATGTCAAAGTAAAACGGGCGTACAACATTTGCTCCTCCAAGATTCGGAGTCCACTGGCATCCTTCAAGGTAAGCTCCTCCCATGAAGCTATGGGACGAAGGGAAGAAGGAAGTGGAAGTAGCTTCACCTCGCCCGCTGCCTCCGGCTCCGTGTTCGCCGTGTCGCTTGACTCGATAGCGGGGAAGAAGAGCTCGCTCCAAGCCTGGTCACTCCAGACAAGCTTCCCTTGTGCAACGCAGCCTGTTTCGTCTGCCAGGATACCCATGATTCGGGGGTTGAGAACGAGGGACCTTTCTTGCAAGCAGTTCTTGCATGTCGCAGACGTTTGGTTTGCATATAGGGGAACTCCACAACTAAAGCAGGTAGATCCGTCAGCTGTGGTGCTCTTCTCCATTGCTGCGAGCAGACTTGACTCAGAGAGGAAGGGCTCATCCTCACCACTCTATGCAGCAAAGCATCTTTCTGCGACTAAGATCCAGCAGGTCTATACCGAGTATGGTGAGGTTCAACTTGCCGGTGAAGTCACTGGCCGGGTCAGCGCGGGCGAAGTCGTCGACTTCGGCCAGGGTGAAGAGCGCCCGGACCGGTCCATGAACAGCTTCTTCTGCATTCCATATGTCTCTGGGAAATGGCATATACACACACTCCTTCTTGACTCTCTTCACCACCCACTGTCGAAGCCACTTGGCGTCCTGGAAGTCCGGGTCGACATCAATCAAGGTATTGTGGTCAAGACCGATGCTGGCGTTCGTCGGTGCTGACTTGTTGTCCCGTGGGGCCACAAATTTCGGACTCGTGAAGAGTAGCATCGTCTCGTTAGGCTTCCAGAATCTGGCAGAGTTGGCCTTGTCTTCCCAGAGAGTCAACACACAACTGGCGGTATCGTCCCAGACCGTGATCTCGAGAAGTTCCAGCTCTCTCGAGCGGTCTTTCGTCACAACACGTTTCCGAGATCCAATACTTTTGACGCAGACAATAATTCGAGCCCCTGCAGTCTCATACCCCGTCTTGAGGTATTGACAAAGAGTCATCAAGCCTGGAAGTGGTTTGGGGTCCTGTTTGCCTTGGTCGCATTCCAAAGGCGTTCTGTAGAGTTGTTGGTTTTCGACAGTGTCCGGGAGAAACTGAATGAACTGCCTGGTGCCAACGTCCACCGGATTGATGGGCGTGTACGTGGTCACATAAGGAATGCTGGCATAATGTGCACCTCCTGTGCTTCCTACCCAAGTCGCCCATATGGTGACGAGCTGACCTATCACCAGAATTGATGCTGGAATCCCGATTGGAATGACCTTGACCTATATAAAGGGATCAGCCCGGTCTTGCTCAAGGGTAGTGCACCCAAGGAAAGGAGGTGGTAAATACTGCTATTGCACCGGTTCCATCAATGACGACCAGCTGGTGTGCCGGGCGGCTGTAGTTGTTCTTAGAGTCGAGGAGAGCCGGTGTGTAATTGACGACGCGGCCAGTGAAGCATATGCGATTTGGGCCCGGCTCAATCTGCCCAATACGCACCTCCGAGTACTCTTCCGATGGGTTCCAAATCCGGTCAAGGGGGTTGTGTCCAGACTCTATTTCTGCTTGGGTAAAGCCGTCGACTCGCGGCGGTCCCGTTCTATCTCTCGAAGCAGTGTGAGGCGTTGTCGAAACCTCCCTCGGAAAGAACGTTTGGATGGAGGAAGCCGACATTATGCGTATTGCATCGGGAGTATGGAATACGCATCAATTGTGGGAGATGTCTAGGATGATGATGGTCCATTGAAGAAGATTACCATGAGTGAAGGAAAGTTCTCTCGATGGAATATGGCAGAAGGGCCTCGTACTACCAGGTACTTACCATTGCAGGAGGGTTTCCTAATCACATCGTTCAGAGGAAGGAGCCACTGCCTGACCTGCGCCTGCCTCCCCCATTCTAAGATCCGAAAAGAGGAAAGATGCCATCAACGTTCTTGCTGTGGACCTTACAGCATTTCAAAACGTAAATGGAATTGACACCTTAAGTTCTCGGATACCAGGTAGTAAGTAGTATTACCAAGCTCGCACTTCGGTCTTAAGATCAAAGACATCAGACCCAGAAACCCGGATATGCGTAGCTTCTAAGTAATGGCATGTGAAGAGGGTCAACAGTACCACCCAAATCCCCGGATGTTTCGTATTGGGGGAAGTGGAAGCGACCTACTGCGGAAAACCCGAGCTTCTACAGACCGCATACCCGTGAAGGCTGTTTGTGATTGAATGAGTGGCTATCATGGCATCGTCACCTGCGAACAAAGCAGTGTGGGAAGTAAGCTGTTTGCATCACCACAAACAACGCCCAGCCAAATCAAGAGTGGTTAGAGCGGGCACGATATTTCAAATGTTTATTGATCTCTACCGCACCTCGGAGATGTAGGATTTACTATCTGACATCTCGGCATTTACATCCAAAACCGTCGCATGGCAGTCTCATCATCCACTGGATGTCATCTTCTCATCAGCGTTCGTCTCTTTGTTTTCCTTTCCCATTGGTTTCGATATGATACATATATAACTGGGTATTAAAACATGACAAGGGTTAATCCCGACTAACTCCTAACGCCTGCGCATTGTTTCTATCCGAAAAAAGGACAAAAGAAAGAATATGTAATAATCTGGTGTCGCTTATTGGAGTGCCGCTAGTCATCGATTTCAGCCGTCTAGATTCTATGCTTTTCCGGGTACCGTTCCATGTTCAAAGACCGATGCTGGGGTTTATGCTTAGTGCTCGGAGGGACCAGACTGTTTCCGTCCAGGCGCGCCGTAGTCCGAGATATTGCTGGAAGTGTGCGAGATCGACGTTGATCGGTGGCTTTGTGTGAGGCTATTCTTGGCACTCCCGGACTTCAGATCTTGCATTCCGTAGACACTCGACGTGTCATGTGTCTCCAGCGCAAAATGCTTAGTGCAAACGATGCCTTTGCCGCCTCGCAGGGCTGATTGCAGCTCCGTAGTCGAGGAGTCGCCGAGAGGGCGAGACATGCGGTTCGCGCTTCGGCTCCCGTCCGCGGCGCTCGAGGGTGAGTCCGCATGCTTTTGTGTGTCGTAGCGCTTGGTAAGCATTCCGAAGAGCTTGGGAAAGGCCTTGATGAGAATGAGACGGATGGCTGGGAGACAGCAACAGATAATGCCGGTAGGAACCTCGAGGCATGTCCAGAATGCGATGTCGTATTGATCCCACGTAGGGTTCAATGAGTTTGCGAACCGGATAAGCGATTGAAGTCTCAGGATACTAACGATGGTGACGCTTGGCGATGTTAGCACAACGTCTGCAGGGTCAGTCATGGATTCGCGTTGGAACTTACAAAGTACCGACACAGAACATAAGTGTGACGGCTAGCTTCTTCCACCAGTGCAGATTGAGAGTTCGGATCCGCGACAAAGGAAGATACAGCATCCAAAGGTCCAGAAGGATACTGATGATGGCGTTGGCCCACGGAACTGCATTAATGTTGATGCAAGTACCTTGCTGCTCGCCGTCCCATCTCGTCCAGTAGTAGTGGATAGGCGTGCATTGGAAAATGCCAACCATGAGAAACACGAAGGTGGTAACGGCATTGAAGGCGGCTGTGCCCCAAAGGAGCTTTCCAAGCCCGGCTCGGTCGAAGATGCGCATGTTGAAGCATAGAATCGCCATCTTAACAATACCCATCTGTACGAAGTACATTGGCTCCAAGATGTAGAACCAATAACCGAAGCTTTCAATTTGATGTGGTGTGAGGGTCCAGATGTCTTTACCGAGGCCGGCAGGGAGAATTCCAGCGAGGTTGATGATGAACGATGGAAGGATGGCCAGGTAGGCAAGAAATGTGAACAAGTCATCGAGCCCGAGCTGTGCCGACGAGAAATACTTGTAAATCAAACGGGCTCCAACGACGAAGGTGGTGAGTCCCATCAGGACCCATGTAAGCCGGACATATTCTGCGCTGTGATCTCGGATAGGTTTATTGCATGTAGTCTGGAACACAGCTTTGGCGTCTTCGAGCTGTTAGTATATGCCACTGAGAGTCAGGCGGAAGGGCATGACTGACGAAGTGTGTCCTTGATACTACATGCTCCAACTATACATGTCTCGGTATCTGACTCGAATTTCGAATCGTTGCAGATACAAGTCGTGTTCGTTAACCCGCACGGTGAGTCCTTGACAGCGGATAGAATACAGGTAACCTAGAGCAAAGTTAGACGATGCCGGCTCGAAACCTAGAGAGGAGAAACCCCTACCGCGCATGTGGGAAGCTGGGCTACAGCATCCGTGATGCTGTTGACTTTCTGAGCTGCGGCCATAACAGCTAGTAGCGCAGCTACCAAAAAGGCAAAAGACAATGGAAACCTCATGGTGTCCGAAGTGAGACCGTTTTGTCGACAAATAAAATTCGAAGAAAACCTTCCCAAGACCCTGGACCGTGTCAATGGGGATAATTGCTTCTTAAAGAAGGAGCATTGGTATCACAAGGCTGTTTGTCACGTTTTTCTTCTTCTCTACAGAAGCCACCGTCCACAACAAACAACAAAACGCAAAAGGGGCACCCGAAGCTGGCCTTGCCAGCGACATTTAAGGGTAGGCAACTTCATCCTTCGTAGGTCCCGAGTTGTACTCCTTTCAACAACATGATGTGCCGCATGCGATAGTTCGGCCAGGAGCGCGCCACACTAAGCCAAGGAGGCGGCCGCCTTTTAGCCCCCTCACGTGGTGGAGACTCGATGAGAAGAGGACGATCCAGGCTGGAATCGCGAACAGAGCGTACCCGGACCACTGCTTCCGGCAAGACCGGTGACAGCCACCTTTCCATAGTCCGACGAGGGCGAGGCACGGATGGAACACCAAGGTCATATAGCTCGGGGTAGTGGACCACTGACGGGCGAACGACGTCTCGCGACTGTCGCCTCTTGGGTTGCTCCAGGCCCCCGGGTTACATTCCGGATCCCATTCGCCATATCCGTCCTGCACGACTTGCGGGCGACGGAATGGGAAAGCGCTTCGGCAACGACGAACGAAGAGCGAACAGAGACCAAGCGTAGAGACGATGACTTCTGGGTGGATCAAATCTGGGACGCGGGTGCATATCTGGCTAAATAGTTCGTGCCGTTCTTCTTCAACATGCCGATGGGAGAGATTCCACTGCCTAGGTGGTAATGTTGAATAGTTCTCGATTGGTGGAAATGCGTTGCGATAGACTCTCTGGAAGACGTCCATTCCAAGAAAAACGAGATTGCGAGAGCCACTTTACACCTGCTTCCACGTGGAAGTCGTCTAGAAGGAATGAAGGCGTACTGAACACTTCCATTCCGTTATCGTCGACGCCTCTCTGATGTTGACATGTTTCTCGGATAAATGTGAGGCTTGCCTCTGTCAAAGAAATCAACCAGTTCCATCAGGCAAGTGCAGAAGTTAGCACCTTGCGTCAGCCTTTTAGTAAGCCCACCTGGTGAGTGCTGTTGGAGAAAACCAGAAAGAAGAAAGGTCCCGGTGGGGAAAGGCAAGAAGCCATCGACAACTAACGCCATGCCTGCACGTCAGGTCCCGCGTCGTCCCACCATGCATCTGCCAAGTTAATCGTTGTCTTGCGTGCTTGCCTGTCATAGAAAATCGGGACGGATTGCGTAGAGCGAGTCCAGCCCAAGCACTCGGGGCAGCAATTGGTGGGTGGGGTACCCTAAAGCCAGGGGACCTTTTCAGCCCGCTAGCGCTGAAGCGTCGCTAGTCGACTGCTGAAGAGGGCTGATTTGTCTGCTCTGGCAATCTGGCTGCTCAAGCGTTGTGTTTATGTGAGTGGACCCTCGCAAGCTTCGCAAGCTTCGCACCAATGATCGACGGCAGGATGGCCTGTGCACCCGATTCCACAAAGCCAAATGAACGCACGCGCCCGTCTTCCTTGTAGCCGACTTTATCTTCTTATCGGGCAGCTAAGGTAAGGCGAGGTACCTATCCAATGCGCGTGCGTCAGTGCGTCAGTGCGTCCCAAGGTTCCAAATTTCTGAACCGCGATCGCGGCAGCCTCGCGCCGTTTAACATCGGCAAAGACACCTACGGACACCACCACCTACCATCCATACCATCAACCCCTCAGGAACCCTCCACCGGGAATACGGTCCGTTTGACAGAAACCGAATTCTTTATTCCAAGTCCCCCGGTTACGAAGTCCTTGTCGGGTACACCTACAAAATGTCTGCGTTGAACGCCTTCCACGAGTCGCTGCCATGTACGTTTGTTATTCCAACCATTTGCCGCGCATACTCTCCGACTAACGAGCAACGCCCGCAGATATTGATGACGAGCCCACACCGGCAGAGCGCGAAGCTGCCGAGTCCCTAATCCGAGCTGAATTATCCACCTTTACCCCGGCGCCTGCGCCAAACTACAAAGAACCGTCCTTCTCCTCCCTCGTCGAACTGGAGCTGGAGCGTGTCGCCTCCAAACAGCCTCTTAAAGCCATTGATCTCGAGCGCTATCAAACACAAGAACCTTTCTCCGACTCCGAGGCAACGTCGACGGAAGAAGACCGTATCCGTCTCGCCGACTCACTCCAGAAGGCCTACATTTCCTACGCCTACCTCGATACCCGTGCCCAAAATCTAAATCTGTTAGATAAATGGGGAAAGAACGCGTGGTTGATTGGCAATTGGGGACTCGAGAATGAACTGAAAGGGTTCGAGCGTGATCTTGCTGAAACGAAGCGCCTCATTGATGTTTTGACTGTCACCCGGAGACGCCAACAGGAAGAAGTAGCGGCAGAGATGAAGGGGCTGGAGGAGAACTGGAAGAAGGGTGTTGGAAGGACACTAGAAACCGAGATTGCAGTCGAGCAATTGAGACGAGAGGTTCTAGAAGAAATGAGGGTAAAGGGCGGCTGAGAAGCATCGCACTGCGCAGACGCAGCACATGACGAGTGCCGCATCTTATTGTAACTGTACCAATCACAAGAACTAATTAATGATACCACATGGAACGTTATCTTCACAAACTTCAAATCTGCTTGCGTCGTGGAAGAAATATAATCTTTACTAACAGGTATCTGGACGTCACTAGCCGTGTCTCTTAGGAAGCGAAGGTAGGGGGTTCCGCCTAACGCCGTCGTGAATGTTGACATTCACCCTCTTCAACCTTCCCAAAGTCTGCCATCCAAACTTGGATCATACGCAAAATCAAACATCCCCAGGTTCCTCTCAGGCCGCTTGAAGCGGGTCCATCTCCTCAACGCCGGTCTTGACCTCCTCGTATTTTGTCCGTCTCATGATGCCTTCAACGGGACCAAGGAGTCTCTGGAAGGCGTTCTTGCCGAGACTCGCAACCTTGACATCCGACGTCGCGACAATGCTAGCGGCGCGAGGAGCATCGTTCAAAAGCGCCAGCTCACCAAAGAAATCTCCCTTGCTGTAGTGCTTGACAGATTCCTTAACGCCAGCCTTGTAGGCATCGGCCTCACCGCTCTCCAGAAGGAAGAATGCGTGACCTGGGTCCCCCTCCTTGATGATAGTAGCTCCAGGAGCGTACTTCTGGGTCTCCAGTGCGTCGGCAATCTTGGATCGCTCGTAAGGTGTGAGGCTTTGCAACAAAGGAACCTCTTCGAGGAAACTCTCGTACATCCGTCGCCGAGCGAATGTCGACTCCATGAGAATACGGCGGAACGTTAGGCGATCAAGCGCCCAGAGAGTGCATCCAGATTCGGCAGAAATGACAGTCGCAGCACGGGGAGCGTTGTACATCAAGGCCAGTTCACCAAAAGAGCCCCCTGCCTGGATGGTTCCGACTTTCTGGCCCATGCCCTCAGGGCCAGGCTGCAAGTTCCCGCTGCTGTTGACATATACATCAAACGACCCCTTCTCTACCACGTAGAAGAAGTCGCCCGCGTCACCTTGGCTGATAACCTGTCGTGAAGTGTTAGAAGTCCCTTCAACATCACCCCATTGACTCAACTTACCTTGATATCCTTGGCGGGAATGGGTTTTTCATTCAGCGCACCCAGAATCTGGCCACTCTGTTCCTCATCTAGATGGGAAAACAGGAAATTGCCCTCAATGGCAGTTTGCAAACGGCCCAACTGCTCTTTGGTCTTCTCGTGATAAGGGGGCGACCAGTTGTCGTATGTGTCCGCACTAGGCTTAAGAGACTCAGCAGAGACCGAGGTTCGGCGGCCGAAATTGTACTGGGCAGGGTAACTCTCGGGGTTCGGTGGGCTTCTCAGCGCAGAAGGCGGAGCGTCGTCTGCGGCATCCCCGCCGAATGGGCCGTTGAAAGTCATACCCGTATTCATGCCGAAATTTGGTGATGTCGGAGACGTAACAGTATCGTTCTCTTCCTCTTCGATCACACGGTGAATGGCATTGCCTCCTGCGGGAGGTCCATCGGTAGGTCCTCCAAAAGGATTGGCGTTTGCCCCAAAAGGACTCTTGAACATGCCAGACATGGTTGCGGTATAGGTTACTCGTACAAGGAAAGATGCTTCGTTTCGATATAAACCGTCACGATTCGCCCTTTGGAAGGTGTTCGATCGGCGCAACGTTCAAGGACGTTGACAGTAAGTAGTCGGGTGGAGAGTTGTTTGCAAACTATTTGTGCTCAGATCAGCTTCGGCCCACGACGTCCAGATTGCACCGTGAGGAATGTTAGAGGGTTGCCAGGTTCTCTGAGGTCATCAGGGTAGGGTGGTGGACAAAAGAATGCTGTAAAATTGGTGGGGTCGTTGAGCAGGGTGCAAGTTGAAGAGCACCTAATGCTTCGTCCCCGCGTTCAGGCTGCACCAATCAAGCTGACCACCGCTCCCTAGCGACTGCGTCGGGTAGAGGCAAGATTCTGAAATGAAGCGGATCGCGTTCAATAGATACCGCTGTTGCTAGAAGGGCTCTGACGCAGTAGAGTGGCAAGGTTCCGAAATGGATACCGGACAAACGAGAGGAGAGACAGGACAAGATAAATACCATGGAACGCTTAAGTTGGAGATCAGGAGTCTGATACAGATGACAAGAGGGCTACGAAAAGCAGAAGCTGTTGTAGTGAAATGACAAGCAAGGGAAAGCGGGTGCTTGGTGGGCTTAACCTTGACAATTGGGCTGGGGCTGCGCGTGGCAATAAACGGACGGGAGCTATCACTTACCACAGCGGGAGGAGCTAGCTAGTGGGTGATGATGATCTGGGCGGGGAGCTGGCTAGCTTTCGTGATATTGGCCACCGCCTATTCAGGTAGGAGGCTGCTGTCGACGTTATACTGGAGCGAAGGACTGGCAAGACCGGGGAGGAGTTTTGTTGATAGCTAAGACGCGGATGAAGATCCCCGGGAGCAATAAGTGGGAGAGGAGGAAGAGAGAGTTGCTAATTAACTTCGTGCGGTGCAGCAACTAGGGGTACGGTAAGGTCGAGGTTGTGAATGCCGCTAGCTAGGAAATAGGACAGACGAGGGGCGAAGCAAGTGGCCGATTGCTGTTCCTGCTCTCGTGCTGTCGTCCGGGTTCGAGATTAGGCCACGAGGACAGCGTTCGCTTGTTTGTTCAAGTCGAGGGAAGCGGGAGGAGGTGACGAGATGAGAGCACGAAATGAAGAATGTCAGAAGTGGAAAAGGCCAAGGGAAGGGAAGCTTTTTGGGTTCGGTTTAGGGACGTGGATTGCTCTGGGATGGGGGGGAAGAAGGTGGGGGGGTTGAGAAGCAGGAGGCACGGAGGGCCTTTGACGCATCGCTGCTTCCAGTCAAACAACAGCAGCAAAGAAGCAGGTGCTCCCCTCCTTCCTCCTTCCATTGCTCCTCAATGTCCCCATCTCCTTCCACAAGGTGACAGTGAGGTCCTAGCTTTTGAGGGGCCCTGCTACCCCGGTTGGCCAGTCATGACCGTCGAAGAGTTCTAGAAGGCGCACAGATCAACATGTGGCCGGCTGCCGCTTGCCTTCCCTGCAGCCCGAAGTGTCCGGGCTTCACCTTCCAAGCCGCTTCGGTTGCGATTCTGTGCAGCTCTCAGCATCGCCTCTGACTGGCTCAACTTGCAATAAACCCAGGCATCCCAGGACACCTTGCCTGCTTTCAATCCATTGCCTCCTTGCCTCCCTGCCTCAGACGAGATGCAGGCGGTACGTACTCTCGGACTGAGGCATCTTGCTCCTTGGATCCCCTGGTTTCGGCCATGTCATCATGGGGACGGCCTCCCGTGGAATTTCAGGGCGCTTTCAGTGGGACTACCCCGTCCGCCCGCAATTGCCCCTCACCAAACCTCTCCTACCAGTGGCTCCTTCATTCGATAGCCCGCTGATCAAAGCCGGTACAACCCTTTTAGGGGTGCGAGCAAGGGGGGACGATCCCTTTCCCAGCCAAAGTTGTGGGAGCTGCTTGGTCTCAGGATGCACTTTCTAAACGACACCTCGGCCTGCCGCTTTCACCGGGCCGCACTGTCGAGTTCATTTCAGACAGCCAAGTCTCGCCTACATCCGAATGCTCAATGCTTTACGACGGCCCATGTTTTTTTTGCGAAGAAATCGTTACAAGCGCTGACCTGTTAGATGTGATATAAGACAGATACAACTGGTGATGTCGAGCGACTTATTCAGGAAAGACCTGAGACTGGGCTGAAGCATCTTTCATGGTTTGGTGAAAATGTATGTATGACGCTCTCGCCTCTCTCTGCGTTTCAATATGCTTCTACAAGCCTGATTCCCTTTGGCTTTGGTAAATGTCGCTTGGTCAAGTTCCCGTTCTGACATCTCGATGGCAAACGCTTACTTACAACTTTATCAGATTCTTTTTCAATATAAGCGTTCCACAACTGCATTTTACACCAGCTACCACATCGTACACAAGGGTTTTTAAACATGATTTCTATGGAATTACTCAAGCAACCGTCGGCGGCCATGTGATAAGCATGTGCTGTAAGTTAAGAAGACCATGAAAAGTGAAGAACGATCATGCGAGAGCTACCTAGGAAATGCTTTCTTCAATGATGACAAAGCTCTAGATAGGACTGGCGAAAGAAGAAGTGTTTAATCATGTTCTGCGATTTGTCAACTAAGGTAAAGCTAGAATAAGAAGACAACATCGCTGTTCGTATCGGAATAGAATCGTAAACGGCAATTTCTATTGAAGTAAAGAGAGAAGACATCTCGAGTGGACTGTGGAGCTGGGCTGTGGACTAGTCTGAGGGGTCAGGTTCATAGTCTGCAAAACTTTCTGAAAATTCATCAATCCGATATGGTGTAGTGGCCAACATGATGCCCTCTCATCTCCAATGAGAGGTTAGGCATAGCCCCGAGTTCGATTCTCGGTTTCGGAATATTTTACCTCCGGGACAGCCATTTTTTAATGCCTGCAATCATTGTGTTTGCAAATCCTTTTCGTTTCACTCCGAAAAAAATGGCCATAACCTTTTGGCGTGCATCTGTCGCTCTGGCTACTTGCTTTTTTTTTCTTTTTCAAAGGACAAACTCGTGCCTCAGGTATGTCTTGATACGCCTACGAATAGACAACCAACCACTGAATGTCACTGAGGATTTGGGGTGGGGGTCTTTCTCTACCAATATTCTTAGAACCTTTTGGGAGTCGGACTGGGCAGGTGCTCACTAATAATTCAACTGTACAATGACTGGTATCCTGTGATATCATGGCATCCTATTCTCGTCCAAGGCATCTTTGATCTCTATTGTTCCCTCCAACTGATTGGCTCCTTCCATTGTTCTCGGTCTGCTTAACGGACTGTACAGCATCCAAAGGCCCTAGTTAATAACTGAACAGCGGCTGCCCGTGCTCCGTGTTGACGAGGAAGTGGGTTGCTCAGCCACGACGCTAGACCTAATACATGCATTGAACGCCAAGCCACAATTACGCTGACTTCCGACTCTCCTGTCTGTCCGGTCCAGCACATTCTAGTCTGGACTTTCTCGACAGCAACCGATCGCCAACATCACCAACATCAATCGCGCGCGCACCTTCTGAGTGCACGATTGCCCAAGATGCCCGATCCCTCACCTGGCGTCAACCACGCCGAATCCATCGAATCGCAACATAACACCGGAAAAAAGGAAGACAAGAAGAAGAGCCGCCGACCAGCGAGTATGTGGAAGCCCCGGAACAAAGCCAACCTCCCTTCAGCGATCGCGGAAGCGCTGGGAAGCGATGGAAATGAAGCTTATGGTACTGATACATGCTTCTGAATAGACACGGCATTCAGACAACAACGTTTGAAGGCATGGCAGTAAGTTTGGCAACAGCTCTCTAGAGACGAACAGTCGCAAGGGAATCTCGGTGGCTGACTGTTACAGACCAATTTTGACGCCCAAGACTGTCTTGCCTCTCTTCTTCACGATCGGAATCATTTTTGCCCCGATCGGCGGACTATTGCTCTACGCAAGTGCGAAGGTAAATATGGCATTGATACACCGAGAGGGCCATTACTAAAATGCGCGCTTCGAAGGTCAAGGAAATCCGCATCGACTACACAAACTGCCTCACCGAAGCGACCTCCACTCTTGGCGAAATGGACTCGAAGTACATCAGCACTGCGTTTAAGAGCGACGACCAGACAAAGAATGCCGAGTGGGCTGTGACAACTGTCGACGTCACCGACGGACCGATTACATACGAGGCGAAGCAATGCAGAATCCAGTTCAGAATTCCTGAGGATATGGGACCGCCTGTGCTGTTCTACTACCACCTCACGAACTTCTACCAGAACCATAGACGTTATGTCGCTTCCTTCTACGATAAGCAGCTTAAGGGAAATGCCGAGTCCGCCAGCAACGTCAACAGCTCTTCCTGTGAGCCTCTTGAGTGGGACTCAGATGCCCTGAAGCCGTACTACCCTTGTGGTAAGTCTTTCCGCAGTCCACTTGCTCATTAGATCACATATTCACATAGTGGCAGGTCTGATTGCGAACTCCATGTTCAACGACACGTTTACTTCGCCCCGTATGCTTCAAGAGGACTCGATCTACCCGATGAAGAACAACTCGGGTATCGCCTGGGCATCTGATGCCGAACTTTACGGGGAAACCAAGTACGACCCTGCTGATGTCATGCCGCCACCAAATTGGAGAGTCCGGTATCCCAACTACACCACTGAGCACCCTCCGCCCAACATCGCCGAGTGGCAGGCCTTCCAAGTTTGGATGAGGACTGCTGGATTGCCAACTTTCAGCAAGCTCTACCAGCGCAACGACGACGAGACGATGAAGGCCGGCACGTACGAGGTTAACATCACTGATAGTGAGTGTCTACCAACTAACGCGACTCGCCGTTTAATGCTAACCCAGACGCAGATTTCCCAACCACTGAGTACAAGGGGAGCAAGTCCATCGTCATCACCACACGAACAATCATGGGTGGCAGAAACCCTTTCCTGGGAATCGCCTACATAGTAGTCGGCGGCATGTGCATCCTTCTGGGTGTGATCTTCACTGTCACTCATCTTATCAAGCCGAGGTAAGAAAGCCATTCCTCTCTCCCAAGCCCCTTTAGAGCCTTGATACTGACAACCCACGTAGAAAGCTTGGTGATCACACCTACCTCTCCTGGAACAATGCTCCTGGCTCCAAGCCGGGTGCCGGTCCCAGCTCGGCCATGGCTTCAGGTCGCGAAGTACGACCCGGCGAAGCCTAGAAGGCCCGCGATGAGTCGCTGCGCCCTCTTCGTGCGCGTGCAGCATCTGACTCGACCGAACCTTCTGTAACATCGACAAGACTGGCGTACAGTGTTACTGCATCGTCAGTCGGGGGCCAACGTATTGTTTCCCCCCGGTCGCACCTGTGAGGTCGGGCAAGCAGACGCAGCATCGTTTTGGAAGGCTAGCATTGCGGCGTTTTTGTACGGAATGACATGAAATTGTACGAGTAACGGGGACCTCGACTGCAAGAGGGACACCCCGCCCTTCACAGCGTCTCCCGCTGCTGAGGAGGATAAGGAAGGGGGACTTTTGTTTATGGTATTCTTTACCGGCTGGTCAATGACGCGCATTGTTTGTTCTGCTTCCTCTTTTTATGAACTTTTTGGGTTTCTGACCCTGCATGACTTTTTTTCAAAGCCCCCTAAAGAAAGGAACGGGGGACGAGGTAGGCAACCAGCAGAAACCATTAACGTTCCTTAGCTTACCGAGGGAATCTGGAGTTCGAGGGTCAAGGGTCAGGCAGACCATCAAATTATCTCTTCAAGGCATGATTAAATCAGTTTCGTTCCACACATACACCTACAACATTGTGCGTCGCTCGAAGTAAATCATGCATATCGAAGTAAATCATGCATACAATGAGGGGAAGGAAGTTCCATCATGTCCATCCGGGAATCGTCATGGATTAATAAGAAAGCTATCTGTTCCGTCGCCCTGAAGGCCGCAAGAGGCGGCCCGCGTTCACCAAGGACCTCCCCATACTCTCGCCCCTAGACGCCTACACAACAAATTTGATAATACAAGTGATACCAAAAAAACAATGCAATCATGGAAAACGCTTCTGTGTGTACCCACGACCCGCCATTTCGCATCAAATGGTGCTTCCAAAGAGTCAAATGCTCAGTGCTTTCTCTTCTTGCGGCCGCGGTCGTCGTCGTCACCGCCGCCACGGGCGTCCTCTCGATCGCGCTTCTTGGCCTTGGCCTCGAGTTCGTCCCAGTCCTCGCCCTCGTCTTCATCGCTCATCTCGGCGTCTTCCTCCTCGTCAGAGACGTTGGAGCCAAAGTCAGAGTCTTCCTCACTCGATTCGGAGGCCTCATCAAGCTCATCAGACTCGATCTCAAAGTTGCTCTCAGGCTCAGACTCCTCTCCTTCATCGTCGGACTCCGCCTGCAAGAAGGACCAACCGCCGTCAATGAAGAACTGGTGGGTGTCGGCAGTGACCGTCTTCATGATTGTCGGCCAGTTGAGGTTGAGAGGGCCCTCTGAGTAGGCAATGTCTGAAGAGTCCAAGAATTCCTTGACGTGGTCGAGGAACTCTACTGGAATAGTGTTGACGTGATAGGGTGCTCTTGTGAAATCTTTGAAGACGAACACAAGATCAAAGTTCTTCAGACCAAATTGCACACGTTCCAAATGAGCCACTTCTATATCATCCAATGTGATAACCATGAAAGGTGGCTCGACTACCTGGATCAAGCACTCCGTGGTGGGCTGGATAAAAACGTTGCTTCGGAATGGCACGCCATGGAAGCCTAGGTCTCTGATAGGAACATCTACCTCGATGTTCTCGTTCTTGCCAGCCTCGGCAATCTTCTGGGCAAAACCTTGGAACAGGCGGTCAAGCTCGGCACGGCGACGACGCTCCTCCTGCTCCTGTTCGAACTCGTCCTCATCGCCGTAGCGGTATTTTCTCTTGCGGTTGCCTGTTTCATCGAACTGGATATCAGTCGCCTCGCGGTAGAACTGCACATCCTTGGTCTTCTTCTTGTTGGCAACCATGATGGGGTCTTTCAAGTGAATGTGGATGATGACGATCAACTCGTGCTGGCAAGGCTGGAAGAATAGGTGGCGGACGTTTGAGAATAGAATATCGACACGTTGCTGCGTGCTAAGCGGCGACTGGTATCGAATACCATTCTGGTGGATTTCCACCTTACCAGGAACTCGCTTTCCTTCCATGGCAGGGCGAATGAAGACATTGTCGAGCACAGCAGGACGGCGATCTAATGAAATTGGTCAGTAGGCTTTTCAGAGTGGTCAAGGAAGAGGCTAGCTTACTTCTTATTTCGACGAGCTTGTCCTGCTCGACAACATCCTCCAGCTCCTTCTTCTCCTGCTCTTTCTTGTTCACATCCCGCTTCATGTTGGAAATCTGCGTAGCGATTTCTTGGTAGCGATCGCCGTCCGTCGACCGGAATGTCAGACTTCTGACGAAATGAGCCGATGCATCCTCGAAAGGCTGGTCGTCTTTGCGACCGACACCCTGGCCTGGGGAGAGCAGGTTGACTCTGAGGAACGACCAGTCACCTTCATCACTCTTGCTGGCATTCTTGATCGTGTTGATATGGAATGGGACAGGGCGACCCATGACGGGAAGTATCACTGTGTCATTTCTCGCATCGACCACGATCTGCAGTTCGCGGACCTTGGGAGGGAACTGGTTGTCACGCTTGTATGAGTCAAAGCGCTTGAACTTCTTCACCTCTTTGCCATTTTGCCCGCTGGTCGACTCGGAGAAGCGCGCAAGACCTTCCTTCTGCTTCTTTGACGCCAAGTCCTTTTGATGGTCCCGGCGTCTCTTGTCCGCATCGTCATCGACTGTGGTTGTCCGCTCGGATCTCAACCTCGTAGAAGTGATGTTCTTAGTAGCAACAGCACCAACTCGAGAATCCTTCTTCTCCTTCTTGGGCGTAGGCTGGGCTTCCTCCTCGTCTTTGAAGAAGAAGGAATTTGAATCTGCGTCGATAGGAGTCTCTCCGGTGAAAACAACTGCCTCGCTCGATGTCACACGGATCGTGTCGGTGATGACCAAAGAGTAGATCTTGCTGTTCTTGTCTTGGGGTTGAGGGTTCTCAATATCGCTGAAGCCCGTTGTGATGACAAGGGTCATGCCATCCTTCAGGGCTCGGGAGTTCTTCGCGTTTAGAATCAAGGTCGGGTCTCTGTTCTCCAAGCCGACGCCCCAACCAACGTTTTTCAAGAAGTGTTTCTCCAGGTCAGGTTTCTTGGCCTTGATCATGCTCAAAGCCTTGTTGTAGACCTCCTTGATAACGACGCCATCGCGAACCTCTTTGAGAATCATGTTGTGGATGTTGAAAAGAAGCTTATAGTTGCTCTCTTGCGACTTGTTCGGGTCGACAAGGTACGTACGGGCGATGGCCGAGCAGTACGACTTGTAGCGCAGGCCCATAGCAGCAACAATAGTACCGGGGTGCAAAATGTCGTCGTTGCTCTCCGAGTTCATCTTCAAGTCGTATTTTCCACCACTCTGCACGAGAGGGCCCAGAACCCAGTCCAGCTGTGCAGGGTCCAAGTCTGCGGGAAGCTTCGTCTTGTTCGGAAGCTCAACCGTCTTCCAGAACTTGGTATCGTCAAGCTTCTTGTCGACCTTGTCTGCTAGCGCGCTGTGCTTGACCTTCTTCTCCTTATCAAGAATGTCGGACATTTCTTCGAGGAAAAAGGGGGTCATCAAGGCGACGCAGGCCTTGGAAGCGGTTCGCATGGCTCGGAGCTCGGTTTCGTCCTTCACGGAGAAGGCGTGCTGGGAAAGGGCTTGGGAAACGTCGACCTCCTCGACATCCTTGCATTGGTCGGCGAAAATCTTCTTCCACTCTTCGATGAAGGGACCCTTGGAGGTGTCCTTGGCAATGGTGCCAACCTTGTTCTGCGAGACGGCTGCGTTAGTAATGGTCGACATTGATCACACAGAGCAATAACTTACGCCCGAAGATTTGATGACTTCAGCGAGCTTGACAAAAAGCTTCTCGTTCTCAGCGGCGTCCTTGCCTCGAACAAGGACCTCGAGGGGGAATCGGCCGTTCTTCAACTGTTCCAAATGTTTGGCTGAGATTGAGTTAGCTGACGCTCGTTGCGCGGGTGGCGCAGTGATGGCGAAAACTCCTCACCTTTCTTCGCAGTCGTAAGGATGTGGATCTTCTCGGTGGTGAGCAGCATCATCGTCGTCGGGAATTCGTAGCCAAGAAGCCAAAACTAAATGCGCAAAAAAAACGTCAGCTCTTGATCTGTCCACAATGATGATGGCAGACGGAATGGGGATGGTCGTGTCGTCGCGGATTGGAAGGGAGGCGACTAACGTGCATGGCGTTGTTCTTGTGCAGCTCGGGGACCTCCTCCACCTTGCCCATCATCACGACGATGGACGAGGCGCCATGGAAGATGTTGCCATCCTTGGATCGCAAGTCATTCTTCCATGCGCTGGCGAAGCGCGAAGTGCGCTCGTGGAAAGCCTTGTTGTCGATCTTGATCTCCGCCATCGTCGCTGCGTAGTGAGTGACGGATTTGTTGGCAGAGAAGGGGTTGAAGAACGAAAGGTTCCAGGTTGCTGCTGGCGACGCGAGATCCGAAAAATCCACCGCGTAAATTGGGAGAGGTAGGAGCTCTGCACGTGACCCGCCGCGCGCTTTCACTTTCTGACCACCCAAGGTTCCTAGGCAGTCACGTCAGTGGGCTGCAAGTTGCTGGGGGTCGCGGCGCGATTGTTTGTGGAGCAGCCGTGGAGAAGCTGGCGGGGGACCTCAGTCACTGTTCAGGTGGTGAGCTAGCGCGAAATGTGCTGGAGGGAGCTTTGGCAGTCTGGCAGTTGAGTCGGTTGTGACTTTGTGAGGTGCAACTGGTAAGTCTACTTATGTCAAAGCTTCCTGTACACTTTAGACCGGAGTTCTTTGCGAAGTCGTTCATAGAATTTACCTGAGGCAGCAGCAAAGGAAAGTCGATCCTCGGAGTAAGCCCGGGAAGGACCGATGGGCAGACGCCGAGCAGGTCTGGTACCTAACCTGCCTGTGGAAGGTAGGTATGTTGCGCAAGAGATCCGGACGAGCATCGATGCTGCCAGGCACTTACCTCGAACTTCATGAAGACTAAGTGTTTGCAAGAACGCAGCGCGACAGGAGAAAGACTATATGTCAAGTTTTTAGATGCATCTCGCTCTTGCTGACGCTGATTTCAAGCATAGACTTTACCATATCTTGCGATTATCAATAAATAGCATCGTTATAGTATCTAATACTCGATTCTTCTCAATGACATACGCAATATTGATGAATCGCACCTTCTCGAAAACCAAACTCCATATTTCCCCCATGCAGGTCATCCCCAATCCCCAGGGAAGTAATAAACGAGACGGCTCTCCACTGAAAAAAGGATTCCCACCTGTTACCGACGGGACACCCCAAGGAAAGTACCCGACAGCGCCCTGCCGAGTCGCCGACCGTCCTTGGGAGACTTCCAGGTTCCAGTCGGGTGTTCCAGCGACACCGGCATCGCGCCCGGGACAGCATTCAACCGGAGGACCCAGAAATTTGAGAGGAGGGGGGAAGAACGCTCGCTCGGCCCGCCCGATTTTCGGGATGTGGAGACGGGACTTATACGCAACCCCGCGTAAACCCCTCGGATGAAATATAAGAAGGCATTTCATGAACCTCACTTTTCTCATCTACACTAGTGACAGTATCTCACGATAACATCACAACCACAGCATTTACATGAGCTCATTCTCAAGGTTCTTGAACCTCTTCAAACCCAAAAATACTACATTCGTACCCGTATCCCTCAAACCACCAAGAACCCCCTCCCCCTTCACAACCACCCCTACATCATCCAAAATGCGTCTCCCCTACGTCCCCAACCCTCCCCAAACCACAACTCCCGAAGATGCCGCCATCGTCTCCCGCATCCAAGCCCGCCGCGCCCCCCGGCCCCTCCAGGCCCTAGACCTGACCCTCCTGCACGCGCCCCCCGTCGCCGACGGCTGGAACTCCTTCCTCGGCGCCGTCCGCACCCAGACCACCATCCCCGCCGACCTCCGCGAGCTCGCAATCTCCCGCGTCGCCGTCGTCAACAAGGCCTGGTACGAGTGGGGTCACCACGCGCCCCTCGCCGTCGCCGCCGGTGTTAGCCCGGAGGGCATGGACGCCATCAAGACCGAGGCCCCGCTCGAGTTGGCCAGCCGGCCCGCGCTGTATTTGAGCGAGAAGCAGTGGGCTGTGCTCGTGTACTCGGACGAAATGACGAGGACCGTCAGGGTTAAGGACGAGACGTTTGCTAAGCTCAAGGAGCTGTTCAATGAGAGAGAGGTGGTGGAGATTACGACGACGGTGAGTGTTTCTCTCTGTGGAAAGGGGATGATGAAGGAGTGGTTCTACAAGAGTGAGAAATGTGAGAGGCTAACGATGAATACAGGTTGCTGGCTATAACTGTGTAAGCAGATTCTTGGTGGCTCTCGATGGTAAAATGAAATCTTCAGTCTTCAAGTTGATCATCGATTCTAATGTTCAAGCAGTTGGCGAGAGGAACAGCACTGGACCTGACGATGTGGCTCTGCCTTCCCACTAAGCCAACGAACGCGGGAGACAGAATCAAAATGGTATGTTCTAAGTTGGGGGTTTTGTATTGAATTTGAACCTATCATGAGAATACTAATTGATGAAGTGTAGTGTAAATATGCCAGGGGCTAATGATGCTGTGAAAAGGGGGTATATCATCTAAGTGAAATGTTATGTAAATCCTCCAGAGAAACGTTCAAAAAGTAAAAAGTGTCTTCCTCTCCAACCCTCCTCGTGAACCTCCCGTGAGCTTCCTTGTCCGCCTTACGCCTGTGATCCCTTCATTTTCTTCATATCAAAGTCGTGCCCTTATTAAGAGTATGGGCGTAGGAGAATTGACAGACAGTCTGTCAGTAATGTCTCCCCAAAAAGATGCTTTTCTAGGGCCTCAAGCTGAGTGTCGCCAGATGATGTGTCGTCTGTCCAATATGCATGCATATGCAAGTGTTCATACGTCGTTAGTGCCGTGTAACCTGTAGTCGTAAGCCGGTAAATCGTTTTTCGTTGTAGTTTGCGTATATGTAGGTGCCATCTATATAGTCTTGACGCTTTCCCATGTCTGCCGCAAGCAACACTCCTATACCCATCGTTGTATCATATTGTCAGCTTGGAGTTGGCCAACTCTTGTTCGATAGACCTTTCGATGGAGGAGCGTCGCTTGTGCATCCGGGGACTCTTTTGTAGCTCCTGAACCACACCCGCCCACCCCAGTTTGTGCCCAGGTTGCGTGGTTTCGCGATGACCGATAGCTTGGGTAGTTAGCCTCCGCAGCGGCGGCCGCTCTCGAATCTCCTCGGTCAAGGCGCGCGTCAAGTGGGCGTTCAAGTTGGTCATTGGGGGCGTGAAGGGGGAAACAGGCGTCTTTTCAGGGTTTCTTTGCGGTATTGTCGGCGTTGCCACGGGCACTTGACGTTCTGCTGTGACGTTCGCTCGATCCGCGACCACACCCATGTATACTACGAGGAAGCGCATCCTCACGAGATCCAGCCGGCGCACACGCTCCTCGAGACCGCGGCGCTTGCTCGCCCAGAGAAGGCGGGCGCTCAGGCGTAGAGAAGTGGCGTCTTCGGAAAGAAGCAGGAAGTTGATCTCCTCACGCAGGTCGTCGCCGCCCTTCTGGATCTCGCGCAACAGGCGACCTAGACGGAGCTTATCTTCAAGGCGCTGGACCTTGGCGACATCGCGGTCGTAGCTCTCGTTCTCCTCGACAGAAAAGTCGACGGCATCGATGAAAGATGTGATCTCGTTGGGAGCGACACGGTAGGCAGTGACATACGCTGTCAGGATCTGGGAGAGTACGACGAGGGAAAGGAGGAGCGCGGTCAGAATCAGGACGAACGTCCATTGGCGCGCCTCGGTCTCGGCCATGGCGGAGAGCGAAGCACGTAAGAGAAGAGTGTAAGTGGCGGGTCAACTGGCGAGAGACTACCGCACCATGATGCGACGGAAGGGGAGTTGGTCAATAGATATTCGTATGTGATCTCTACGACAGGTAGTGTTCGAAGTAGCGATAAAGCATAGGCAAGATGTGAAGGAGGGAGGCAACATTGATGACGACTGAAGTGTGCACACGAAATCGGAGGGGAGGAAGGGCAAGGAGGGCTTTCAAGGGCTTCGCGGTGGTACTGGTAGGGTATTACCTGTGAATGGCATGTATCCTAGGTATCCGTCCATACGGCAGCAGGAGATGGTCGTTCCGCTCTGAGCAGTGCTGTGCGCGCCAGTACGACGTTAGGGTCTGTAAGTCGGGTTCCAGATGCAGCGCAATCAAATAATGCCTCCTCTTCCTTGCCTTTTCCTGCCCCTCTTGGATGCGGCCTCCCTTGCATCTTTCTGCTTGTGAGGTGCGGCCACTGGGCGGCATGAGCCAATAAATGGCACCGAGGTCGCTCCTGACGGGTCCCGTTCGTCGACCGTGGGATGCGACGCTCCCATGGTTGGTGGTCTCCCCTGCAGCTGCATATGGGAGCGTCACCTGTCACTGGACAGACGAGGGTGAACTTCTTTATCCAGCATGGCTTCACTGTGGCCCGAACGTGGCTCGAGAACCGATCCGATGGGGCCGGTGTTCTTCTTCTGCCCTAGACAGTGGGAACCTGGAAGGAGAGAGAGGGGGGGCCTATCACCGAGGGCTGAGCTTGTGACCAACAGTAGCATCCTTCATCGCGGCCCTCATCTTCGGGGCTTCGTTTGGTGGGTTTTGCCTGTATCCACTGTGCTGCATATCGTGGACAGAGTCCACCGACTGGTAACAAGAGGGGAGGAACGCTCGGACGGATTGTTACTTTTGGCGGTAGAAAACGCGACTGGAAGGGCTAGAACCTAGAACGGTTGAACCTGGAACCCAGCATTGCGGACGGCGGTGGGCGATGGGCGAGGGGTAAGTTGATGAGGGGTTGTCTGGCGGTCAGCGAGCGAGACAAGATGAGACGACTCGCACGAGGCGAGGACGGAACGGCATGTCTGCTGGTGCTGGTGCGATTTGCCTAGCCGAAATCGTGATGAAGAGGAGAGAAGGCATAATTATCCGTATAGTAACTGCGTACGGTAATCAAAGTGTGCAGCTGCGGGTTTGTTCGCTTGTCTCCAGTACCTTGATTTCAGTCAGGTACCTTACATACTTTGGAAGCGCCATAATGTGCCATCCGAACACTGCAACCTGCGGGTTGTGTTTGGCTCCACGCACCAGCCATGTAAGAGGCTGGACACTTGCATCTTGGATGGCTTACTCTCTTTTAACCCTTGCACTTGCACTGCGTTTGTGCTGCACTTCTGGTCAGCGGGGACATTTAGCTCTTTGGATCACCGGTAGGTGCATGGTGAGTGCTAGCCAAGCCGCCGTAATAACCTTCACTACTTGACGCTGCCAAAATAGTGTAAGAGGTTTGCTTCGTGTGGTCAAGCCAACTACACATGGCGTTGACAATCTAACGTGACATTAACAGCTTTCTCGACCAGATTCGACGACTCGCCGTCAGCAACTGGAGCAATGCCAGGCGCACATGAACATTTGCTATGTCAAACGGAAGGGACTGATTGATCAAAGCATCTGAATGAACCAAGCACCTCGGACCCGCTTTCCCGTTCTAGACCTCGATTACTGCCAGGTGCTTAGTGAGGCAGTTGAACATTGGGTGATTCTGCGATCACTAACATGTTCAACACAATAAGTCATGAAAGCAAATGAGGTTGATGAGTGAATTCATCACTACCTGCAGGACTATTTGGGGATATGCATTCTTCGTGCAAGGGGTATCAAGTTCCATCTGCGTCCTCAATCCTGCCAACCATCGCCCACACCCAGAAAAGCGTCACTGGCGAGATGCTTCAGTGCTGTCTAGCCTCGGCCTGCTTCTGGATGTCGTGCTCGGCACCACGCTGCTGAGTCTTGCCCGTGTCGTGGAGACCCTCGTAGTGCGCCTGGCCAGGCTTGTCGCCAGTAAGGCTAGCAACGGCACCACCAACAGTGCCCTGGACACGGTTGCCAATGCCAGAGGTGTAGTCGTTGAGCTGGCCCTTAGCTTCCTGCTGCTGACCCTCGAGGTTCTGCTCACGGCCTTGCTGCTTCAAGTTCTGTAGTCAAAGTGTCAGCATACTGTGTGACTATGAAGCGATGGTGAAATTCGTGGGGGAGCTTACCTCGGAGCCGACGAGACCACCAACAGTCTCCTTAGCAGAGCCAACGGTCTGGTTCCAGGAGCCGCCAGCGCGATCGGGGTCGTCCTTGCTCACGCCATCAGCCGTAGCCGTGAAGCCGGGAATCTTAGCGGTAGCGTGGGAAGCATCGTGCTCGAGCTGTGCCTTATCCTGCTTGGCCTCTCCCTTGTTCTGGTCGGCAGTGCTGCCGGTAAGGGTGCCGAGGAGGTTCTGGGCAGCGCCAGAGGCAGAGTCGACGTAGGACTTGAGGGTGGAAGTGTTGTCGTTGTTGGCAGCCATGATGAAGATTGTGTGGGTTGATTGGTCTGATGAGTCTGATTGATCAAACGATTTGAAGTACTTGTAGGTTGCGTGTAGTGTTTTGATGAATGGTGTGAAGTGTTGATGTTGAAGAAGAGTGGTAGTGCTGAGGAGGATGTATGGTATTTATCAATGGAAACACCACGTCCAGGACCCTCCACTTCCTCAGGCAGGCAGCATGTGAATCGCCATTGTTCTGGCAACCGCGATGGCATTTGCCAGGCGGAGCTGAAGGTGTGATGTCATTTTGGAGATGGCCCTTGTGGTTGCAACAGCACAGGAGGCAAGGAGGGGGCCACTTCGGGTCATTGTGGAGGACAACGCAGGATGGAGGGGCAGCTTCGTACCCTGCGCACCTTTCATGATGTCATTTTGCGACTTCACGCCTTCTTCACTAGTAACCGCGCCATCGTCGGCGGTCGCCCTTTCCTCAATAACCTTTGCGCTCTTCGTCTGGAAAGATGAGACGCCTTGCATAGGCCATGTGAGCCCACAACAGACGTAAGGAGGGCCAGTCTGGACCTTCCCTCTCCGACACATTGCCATTTGAGGAATGGTTGATGATGCACCTCTTCCACCCGCCTTGGCAAGAGCTATCCTGAACTTGTAGGCTGTCAGACATGGCCATGCCACAACGACAACGCCTGCCTGACTGCCCCCCTACCTTACTTGCCGATGCTGGGTAAGGTAGGCAAGTACCTAGGGTATCTCGCATCCGTACTGTTGATAGGGCCATGGCAAGTCCATCTTGCATCAGATTGCCGAAGAAGCCGCACAGCCGGAGTCATGCCGCTTGCCCTATTTGGCTTGTTTGCACTGATTGACTTGGAGACAACGCACTCCTAACACCTAAGGAATCATGTCAAGGCTTACAGGTGGTTTGAGACATCTGGCTTTCACTCGCGGGAGACATTGTTGCTGGCATATGGGAATTGTTCATCTGCTGGATTGTGCATGGCTCGAGGCTTCTCTGTTGTCATTCATGCTGGGAGAAGTCCTTTTGATGAGGTCGCTCACTACCATAGTATACAGCCCAAATTCTAAAAAAAAAACCAAAAAAAAAACCGGCCGATTGCCGCCGTGCCGGCTCTTGCCGGCGCCTGCTCTTTCCGATCAGTATCTCAACTCTCCGTGGTCCCCGATCCCAACTCCAATGTCCCTGAGCAGAAACGAAAGGCTGGCTGTTAAGGTATCTCAAATATGGGTTTTAATACAAGCTACTCCGGGTGGGAAAGACTCGGGTGTTTTCCTGCAGGGTTCTCAGTGGGCTCGCAAGCGTCGAGCGCTAAAGAGTGCAGGTGTTGATGCGCGGGTACGCATCATGTCGAGCATAAGGTACTGCTCTTAGTGCTGGCTCCACTGGATAGTGTTGAGGTCAACGCCCTCCTGCACCAGCTCCCAGAGCGGGCTCAGCTCGCGTAGGAAGTCGACTCTCTCCTTGACTGCCTTGAGAACGTAATCAATCTCCTGCTCGGTGGTAAAGCGACCAATGCCGAATCTGATACTGCTGTGTGCGCTCTCGTCGCTGTTACCCAAGGCACGAAGAACGTAGCTGGGCTCCAGAGAAGCAGATGTGCAGGCACTGCCGGAAGACAGCGCAATGTCCTTCAAGGCCATCAAGAGAGACTCGCCCTCGACGTAGGCAAACGAAACATTGACGCATCCAGGGTAGAAATGCTCAGGATCGCCGTTTTGGGCGGTGTGTTCCAGCGACAATAGCCCGTTAAGGAGGCGATCGGACAGGAACTTGATACGCTTCGAGTCGTACTGATAAATCTGTCAGCTTTTGTGTACCAACGCAAGAAACCATAAATAGAGCAAATCGATTGGGGTTGGGTCAGACAGGTTGCTATTTATCAACATGGACGTCCTTGTCACGGGACATTCAGAAAGCCATGCATGTAGGAGCGGATCATCATATGGGTAGGTTGGATGAGGGAAGGAGACTGTAACGAAATCTTCAGACATACCTCCATTTCTTCGTAGGCGATGCGGCACGCTTCGCCAAAGCCAGCGACCAGTGGCGGTGCGAGAGTGCCGCTTCGCAATCCTCTCTCCTGTCCACCTCCGCTGATGATAGGGTCGAGTCTGACTCTGGGGCGGCGGCGAACGTAGCAAGCTCCAATACCCTTGGGGCCGTAAATCTTGTGTGACGAAATAGACATCAAGTCAATGTTCATCTTGTTGACGTCCATAGGAATCTTTCCGACGGCTTGCGCAGCATCGGTGTGGAAGAAGGTCTTCTTCTCCCGGCAAAGCTTTCCAATCGCCTCCAATGGCTGGATGACGCCGATTTCATTATTCACGGACATGATGCTGACAATAGCAGTGTCCGGACGAATCGTCGCAGCCAGCTCTTCCATGTCGACCAAACCAGAGTTCTGGACTGGGAGATATGTGACTTCGAAGCCCTCATCTTGAAGATGTCTGCAGCTGTCGAGGACGCACTTGTGCTCCGTTTGCGAAGTAACAATGTGCTTCTTCTTTCCAGATCTGCCAAAGAATCTTGCAACTCCCTTGATGCTCATATTGTTACTCTCGGTGGCGCCGCTAGTGAAAATGATTTCCTTAGGGTCGGCACCAATAAGCTTCGCAATGTGCCCCCGGGCCTCCTCAACCGCTTCCTCACTCTCCCATCCGTATGCGTGTGTTCTCGAGTGCGGGTTTCCGTAGATGCCAGTCATGAAGGGCAACATGGCATCGAGGACGCGGGGGTCGACGGGAGTCGTGGCTTGCATGTCGAGATAGATGGGCCGCTGGCCCTCCTCCATCGTGGTGACTTGCTTCAGAACCTCTGCCATGGGGCTAACCATGACATTTGAGGCATCGGGAGACTGAGGAACAACATCAACGAAGTCCTTCTTGTCAAGCTTGATGGCCGTTTCGATGTTGACCTGCGCATTATCACGTTTCGTTTCCGATACGTATCTGCGCTGCTGAGATAATCTATGGGTTGGCGCAACCGCCACCCTTGATAATGAGGAAATGCCTCGTGAAGGAACCCCCGGCACCTGCGTGTAGCGGCTAAGGCGACCTGCCTGCCTGAGGGCGGACGATGTGATGCTAGCCATGATGTGTTTGTTGTTGATGGCGTAGGGAAGAAAAGGGACGCGAGCTTCAGGGAGGAGGAAAAGAAAAGAGAAATTCTAGAAGGAGGAGAAAGCTTACCCTCGCTATGGGGATATTTTTTTTCGTGACAAATTCGGAGACCGCCTCGGGGTCGGGGATAAACACACGGGCCGTGATTGGCCAGATTTGGCGGCTCCTCCCATTTCGATGACGTTCCCCATCCAGCTGCAGGCCTTTTTGGGAGGCGGTTTCGGCTACGGCACCTGTCAGGACCGACCACCCCGAAAAAAGCAGAAGCCTACCTTACCTTACCTAAGATTGGGCGGCGGGCGCGGCAGGGAAGCCGAAGGTTCAGGTTCCCCCTCTACCTCGGTCACCAAGAAACCGGCCTCGCACCTATCACAGCGTCCAATTTGTCAGACAAACCTCGACAACATCTTGTCAACTTTGCCTTGCACACAGCACCACAGGCGCAACGCAACATCTGTACATTTCAATCTTGTTCATCAACACCAACGAGCCAAACACACCAAAAATGTCGACAGTGGCCCGCGCCCTCCGCCCGGCTCGCCGCCTCCGCTTCACGGCGCCGGCATCCACAACAGCGGCAGCACCCCTGATCCTCCGCAGGTGCTTCGCCGACAAGCCGCCCATCTACACCGAGTCCGCCGTCAACAACGAGCTCGGCGTCGGCGAGTTCGAGGGCATCAAGTTCCGCGTCGAGCCGCTGCGGCGCCAGGGCGAGGACGAGCGGACCATGCGCGCCCGTCTTCTCTGTGAGTTCTTTTGCCTTGCTGTGTTCTCTGCGTTCTCACTTCGACGGCTGTTGAGGGAAGCGAAAGAAGAGCGTGGTGTTCGAAAGACAGGATCCGAGTACTAATCATATACCTTACGAAATAACAGACCAATCCCGCAAGCGCGGAACCCTCGAATCAGACCTCCTCATGTCGACTTTTGCAAACGAACACCTCCCGCACATGACCAAATCCCAAATGGCGCAGTACGACCTCTTTCTCGACGAGAACGACTGGGACATTTACTACTGGGCCACCCAGGAAGAAGCACCCTCCGCCTCGGCCTCGACCCAAAAGACATTGTTCTCTTCTTCGACGGACACCCTCGCCTCCTCAACTGTCAACGCAGCAGAATCCTACCGCCCCGTTGGCTCTGGCGCCGCCTCGACAATCGACTCGGGCAAGAAGACCCCTTCCAAGCCGAAGGAGGACGTCCGCACGCAAGACGTCCCCGGCGAGTGGGCCAACACCGTCGGCTCCTTCAAGGCGCAGTACCGGCCCGTTCCCGTGCGGTGGCAGGGGAGCGAGATTTTGGAGATGCTGAGGGCTCATGTGCGCAGTCGGCGTGCGGATGGGACTGTGGGCGTGCATCGGGATGTGCAGGAGCGTAAGGAGGGCGGGTTGGGGTTCATGCCGCCTTTGTTTGACGTTGATGGAGCGGGGAAGAAGAACTAGATTCCCACCTCACAGCCGAGAAGAAATGCTGAAGTAGCTAGCTTCAGGAGTTTGCGCTTGAGAGAGAGGGAGAGGCAGACAGAGGAGTAGAGGGGTTTGAAATACTGTACCAACAACATCTATCAGGAAATACCATCATTGGGCGGGGAGGGGAAAATCATGGGAGCACGGTACATTATAAGACGGCTTCATTGGAGGCATTTTTGCATATTCGGAGATGGAGAGAGAGTACATGCCTACGAGGTAGATCGGCAGGATAGTAGATTACTAAGCCTTCATTGAAAGTTCTTGGCACGTCGAGCGACGTTGTACACCAATCTGTAATATGACAGCGACTGGAGGCTGCTAGTAGAGTTGCCAGAATAGAGACATTGCTGAACCAGCGAACCAGTGGATGAAATCATGAAATACAATGAGTGGGGCCTCGATTTCGCCGTGCTGACATCCTTCCCTTGCCTTTAAATGCCTTACCTAACATGCCCGGGCTCCCTTACTCGAGGATGATTAGCTAAACAAAACGTAAACGAGCAGGCCTCCCAGGACTTGGACAAAGTGAATTGGGTCTTTGCTGAATGCTGAATGCGGCCGGGACTGGGGACGAGGATCTTTGGAGAGACGGGCTCTCGGAGTCGCCCTGCTCTTCCACCGCTTTCGCCGCGACCGAGCAACTGTATTCCACTTGCCTTTCTTCTTTCTGCATTGTTCAATTTCCCAGACCGATGCTCCGAATATCCTCAAGCCCATCTCCTTCCTTCCCTCCAACCCTTTTCTGAAATTCTTTTTCTCGCCCACAAATCGCAGCGTCATCACCACGAAATATTTCTCTCTCATCTCGCAGTGCCCCGTCCTTCCCGTTGACCCCGCCAGGCACCTACTTTAGGTACCTTAGCTTCTGCATAGTAGCGCCTTAGCTCCTGTCTTTCGGCATCTCATGCGCCACAGCCAAGCGACACTGCGCAGAAGCTGACTGACACAGCCACGCTACGTCGTCACCAGCGACAATCAGGTTGCGAGAGCCCACACCTCATAAGGTTGGACATCGAATACCCTCAACTTTCAAGCAACGAAGACCCTCGTCATAACCTTAGCCCACGATACCACCGTCTCTGCCCTTCATTGGCACGACTCTTCAAATACCTAATCCGATACATCACCACCACAAACTCACCCCGCCATGAGCTTCCGGGGCTTCCAGAAAAGCGTCATTCGGGTACGTGTGTCCACTTAATGAGGGGTCCTCCCGTGCCTTCCGCGCGGTGACGTGAAGACGGAACACAAAATTTGGCTGACTGATGATCTCCTTTTCTCCACGACGAACAGGCGCCCCAGCAATTCAAGTCGCGCTTCAATATCGGCGAGCACACCAAGGATGCCGTCTACATCGATTCCGAGCGCAGATTTCAGGAGCTGGAAACCGAGACGAAGCGATTGCACGATGAGTCCAAGAAATACTTCGATGCCATCAACGGCATGCTCAGCCATCAGATCGAATTCAGCAAGGCCATGACCGAGATCTACAAGCCCATTTCCGGTCGCATGTCGGATCCCGACAGTCTGGAGGTTCAAGGCAACCCCGAGGGTATCCGTGCCTGCGAAGAGTACGAAGCAGTCGTCAAGGAATTGCAGGAGACTCTTGCGCCAGAGTTGGAGATGATAGAAAGTAGGGTTATTCGCCCAGCCAACGAGCTCCTCGATGTCGTCAAGGTCATTCGCAAGTCGGCAGCGAAGCGCGAACACAAGAAACTCGATTACGACCGACACAAACAAACCCTCAAGAAGTTGCAAGATAAGAAGGATCGGAATGCCAAGGATGAAAAGGCTCTATGGAAGGCGGAGAACGACGTGGAGCAGGCGACTCAGGAGTTCAACTACTTCAATGATCTCCTCAAGGAGGAACTGCCGCGCCTCTTTGCGCTCGAACAGCAGTTCATTCAGCCCCTCTTCCAGTCCTTCTACTACATGCAACTCAACATTTTCTACACGCTGCATGAGAAGATGCAACACTGCGACATCGGCTACTTCGACCTGACGCTAGACGTGCTCGAGGCATTCCACAAGAAGCGAGGCGATATTCAAGAGCAGGCCGAGAAGCTATCCATTGTGAAGTTCAAGACGACTGGTCAGAGGCGTCCGGCGAAATACGGCGGCCGTCCCGCAATCGAGGGCAAGCCTCAACACCTGCTTACCGCTGGACCTTCTTCCTCTTCAGCCGCCTCAACAACCTCAGCAGCGCCCACAAAGTACGGTGGTTACACCAAACAGGGAGAAGCCGCTGACTCGAACCCGCCGCCCCCATACTCTCCTCCGCCCACGAACGGAACTGCTGGTGGTGGACTCGCCGCCATCGCTGCAGCAAAGTCAAAGCCTCCTCCACCCAAGCCCAAGCCCAGCCGACTCAGCGGAGCGCCCGCGGCCGAGCAAGTCACCGCCCTGTACGACTACGCTGCACAAGCAGAGGGCGACTTGAGCTTCAGGACTGGCGATGTCATCGAGATCATCAGCAGGACAAAGAACGAGAATGAATGGTGGCAAGGTAGACTGAATGGAAAGACTGGACAATTCCCAGGTAAGATTTCATCACCAAACGGCATACATTGAACAAGAACAAAGACTGACTTTCTTTGCGCAGGAAATTATGTGAAGCTGAATTGAGCGGCTAATAAAGACTCACAACCCCACCAATTACGATCGACACCCGTGATCTTCACCCAAATACACTGTGCCGCAGAGGCACATTAATAAACAACTGCGAGGGCATCGAAAGGGAAGCGCAAAATACTTGCATTTGGGATCTTCGGCGTACGCAGAAGGGACTGCCCATCATTTCGAGTCGGAAGACACTTGGGAGAGAAGGGAGTGCAAAGGGAGAGAGGGGGGAACTTGGATGCCTGGGGAGGAAGGAGGGGAAGTAAGGCTTAGGAGAGAGGTCGCTTTGCTTTTACCCTGGGAGAAGTGCCCATGTGACACGAGTCCGTTGGTCGCCTCACTTTTTTTTGAGGTTTTCGGTGTAGAGAGACCGGCGTCGGCGGCATAGCAAAGGATATCCCCATACCTACGCCTTTTTTTTACGTTTTGCAATTGTCGTGTTGCCAAAAATCACAAGAACTTCCCAGATTCTGTGAGTATCATCGGCGTTACTGCAAGGATTGCGTGATTCCACATTCCTCGTGAGATAGCCATCCCCTGGTTGATTTGCTTATTACTGGTTTGTATGTTCCCCGAGTGTCTCGTGATAGAAGCACCGGGCGGGGGAGAGAATGAGGCTCTCTTCTACTTGCCCCTTTCGAGTTTTGACAAACTTGTTCACCCGCCGCCCAGCCTGCTTATAGCCTCATGTATGGTCCCGGCGTGGGAAAACAGTCTTTGAAAGTTTGAACAGTCCAGCCACCCCAAGATGCGCCTTTTGTAATGTAATTACAATGTGACAGGTGCCCTATCGGAATCGGCAAGGTGCATAGATAGTACCAGGATATATGCAGGAGCCTCAGATGAGGTAGTTGAGGTCTGCCAGGATTGCATCCGCAAGCCAAGACGTGACCTCCTCCTCCTCCGTACCCAAGCCCGAATGAACCCCTGACTCCGGGGTACCATTGCGTCTTTGGCTGGTCATCACGCCAGTCCTAACCTTGTGACATGCAGATCGATTCTGCCCACCCCTTGTATTCTGGTTTGTCAAAGCCTCAAAGTGCATGTTTGACGTGGGACGATGGAGGAGGCTCGTCGGGCGAGGCGAGCGGGCTATCGACGGGCTCTCATGTCAATCGGTCTATGGACATCTCCGTCTTTGTACCGAGACAATCGGCGGGGGAGGACTGGGAAGGCAGGCTAGCTGTCGATTTCCCGTGGGAAACGCTTTCGGGCCCCGAGGAGAAGGTGTAAGGTTCCAGAAGGAATATCAGCTCCCGTGGTAGTATTGTCCAACGGGGGATCAGCTTCGACTCCAATCTTACGCGCCAAGGGTCGGCTTGTCACCTGTTTCGCCGGTCAACATGATACAAATGTAAGATGGAGTAATAAAGATAGATTTTTGAACGGGGGTCCGGTTAGCTCGCTTATGGCCAGAAACCCTTCGTGAATACCGGGGTAGGATAGGCAACTCTAGACTAGAGCCAGCCGAATTTCCCCATCTGCGAACCACTTCTGCTATTCCAAGCGGGGTGAGCAAGGGACTTAAAAGCAGAAAACAAGGCGACCCGGAACCGACATGACATCCCCCTGTCCAATTACAAAAGCAAAGATTCAGGCGGACGCTACTGGAAAGGTCGAGCGGGCTACCTGCATTGACTAACGATAGAAGAGAGCGTAGGTGCAGTTGTCATCGTCCGAAGCCCTCCGTCCCATGCCCTTTCGCGTCTTTAAATGGAGCAAAATACAGATGTCTGCACGGAATCGTCATCTTGGTAGCCCTATTAGGAAAGTACCAACATGAGATCTTGCCGCCGTGGGATGCCAGTAAGACGTCTAGAACGTTTGATAGAGCTGCCAGCGGCAGGCTCCCATCAGCAACACCGGCACGGGACCGAATGATCCTTGCTAAACGCAAAGTTGAAACCAACAGGTTTCCCAAGGCTGTAGATGCTTTGCAGATAAGCGGCCGAGGCTCTTCTTATCCAGGAAGGCGCGTCTGACCTGCCGATGTCTGTCTCCACGTTGGCGGATGTTTGTGACGGACCAGGAATGAACCCCTCACTGAAAGAAGAGTTTCTCGAACCGGGAGCAGACACCGTCAGAGACTTCGACGTAGGATAGGGCCCTGGATCTTTCGCATCGTCGCTTTCTGTGGTTGCGTAGGTGCAAGGCGGTCTTGTTGGGCCGCCAGGCCACCGGGTGAGTCCGATGAGTTTGACGGAAGGGTCAAAACAGATGAAGACCAAAGGCCGTCTGGTTTGAGAACCCTTTTGCCCAACGGCGTATACCAAAGAGCGCTCGTCCATAACCCCTGAGATGTTACCGTATGTACTCTGGCCTTGAGGTCGGAGTATGTTATCCAATGTGTCAAGGTGCACATTTCGTTGGCTCACTTCGACCTCTGGTAGCCACCATGAAATCTCGTTAGGTCCATGGGTCTGGTGGGAGACCTGAGCAGAACTGTCAGCGGGTGATTCCTTCGGGACCCGGCCGGTTCCGCTTTGAGGGAAACGAGAAATTGAACGTATTTGCGGTCTTTGCGTCATCGATTCGGCAGCGACAGGATCGTTTACCAAGTCGATGAATGTTTCGCAAGACTGATTATATGAACGTATAAAACATTGGCTCAGGGTTATAGTCGGCGATGTTGAGCCATCATCACCCCTGTGAACGTAGGGTTTGTCCCCTTGCTTCTCCAATGAGACTAGCTTAGTAGATGGGCAGCGCGGGGTTGATATATGTGTGGTTCGGTTGGTGTCAGCTTCGGCGTCTTCTTCGCCAGGGTCCACGGGAGGGGCCGCAAAAATGACCTCCTTCCGGTAGGCTGCTCTCGCGCTGGACGATTCGTTTACGAGCCATTCCCTTCGGCATTCTGACACCATGACATTCCCGGTGACCAAGTCTTTCGCAAGCTGCAATGTACTCCATCGATCGTCTATCGGCCCGTCTTTGTGATCTCGTCTCAGCATGGAATCTTTCGACGCCAGTTGCATGTCTCCGGGCTGGGTACTGCCGACTGGCAACCGAAACCCGTAATAATACGACAGCGAATCAGTCTCGTATACTTCGAAACTGGCCAGGCTAGACAACCCATAAAAATAATCGTCGATGATTTCGAAGCAAACGGTAGCTCCGATGTCTGACCCAGCTAGGTCCTCGAGATCCAGGTGACCCGGAATCCATTGCTTGGTTCGTATATCAAATCGTCGTAGAACCCATCGCTTAAAGCCATCATCCCCAGTTACCGAGTGAGTGCCGTAGTAAAGGTAATCTTGATTGTTGCGCACAAATAGCTTAGAGGTTGACTCGAGACGTTGGGCTGTGAGAAGCGTCCTCTGCTCCACGTTGATTATAACGAGGCGACTTCGACCTTCGGTCTTAGGTGGGCTGTAAAGACAAGACAAAACTCCATGGGCGAAGTGGATCGGGCGAAATTTGTATTTGCTGCTGGCGAGGTTCGCGCCCGGTACAGATTGTAGCAGCATCCGAGTATCAATGATATTCTCTTTGTCCGATGAAGCGTGCAAATTGAGGAGACGCAGCACCTCGTAACCTTCCGTATAACAAAGTGTGCCGTTGCAATAGATGAAGTCGACAGCCTGAGCGACAAGAGCTGTGGTGTATGGCTTGGCAGTGGCGATAGCGTCCCGAAGCTTGACCAGTTGTCGCAAGCAGCGAGCATACTGCTTCGAGGAGCGGGCAGCTTGGAACTCAGCTGAGTACGGCGCGTGAGTCTAAGCCACCAAGTCAGCGCGGCCCACGAATGCATAGGTCTGCTGTTGTAAGGCGACGCTCACCTCCAAGGCAGCCCGGCAAATGTCATCGTTGTCCACAAGGTACCTGAACTGTCTGCAAGCGAGACTTAGGTTGAAAATGTCATGTAGATTCAGAGAATTTGCGATATAAGTCATGATCTCGATAGGCAGCCTTTGCATCCTCGCAAATTTGACGGCTGCCATAAACCCGTCTCTTGAGCATTCGGTCGAAGAGTTGTTGTGATAGGGTGAAGAATTAGATGCTACAGGTTCGTCAGGCAACCTGGGGTTTGTAAGCAAGGCAGCTCGAAGAGGGGGTGGACAGGTAGGAGACTTCCGGCGCAGGGAATTGACTGTCACTCAAGTCCAAGGCAACTGACTGATGAGGCGGCTGCTTTTCATGCAGGTCGAAGCATCCATCGGGAGGAGCGACTGTAGCTTGTTTTAAGGTGAGTAGGTAGGCGCCTGGGAAGCTAGAAGATATGCCCAGCTACGCTAGCCTGGCGACGTTGGCGGCCTGCGGGCAGTTTGTGTCGGTCAGTATAAATCCGGCGGCGCAGCAAAAAGGCTGATCCATTTTGGATGCCCCAGGGTGTGTTATTACGAGAGCCTGCTTGAAGGCATTTCTCATATTGAGGTATCTTGTGCGAAGAGGGGAACTCGGTAACTCAGAAGTGTTGAGGGAGTATGACCAGGCGTTGTACAAGGGCCCTAGTTGTACAGGCTCCAGCCCCCTTGGACTGGTTCCTGCCTTTAAACCTAACAGTCCCCTGGTTCAGCAAACGTAGGGACGCAAAGATTTTCGAGTTAGAGCTTTGCCCGCCATGATTCCAAGTAGGTATGCGGCTCAACAACGAAATCAGGCTCTCCGAGGTCGTCCTTTAATCAAGTTGGACCGTACAGGGGTGGAGAACCATCAAGCCTCGAGGCTAGCATTCCCTTGCTAGCATCTAGTTTACCCCGGTTGCAGTAATAGGTCTGAACCGTACCCAATCAAAGGGCTGCAAGATCCACCCCTGTCGACGAAAGCCAAAGAGCCGCATTTTCTCCTGGCATTCAGCTTCCCCAACTCTAGTCGCACCGGCCGATGAGCCCTTCCATCAACGAAGCCTGGACTACTATGACCTGTGCGGCTCCGCGGCATTGCGGCATTACGGTATTGCGGCTCTGCGACTCTGACAGCACAAGCTGATGTTTTCTCTCAATACTTTCTCCAGTCATCACAACCTAACTACCTCATGTCCTTGTTCGCGATCCTGGTAAGATGTGTCCGCCATGGTCCATCTCTGCTTACACAACGGACTACTTACGTGAGGTCTCTTATTTCTTCTCGATTGTCTTGTTCTGTTTTAGTGGAATGTAATGATTCTCATCTGCATGCCTTACTCACCATTCTCACAGGATCATCGCTACGAGTCGATGAGCTTGAGCCGCATGAGAAAGCTACGAACCCTTGAAAATTACAATTTGCGCCCGTCCATCACCCTGTGCCGCAAGAATTACTAGGCTATCGTCAAAGGAGTGGTCAAACTCGTCATGCCTGGTAATTACGAGGCTGGCTTAGTCGATTACTGTGGCATGAACGCCAATTCTGCGTTGTTGATGATCCACAGTTGTGCGATGTCAGATGCGTCAGTTTCCTTCATCATCATCGTCTCCTTCCCATGATCGCCCGAGCCTTGAAAATATTAGTACGGCTGACCTATCAATAGCGGGAACACCTTTCCGACTGTCGAACACAGTACCTATGTGGCGATACCCTATTCGCCAGGCATTGTCCCACCCACTGGCGTTATCAGGTGATGCCCTCAGGAGCGCAGGTCTTGCAACGGAGGGTGGTACTATCGACTTCTCATGGACCAGCCATGTTACACTAGTGGGTGAATCGTGCCCTCTCTGTGATACTGTTCTACTCGCGGAAGTGCAATATTCGATCGAACTAGCAAGCCGTGTGCAGCGTGACATTAGGGTTCTATTGATGCCCAAAATCTTGGTGCCGACTTGGGCTCGAACACGCCAATCTCTCATTCCCTTGACTGGAGGCTTGAATCGCAACGCGATGGTTGAATAGTCGAAGAAAACCAGTAGCCGTCTGAGTTGTACCATAGCCTCGCGGAACACCATCACATCAACTTTGAGGCCCTCTAGACTCCGATCTTCTTCGAATGATTCATCTTACCAAAGACTGGTAAGATCAAGGACGGCGACTGCTTCGAGCGAATCAGGTCCTTCTCTATTAACGCCATCTCGATCCTGAAGTCAGCCAGATAACTCGAGGGGGTGTGTTTATTTCTGAAAGTGTCACGCGCTACTCCGTACAAATTTGGGAAACAGTAGAACGGAGAATGTTCCTCTGCATATGTTACATCGTTTAGCTTATATCACTGGTAGAGGTTCCCACCAAGTGAAGCGATTCCTAACGCTACTTTTCTACCCCGCGGAACGCCGTCATCGATCTTTCATCCGATTTTGCCTGGCTCGCTGGCAGAGACACGGGCGGTGCTTTTCTGAATCCCCGGCGGACCGACAGCCTTATATTTCGATGAGGTCAAATTCAACGGGGCCTCAGCCAACGTCTTCAGCATTCTATGTACTACCTCGGCCCCAGGAAGTGCAGGGGGTGGTGGTCCGAAGCTGTGGGTAATCCACACTGGGAGTTTGTCTGGCGAATCACAGCATCTGACCACCTTAGTGCTTACGACTGAACTTGGGCTTTGGTGCTGTTACCGAGGAATCCAGACATGCTTGGTATTTGGTCAAGCATCATTTATTATGTCATCCTCCGAGTAAACGAATGATTTGGTTAGATGGGCTAAAGAATGAAATATAATCTCATACTCTATCTGGCCAGTAGATCTCAGCTTCGTCTTTCTTGCAGGGCAGGCTCTATACGTCCGTCCCAAGGTATTTCCCACAGCTGTGGACCAGCAAAGCACCTCTTGCAATATCTTTGTGATGCCGTAGCCATCGATGCTCCGTCGCAAAAGTTCCAAAACTCAACTCCTCTTCAAGGACTCACAAGAAGCGCGCAGCTTTTTACCGTGCGGAGCAAGGTTCCGCACGGCTGCCGGCGCAGCATACGGCAGCAGCATGCCGAATAAGACTTAGCTGCGTAGGATCTTCAATCCAGGTTTGGCAACTTTCCCCTTTCTAGCACACAGAATTTAGTAAAAATTTTCTAAGAAACCCGCCGACTATGAGTCTCACCGAAGAAATCGACCTATGGTCACCTTTCACCAGCGATACCTTGTTGGAGGTTCGCACCAGCGTGATGAAGAAGATGCCCGGACTCGAGGTCACGTCCGGAATCGACAAGGATTTGAGGCATGGTCCCATTTACGTATCGCATCTCGGGCTCGAGGCGGACGAGCATGATCCAACTTTTCATGGTGGACCGGATAAGGCGATTCACGGTTGTGAGTACATCGCGATGCCTGTTTAGGCGTTCTGCCATCATGACGCAGTGCTGAAAGTTTGTCTAGATTGCTCCTCTCATTACTCTGGTTGGAAGGCAGAACATCCAATCGCAGCGGAAAGATTCAGACCGGGAGCTTTTGGCGAAAACTTTGTCACAAGGCACATGAATGAGCGCAACGTATGCATCGGCGATGTCATCGCTGTTGGTGATGAAGTCGTGCTCCAAGTCAGCTTGCCACGACAGCCATGCTACAAGCTCAACCATCGTTTTCAATTGAAGAACTTTGCGCCCACGACATTTAAGTCAAGTAGAACTGGCTGGTACTATCGTGTTCTGAAAGAGGGATCAGTCAAGGCTGGCGACGAAATCAGGCTCGTCGAGCGAAAATGGCCCAAATGGACCATTGAAAGGATCCAGGAGTACCTGCACAGGAACCAGACCGACGCGGCTATGAATGAGGAACTCGCGTCGATTGAGGACATGGGCAAGGAAAGCCGTGGCGCATTCCAACGACGAGTGGCCAAAGCCAAAGCTCAAGTCAAGAGGGAAAAGGGGGACCAGTGGAGAGACTTCAAGATTATCGAAAAGACAAGACAAACCCCCAGAATCTCGTCATTTGTCCTCGAAGCAGTCAACCCGATCGAGAACCCAGAATATCTCAACGAAGGAGCCCACGCAAAGCTCAAACTGCCGAATGGTCTCCTTCGATCATACTCTGTCGTGTCCGGGGATCGCAACAAGTTCGAGCTCGGCATTGCTCTCGAGGATAAGGGCCGTGGAGGATCCCTCTACCTCCACAACTCTACGGCTGTGGGCGACATACTTCAGGTTGGGCGAATGACTGCCGACGTAAAAGTTGCCAGTGCTTCAAGCAATCACGTTTTCATCGTGGGTGGTATTGGCATAACCGCCTTTTTGGTCCTTGCTGAGGCCTACCACGAAGTCCACTTCAATTCTGAGATACACTATGCTGTTCGCTCGGCCGACGACATACCGTTTCGTTCTCGGCTGGATGCTCTTGGGAGCAATGTTCGACTATACGATCGTTCTCAAGGCGAGCGATTGGATATTGGCGAAATCATGAAGACGCTCAAGTGGAACAGCCATGTCTACGTTTGCGGACCTACGCGAATGACTGACGCCGTAAGAATAGCCGCGGAGGAATGCGGCCTCGATGAGGGCGACGTACATTACGAAGCCTTTTCTGCCGCCACGTCGGGAGACCCGTTCGAGGCAGAGATTCTGAATCGGGACGGCAAGATCCTGAAGGTTGGCGAGGAAGAGACGCTGCTGGAAGTACTCAAGCGAGAGATCGGAGGCGATGTGGAGAGTAGCTGTGAAGTCGGCAACTGTGGGACTTGCAAGGTTACACTCAAGAGCGGTCGAGTTGATCACAGAGGCACAGCTCTGTCTACTGACGACAAACTTGAGTCAATGCTAAGTTGCGTGAGTCGTGGTATTGGAAGGATAGCCATCGAGATTTGATAATACACTAGTATGAACCCGCTTTTTGCTGGATTACTTCCAGATATTTGGCTTTACTTTGATCACCTCAATCCCTAGATATGATCAATTCCTATCAGACACTTGGTAGTGATTAAGCGAGAGCGTTCTATGTCATCGCGCTCTCGTTGCTTTGGAGATTAAGCATGTAGGAATTCGACCAGGTAGCTCCCTACATAAGCCAAGCGGAGGATCCGCCCACCGAGCTCGGTGTATTCATCCTCACCGACGATAAGCAGAGTGGGGTGTGGCACGCGGGCCGCTTCGTGGAGTCAGACCAATGAGATGGTTTTCTGATAACGATTGAAGACCCACCTTGACTTTTTTCTCAGGTTGACTTCGATACGACAAGAATTCTGGCTGGTGAATCTTACTTCTACAGGACGACAACATTCCTGCGCGTTGAGCCGAATTCCCGCCAACATGTCAACCGCCGAGTCCCAAGGAGATGGCTTCATCGTTTTGCCAGTGAAGCTTCCAGCTCTTCCCTCGTGCCCCATCACCGCTCTTCACGAGATTCGCGTTCGACGAAATGCGCCCAAGATCCCGACCGAGATCGATGATCGAAGTCTCTTCCTCAAGAACGTCCCCGTAGACAGCACCGAAGCTCATTTTCGCCAAGTATTCAACGCACTCGTCGGTCCCGGTCGTTTCGAGGGCATTGCTTTTGAGGATGATCGGAAGAATGCCGCAGCTGTCGACCCAGTCAACGCTGCGAAGATCATGGGTCTGGGCAAGAAACGCAAGCGCGGCGAACAGGAAGCAGAGGAGAGAGCCAGGGAGGAAGAAATTGCACGACTTCCCGAGACTTGGACGAGGAGACTGCGGAAAAGCGGTAGCAGCGCCATCGTTCTTTTCGCCGATGAGAAGAGCGTCGAGCTCGTGCTCAAGGCTATAAAGAAAGCGAACAAGACGACGAAGTTCCCTGTCTGGGGACAAGGTGTTTCCGAAGATGAGCCCGAGCTTGGATCCGAATGGGTCTCTGCACACATCCAGCTGTCCCGCTGTGACAAGGCGGCAACGCAGAAGTCGGTCCACGCCTTCTTCAACGTTTTCAACCGCAAGGAGAAGGAAGCGGCGGAGATGGCCAAGAGGTTGCGCAACGAGCCAGATGAGGACGGCTTCGTCACAGTTGTCCGCGGTGGACGTGTCGCTCCGGCCAACAAGAACGAGGCCGAGGAAGCCCGACAGAAGATGGTTGACAGGGCCTCGAAGAAGAAGGACGAGACCACGGACTTCTACCGCTTCCAGCTGCGCGAGCGTCGCAAGGCTGAACAGGCAGCTATGCTGAAGAGATTCGACGAGGACAAGAAGAAGGTTGATGCTATGAAGGAGAAGCGCGGCAAGTTCAGGCCCGAAACATGATTCCACAGAGGAACTTTCCAACACATCAAATAAGATACCCATGTACACAACATCCCTTTCAGTGTAAGTGGTTTCTTCTCTTACTCAATTGTCTTTTCCTTTACATGATGACGCACGCGGGGCCAGCGAAGCACCTTTAGGCGAAGGGGTTGTCCCAGAGCCAGTGGTGTAATGCCGACAAACACCGCGTTATACATATCTTCTCAACTTGTCTGACATTCCAATTGGGATTTTCTTCTTTTTTTCGACTGGTATCTCTTGGAAAACCAAAGACTTACGCAATGCTAGACTACCAGATTTAGAGAGCAGACAGGAAGGCTCCTATGACAGCAAATGACCTGGTGTGGTGGTCATAGAACTATGTCCGAGGGGACAGGATGTCTCTTCCGCCGAGGAGGTCTTCCATCCACCTCCACGCCTTTTCGCTCGGGAGTGAGCGAGGTCGAGTGGACAGAAGGAGAAAACCTGTACCCAGTCGAGTCGGAAAATAGAACCGCCACGGCACAGATAGTGACGGGCTGGTCTGATTTAGGCGACGGCCACGCCGCTCAGCGTTCACGGCAGAACAATTCAAAACCACGTGTGTGGCAAGTCGATGCCTCCCAGTCATGGTCTTCTCTCCGAGCACGTTTCCTGCAATTCTAGACCGAGTAGCACGGTGTTGTTTACAGGTTCTGGACACCCATCGCTTGATTAAACACTCCTCTGCGTAGCGCACGGCGTCGATATTCTCTTCGACCCTACTCCTATTTAGGCCTTCAGATTATTTTACTTGCTTGCCCCTGTGGCCTTCTGCCTATTCCCACCTCGTCTTGGTTTCAGTTCCGGCACGATGTTTTAGCGCTAGAGCTGGGGTATCACACTTCTCAACTGGTTCTAGTGGAAGAGTGCTCGATGCGCCAGTGTTCGGCTACCACATGGCTGGTTCTCATGAATCGCAACGAACGGGTGAACTAGACGAGAAAATTTGAATCCTGGGGGCCACCAAGGTTCCGGTTCCAAAATGCGCACATTATCCACCACTCTCTCGCAACCGCTTCCCGGTGACCGACAAAAGATCCATTTCATGCATATCTGCCTACTCTGCGCCGCACGTCGACGTCTGTTTCATTGAAAGATGCTGGTACAATGCGGGTTTCCGGCTAACTCGCCGACTTCACCTACCAGGGCTTAAATGATGCTGACTGCCTCGGCGTTTGTGTCTAATTTGGCACAGATCAAAGTAGGAAAAACAGCCCCGCAAACACTCACGACTTCATCGTGGGGCATCACTCTGAAGCCTCCCATGATGTTTACATCTCCCACATTGCCACTGTTGAGCACCGAGACCCTACCAAGCATTGGCATACTTGCGCACCGATCATTATCGTCTTCAGCTACATCCGAGAATAGCATCGCACTCGAGGATGGTATTTCCATCTTCGCCTGAAGTTGGGTCTAGCGTGGGAAACAGAATCCTGCCGCTCGTCACACGGACTTTGACGCGATGGGCAGCGAATGCTAACTAAAGGATTCATGACATGCAAGAACCACACAAGATTGAGCAGACGACTCATGATCTGGTAGGTAACAACGTATCCGTACCGCGCCGCAGTCTGCTTTTATGAGAGCATAATGCACGGTACTTTGAGAATAAGAGTAACACCTTGTTTTCTCTCACGATTGTGTGAGGGCGTACCTGCAGCTTATCCCACCCACGTCGTTTACAACCCGAAAGAGCGGCTGCATCAAGTCGAGGGGAGTTGGGGATAGCCCAATTAGCCGCAAAAGCCACCAAGTCCAGCCGCACCTCGCTCCTCACGGCCGGTACCAGGCAACAATAGTTGCCAACCAACATCCCCTTTGAGTTAGTCTATCGGCCGATATAAGTCGCGAGACTAACACCATATCCGCATCGCTCGACGCCCCCGTGGCACCCATCGCGGGATCCCCCCAATCACTGTCAATCTTTGCCATTTCTGTAATTTCCTATGCCCCTTTCCCGCACCTGATTCGGCGTAGTCAAGGTAGACTCTGCGGCTGGTGCCCGGACCTCACGATGCTTGGCTCCGGCAGCCATCATCGGAGTCGTGTAAGTCGTGTATACGCAGCAGGTAGTGTGAAGAGGACTTCCTTTGCAGCCCTCCTTACTCTTCCGGGACACACAGACTACAATGGCGAATAGTCCAGCACGACCAGACAGGCCATCCAAGAGTCTGTTCGGCGGGCCCTAAAGGAGGATGTTTCCAAGATGGGAACCTCGCTTAGCCCTTCAAGGACGTCTAGCCCGCGATGCCGCTGTGCCTCTGGCCGTGTAAGTGGCCTGCGTACCAGCGGCACGGGACAGCTGCTCGAGCATTCATAATGGAATGGCAGGACATCTTAAGCGGCACCTCGTCCGCCTAATATGAGCTCCGTCCCGTTCACCTCACGCATCAAATCCGCCAACCGCCGTGTCGTCCAGCACCTCCTAGAGCAGCCCTGCTCGTCCAACGACGTATCTCACGTCAAGCCATTCGTTAATTCTCTATACATACTATACCAAGTCTCTCTTTTGGATAATTATAATACAGCCATAATGGCACCTTCACTCTTTACCCTAGGCACGGCTGCCCTGGCCTTAGCCGGTGACGTTGTCGCCAAACAGTTCGTTCTCGATGACACATACGACTCCACGAACTTCTTCGACAAGTTTGACTTTTTCGAGAGCAAGTATAACACGGGCGATTACAATGACGTCGATCTCACTTCGGGCTACATCAACTACCGCACCCGTGTCGACGCCCAGAAGCTGGGTCTCATCAGCAACGCCGGCGGCGAGGTCTACGTGGGCCCCGATGCCCACAACATCACCGAGTTCTCCGGTGTTGGTCGTTCAAGTGTGAGGCTTGAGAGCAAGGCCATTTACAACAAACATCTCATGGTCGCCCGCTTTTCTCATCTTCCTAAGCCTGTCTGCGGTGCCTGGCCCGCCTTGTGAGTTCTCTTCCCAGGTGGGATCGTCTAGTTCTCACAGACTAACGCTGTTGAAGTTGGTCATACGGTTCTCCCTGGCCCAAGAACGGCGAGCTTGACTTCTTCGAGGGCTGGAACAACGCGGTAAGGATATAGTCTGCAGGTTACAATCTTAAAAGCTTTGCTGAACAACTATGACAGGCTGCCAACAAGCCTGCTGCCCATACCTACCTCACATCCGAACAGGGCCAGTGTATTATCAGTGAGACTGGTCAGACGGCCAAGGTCAACACGGTTAACTGTGATCAGCAGGCTCCCGGCCAATACACCAACGAGGGGTGTACCACTACAGCTACCTCTGCTGACCCTTGGGGCTCCTCTGATGGCGGTATCTGTAAGTGAAACCAGCAGCTTTGTCTCGGGATACCTCCAGCTAACTCTTCAACTATAGATGCTGTTGAGTGGACAGACGACTACATCAAGTTCTTCGGTAAGGAGCCTTCCAACTCCTAATCAAAATGATGAACTACACTGGACAGACGTCTAACATCACATCTAGCCTGGACCCATTCCGCAGCGCCCAAGAACATCGGCTCCGACTCGCCCGATACCTCCTCCTGGGGAACTCCCTCTATGCTCATCGCCAACGACAAGTGCAACATCAACAGCCACTTTGCCGACCAAAGACTCGTTCTGAACATTGACTTCTGCGGTGTCCTCGCAGGCAACGAGTACATCTGGAAGGACCAGTGCGCTGCGTCCACCGGCCACGCTGTCTGCTCGTCGTATGTCGCGGCGAACCCCGGTGCCTACAAGGACACCTACTTCAAGATCAAGGACATTCGTGTGTTCAAGGAGGGCAGCAAGGCTGTGACGACTTCCTCGTCTGCTTCGTCTACCTCTACCTCGACTTCCACCTCGACATCTTCCACAACATCGTCTGCCTCCACGTCATCCGCTTCGACGTCGTCTGTGTTCACGTCGACTACGATCTCCACCTCGGCATCTGCCTCTGCGTCCACCTCAACCTCAACGAGTGCCTCCATCTCTGCTTCCGCGAGCGGCTCAGTCACGGCAAAGGACACGTCTGTCAGCACCTCTGACTCCAAGACCGCCTCTGGCACCGCATCTGCGACTGCCTCTGGAACTGCCTCTGGATCGGCTTCTGGATCTGGATCTACTTCAGTCTCAGCTTCAGCATCTGCCTCCGGATCCGGCTCCAAGTCCGCCTCCGCCTCCATGACTCCTACTGGCCCGATCACCACAAGCGCCACTGGTACCAAGTCAGCCACCGCCAGCGCATCCGGCTCCATCTCCATCAAGTCCAACAGCATGACCGAAGAGGATGTCTGCACCGAGAGCGATGCCATCACCACTAAGACCGGCGTCACCAGCAAACAGACCCAGGCGGCTTCGACAACGACTCCCCCCGTCGAGCTCACGACCTCGACAGTCTACACCACAAAGGTTTCTACCATCACCGCGTGCCCAGCCCGCCTGGGCAAGGTCACGACGCAGACCATTGCCTTGTACACCACGGTCTGCCCCGTATCGTCTGTCCCTGCTACCAAGCCCACCGAGCCGGTCAAGGGCAACGACAAGCCCAATGACAAGGCCAGCCCTGGCCCTGGCCCTGCCCCTGGCGTCTCGACCACTACCTTCACCACCGTCTACACGATCACCAAGTGCCCACCCTCCGTCACAAACTGCCCCGTCGGCAGCGTCACCACCAAGGTCGTCACCACCTCTATTCCCTCCGCCGGCACCTCCGTGCCCATCGTAACCAAGGTCGTCCCTACGGCCCCCTCGGGCCCCAACTCCGCCCCCGGCGTACCCAATACCCTCTCCTCGGTCTCCCCCTCCGGCGTTCCCCTCAAGCCCAGTGCCCCCGGTGGTAATAACTACGGCTCCGGCAAGGGCAACGGCACTGTCCCCAAGCCTCCTCCCGGCTTCAACGCCACCATCCCGGCGACCAAGCCCACCACTCTCACCGCCTCCAAGCCCTCAGGAACGGCCCCGGGTGCTTCGACAACGGGCTGTTCCGGCGCCAGCTGCCCTACCAAGCCGGCTGTCGTCGTCAATGCGGCCGTCCAGGCGGGTGCCAGCTTTTTGCTGATGGCCATTGGTGCCCTCGCTGTCCTGGCTTTGTAAGTGGATGCAAGGCTACAATACTCTTTTGATAGTGCAGATGTTAAAACAATGTTTAATGCATGTTGAGGTACATGTAATTTGGTACAAAGAGATCGATCATAATCATGCTCTTTCCTTCTGTCAATATCAGTATATGATCAGTACATCAACTTAGACTTAGAGATGTATAAAATCTAAATGCCCGGCTGTAATACAACTCTTTATTGAAAAGCATCAAGCTTCATGGCGTGCACCGAGACTTCACCCCCAAGACTAGTTCCCAAAGAACTTTGTTTAGGCACCTTAGGGTTAGCATTTCAGGGGCAGCGTGTGAGAATCCCAGGATAGAGCGGAGTGATGACTGTTGTCGTTGAGAACTTCCAATTTTTGTCTACTGGCTTTTTGACCTTCGAGGGTCTTTTTTACTAATCTACATGAATGATGATGATGCGTGATACCCCCGTTCGCTTCCGTGAAACCCCCCAAACCGATTCCAGGGAACCGAGGAGTTCCCAAATAAGACAATTCCACGCACTACTTCACTGCGGCACAGCCTCTGTCCCGCCGCCCGCACAACTGAGGTGATCTTTTTCTTCTTCATCATTATCAAGTGTGGTCCATTCTTGTCATCCCGCTCTCAATAGCAGCCTCCAAGCGACGAACTAGCTGTGACGTAGTCTCGATACACAGGGGCGGAAGGCCTTGTGCCATGGGCAGAAGGACCCTATCTGCCACTGCCTTTCTGCATCTTGGTGATTTCGGTCTGGTAACGGATCTTGAAGCCGTTACACAGCGCTCTCATGTCGGGGTAGGCCTGCTTCAGTAACTCAAAGCCGCCCGGAATAACACGGACAGGCCATGAGTTGACACGCGATCCACGACTCGCCTTGAAGCACAGCCAGAAGTAGCCGGGGTGCTTGGGATCGATGCAGAAAGCATAAGCGGACCGGTTGGGGTTGGCATCGATGTATGTGGTGAGCCATTTCTCTGCGTCGCATGGTTAGCTTTGCTCACTTGATAGAAGATTCCGGAAGCACATACCGAGATCCGTCTTGGACCGCTTTTCGAACTTCTCATGCTGCATCATCTCATCCACCTTTCGAGACATAGCCTCAATGTGTTCGTGGATCAACTCATCAAGATCCTTGTAGGTGAACTTGCCACCCACTCTGAGAAGCTTGCCGACAGAGAATTCCGTCTCCTTTTGCAGCTCAAGCACATCGACATGTTGAAAGACACCATCGGCAACCTTCCAGGTGATAGCCAGATGGTCGTTACCTTTTGAGGAGGGTCGGATGATGACCTCTCCGGCGGCTTGGGTACCAAGCCATTGCTCGGCTTCCAATCCGTTGAACGGCTTGAAAAGCGGGTGCTTGATGACTCTTTGGGTGCGTCCGGTAGTCTTGTCTTTCTCGCGAAGTTCTTCCTTATCGGCTGCCTCTAGTCTCTCGTCCCACTGTCCATGACCGTGGTACAATTGACGCTTGTACGGGCGCTTGACTTCGGCCTCCCTTGCAGAAAGCTTGGCCAAGAAGTCCTTGTAGTTTACCTCAAGAACCTTGGCTTGCACCGTCTGTCCGGTCGTCAGGATACCTCTGACGCGAACACCATCAGGGCCATCATGTGACTCAATGCGGCCCTCTATACCGCAGTCAAGCTTCACAATGGCGAAGTCGTCCTTCACTACTCGGATGTTGACGGGGATGATCATGCCCTGAGCGAGGGTGTCCTTGGTCTCTCCAGTGAACATGGTGAAGATTTCGTTCGGGCCGAGGCTTGAGAAGTTTCTGCGCAACTCTTCGTAGGGGGCTTGAAGCTCAGCCCGAATCGTCTCAAGCGTAGCGCGCTTCCTCTGGCTGTAATTGCGCTCGAGTTGCTCTGCATACTCCTCGAGGATAAGCTCATTGACCTTCTCTTGTTCATCCTCCTTGAAGAGTTTCCGGACAATAGCACCAGGTCCATTGTGATCCGTCTCTGCCTTGACGTCCTCTTCATCAAGTTCAAGGGCGTCGGCTGCCATCTTGCGACCCAGCTCGTAGTCCTCTGGGTGAACACGGGTGTTGTCAAGGGGGTCTGAGGTGGGGTTGGTTGCATCGTAGTCGATGAAGAGGAAACTGGCGCAGTTGTTCCAAACTCTTGGGCCCACGACTGGCAGCTTGCCACTGTCGGGGTCGCCAACCAGCTCATCTCTGCTGCCGACGGCTCCTCCGTTCGCGTTGATAGCTTTGATGACGCTTGTAGCCTTTCGGGGACCAAGACCGGCGACATAAGGCAGGAGATTTGCTGTGTAAGAATCGCCCACAGCCTCGTTGATGTTGACACCACACAGATTAACCATGTCGACCATTGCTGACTCAAGGTGCTTGAGAAGCTTCTCTTGGGGTAGCAGATTTTGACAAGGATGGAAAGCTAGCGATGCAATGTCTTTGCCAAGAGCCGCATACTCTTTGAGGGGGTTTTGCATGTAGTGCGCCAAAGCGATGCAGTATCTCGTAAGGGAACTGAGAGTAGGGTGCTCAGCAACTGCTCGGGGGCTGTCCTTGTAGAGACGAGCAACCTCGTCATTCACCACAATGACTTCGAGGGGCTCAGTGCGGTACTCTCCAAGCTCGGGGTCATCAAACTCGGGCCCCATCAAGCCCTTTTCGCTGATGAGACTTTCCAAGTCCCTCACAAGCCTCTGGGTATCTGCAGACCATCCGCTAATACCGATAGCATCCGGGCGACGCCTGTTGACGATCTCGACGAACTCTTCGCGAGCTCGCTCATCACGAGCTAGATTGCCCAATTTGCCCTGCTCAATGACCCGACCATCTTCTTCGACGGAAGCCCAGAGTGTGGGGTCGCGAGCTGGATCGGCCATGCCGTTGGACAGAGTGATGATCCGGGGCAGTGTGCCAAGAATCATACCCTTGGGCTTGTATGGTGCTTGGTCGAGCCTCTTTGAGTATTCTTCGCGGCAGGCTTTTAGGACTTCTTCTTGGCATGCAGTTCGAAGAGACTCCTTGACGCCCTTGGCAATGATCTTTGAAAGACGGGGAACAATGAGATCGAGGACCTTCTGACGTTCATCATTCCATCGATCGGCAAGTTCACTGTAGTTGTCTGAAATGAATTCTTGGCGCAATGAACGTTTGAAGCCCTCGTCGTTCTCCAGTGTCAGCTTCACCTCGATGAGACCCTCTTCCTCAGCCTTCATCATCTTGAGGTACAGATCTGGCTGTCGAGCAACGTCGGCAATTGTCTGGTTGATGAGGTATTTGACCTCGTAGAATGGGTGTGAATCGTCGATCTTCTTCAAACCCTTCTCTGTCCGGCGACAGCTGATTTCACCCATTTGGTAGAAGTTGACTCTGAAGTGCTTCCGCATACGAGGGTTGACGAACAGCTCCTCTGCGTACATTTGACGAGCAGCGTACATCACCGTATCACCGGTTTGGAATTCTTCATCCGTAAGAGAGTCGGCGAGGTCGTCCGGAAGCTGACTGTCGTCGTCGGCCCAAACCTTGTTACCCTCGCGAAGTGTATTTTGGGCGAACCGATCCGGAGTGATACCGTAGGCACGGACGAAGCCGATAGCCTTGCTCCTCCTGACTCTGTCAACAAGATTTGATTTGGAGCCTGGGCGCTTCATTTGATTGCCATTGCCGTTCATGAAAGACAGGTCCTTGAGCTCGGTGGTGTATTGGAAATGGAGGTAGTCCTGCAGATCTTGTAGTTCTTCCATGGTCGCAGCTTGGGGAATCATGTCCTCGAGCACATCATCCTTGATGCTAGCAGCAGATTTGAGGCTCTCAAGCGTTTTTTCGAGGGCGTTCCGCTTTTCGATCAGTGAACGGAATTTGATATCGAGCTCCAGAATTCGCCACAAGTCGTCCTGAGTAAGAAGCTTGTCTGCGCTGACGATCCATTCAGGGGCATCGGGGTCGTCGCGACGGTCGGGGTTTTTGGTCTTCTTGGCGTGGATCAAGTAATCCTTGCGATGCTGAAAGACGTACGGGACCTCAACGTCGTCAACGACAAAGAACTCGAGGACCTTGCCGATAGCCTTGGTGAAGGGTCCGTGTAGTTCGGACTGGAGCAGCTTTTTGGGCCACATCAAACCCGCGATCCACCGGGCCTCTTCCTTGAACTGCTCAGCGCTAATTTGCAAGTGTTTGAAGGGCTTTCGGTCCAGTTGGAATCTTTCAGGCTCATCTGTGAATCGGATCTGGTTGTCCTCGTCGGTCAAAAGCTTCTCCTTCAACTGTGAAGGCTCAAACACGTCCTTCAGCTCAATGACCTGCTCTTCGCGTTCGCGGTCTTCCTGCTCTTCTTCCAATTGAAGAGCCCATTCGTAATCCTCGCCGTTGCCGAAGATTGCTTCCATGTCCTCCAGGGCGTCTTTGTCGAGGCCGGAGGTATCAACAACACCTCCAACCCCTCTGTCGCGGGGCCGGGCGACTTCGGCATCTTCTTGCTGGCGCGCTCGTTCGTCCTCATCCTCCGGATAGTCCTCTTCGATGAAGTCTTCGAACTCGTCGGCCTGGGGGCGGTAGTTCGATCGGCCGTAGGGTCTTTGGTCGTTGGCTTCCTCGTCGTCATCCGAGAACATGTCCTCTAAGCCGCGTCGCTCGGGGCCACGGTCATCCTCGTCCCGATGACCTCGTTTAAGACGCTTGAATTTCGGCTACAGGCACGTTAGCACAATTGTTAGCGATGATCCATGGTGGGCATCATACCTGTGTTGGTGCTCTGCGCTCGATTTGTTCCCCAATGAGTTCCAAGTCATCCTCGTCCAGACGCTCTTCTTCTTCCTTGTCGCGATGCTCTCGCTTCCGCTTTCGCTCGTGAGCATCTTCGTCCTCGCCTTCTTCTTCTTCCTCATCTTCGTCGACAATGAATCCTTCGCGAATCTGAGGGGAAGAAATAATTAGTGGTCATCAAGGTAATTTGAATGCCAATCGCCTACCTTGCGCGCTTCCTCCTCATCTTCATCGTCCTCTTCCTCTTCAGAGGAGTCCTCAGGGGCCGCGTTTCTCCTGCGCGCGGATCTAGGGTCGGCATCCTCATCCACAGACCCCTCATCGTCGTCATCGAGCTCGGCCTCGCCGTCAACGAAGTCACGCATTGAGGCGCTCATCTTGAAGTCGCCTAAGATCGAGGTCGCAGCGCGTGGTGAAAGTGAGGCCTTCGTCGGTGGATGATATTTGGCAGGCGCGTTGCGATCGCTGGGGAGGCTTCGCTCAGGCTCAAAGTTTTGATGAAGAAGGAGATACCGCGCCCGAATTAATGAGTCGATGTCGAGATGGGGTCGCTAAAATTCGGAGGAAAGAACGAGAGCAATAATTCAAGGAAGGCGTCCTTGACCAGGCAATTTTCATTTGCCTCTGCAGCACGCCTGCACTTGGAATAATTGAAAGCTTGGACCTCCAATGGCTTTCTGTCCCCAGCGCGCCTCGTTCGCCGACCCGACTTTCAGCCTCGGACCCGGAAGGTCCACTGTGGCTGGTGACAGTTCTTCCGGCTTCCGGGCAAAATGGTCTATCTTATCGGTTTATCCGATAAGCGTCCCTGCAAGCCACTTGTGATACCACGTGCAAGTGATTCTGCATCCCCTGCTCGCTGAAGTGAATCTCAGATTTCCGAAGACTAGCTACCCTAGGCCGATTTATCCACATCCCGCTACTCCAAGTCGTCGTTCATGACGCTATGTACCGAATATGGTCTCATTAAGAAGAGTCACTGCGTCAACTTGAGTATCCTTCAGAGAATCATGAAGTTTTCAGCGACAATTCCTTGAGACAGCGGCTGGCTCATGTGTTTCGCTTGACCACTAAGAGTTCTCTTGCAATGATAGATACTAGGTTTAGACAGCAACTTGTTTTGGCCTTTGAGCGTTTAGCTAACCGGCTCAAAACCATTGGCTTGCCTACGGATAGCGCAATCCTACTCATTCTAGCTGTCACTTTTCGAATGCACAAAAACCCAGTCGGTTGCTAATTGTGCGGGAGCAGAAGTCACGCAAAGAATCTGTCAACCCTAGGTGATATTACATCCATGATACTGTTTCGACTTCACAGTTAGCACGAGCAGCATAACATGAAATCGAGAAGGAGCATCCTTCTAAGAGTGTCCGGCTTTGTCTGTCAACATGATACAGACGTTGGCGCCGCAGGGAAGCGCATTTTGCAGCCAACGACAAATTAGCAAGCCATGAACCCATCATGCAGCATTTCATGGCACATTTCCGCGCTTGGGCAGCCATCAGGAGCCTGTCGGAAAGCTGGCAAGACCAGACACACAGACATTCGAGTCTTGTTGGTTGGTGTGGGAGGGGCAATGAGGGCGGGCGGCAAGACACTGAGACACCAGGCCGTTTTGTGACTCAAGGCCCTGGTACAGAACAAAGTGGGATTTCTTCATTGCCTCACCATCGTTGGCTCGAGTTGCCTCATCACACCCAGCGTGGCAGCCCACCGGCTTACATGAAGTGTCCAGGCGATACCCAACCCCTGTCGTGGACTTGAGTGATGAGTTGAAAGGGTGACGGAGGCGGCGACGTAATTGGACTTGACTGCTGCCTTAAGGGTGAAGGGAGAAATTATGGGCGATTATTGGGATACTCTGAGGAACGGATGGGAGCAGATAAATTTGGACGGGAGAAGGAGGCAGCTGTCTTTGATTGACGTGTAGATCTGCACTCCCGTACTGCTTGTTTTTTTCCTCCGTTGTCTTTGCCATGTTGTAGCGACGGTTTGAGACCAACGGGGTCAAATGCAGACGGGTATAGCGGCAGGCCACAGAATAGTCCTCTTCAAGTCTTAGTCGACTTTTGTCTGTTTGGCTGGCTCGCTGACAACCTGAGATATTGACGGCAAGCTGAAGCCTGAAGGAAAGGATAGCCGTCGGTCCCCGGCTCGTATGCACAGAGTAGATCGAGGTGGACTCTGGGCTTTTGAGTCTGTGCTTGAGAAGAAGAATCACGGATCCGATATCTTACGTTGAGTTGAGTGACCATGAGGTAAAATAGGAGGTCCTTCCCTGGACGGCCCAGTCCAGAGACCCCTCAGTCGCCAACCCAGGGGTGTCGATGGCTCCACGGAACTGCAAGGTCCCCTAGAGGATTCAGACGTTTTGCTGCTACTATAGCTCTAAAACGTGCGTCAAGTCACCTCTATCCCGTACTCCGGAGCTGGGTCTCGACGTCTCTAAAACACTGGCCCGGGCTAGTGCTGGGCTGTGGCCCGTTTGGGGTCCTCTTGTTGTTCTCCGTCGCTGACCCCAGACACTCTGCATCTGACCTTAGCTACCTTACCTTAAGGTACTCCGTACGCGTTGGGATCTTTGGGTACCTAGCTTTACTAGTGTAAATACTAGTAGGGAGAAGTAGCTTTGTTCGGGTACAATATCGTAGACGGGGCGCTTTTGTATCGTATCCGCCGTTGTCGCAGAGAAAGAAACAGCGAACTGCAACACTAGGGAACCGCGAAGCCGACGAACCAAGCAACCAAAGAGACAGACGTCCAGTCTCGACTCGAGGAGGCAGAAACTGTGTAAGGTAGCGTAGCGTCGGCTGGCCAGCAAGGAAACCAGTGGAAACGACACAAGCGACCAAAGCTGCCCTGACGGACCGAGACCAAGGTGGGAAAGGCTAGGAAGACATACGAGTAACTACTGGCCATCGCTCTCGCTACTGGAGCGTGGATTAGAACCTGGAGGGGGATGCCGCCCCCGGTTGACCCAGGTTCAGGGCTTAAACAGATACAGCCGCGCTGTGATCCGAAACCATTTCTGAGCCCTCATTTGTTGACTTGGGGTGTGCTGGAGACCTGCGTCTCGCTCGACACTAGACTGGACGGGACCGGACTGGACCGTGATTCTTGTGGGCTGCACCTGCCACCCCGCAGGTAGGCCCATCCTCCTTCCACGGATAGGTGGAGGTGAGGTACCTCACTTTAGGCACCTGGGCACCAATATCTTAGGTACCTTTTCCACTCCACTGGGTGTACCTTACACTCGCACCGGAGCACCTCTGTTCTGCTTTGGATGTTTGTGTGGCAGAGTGAACCTTTGTTTGATCTGACACCACTCTTCTTTTCCTCACCTCTCAGGTCAACTACTGCACCTGCGTCTTGTTTTCAAGCGCTCAACTGGTCCATCATTCTACTGCTCTACTTTCTCTTCCCATCCATCCCCTCCCCGTCATCCTCTTTTAACCATCCTGACCCGCGACCCACGTTCCGCCCGTTTACCTATCGAGAGCAATCTCATTCACTTCTACGAGGCCCTCTCATTTACTCCTATCCAGCGACACGGAGCACGTTGCCTATTTCTTGCTCGTCTACCCCTTCCCCCTCGCCTTTTCTCGGAGTCGCCTCCCTACCTTACCTTCCAACCCCACCTTGGCCGAAACGGGGACGCCATCGGGAACAATCACACCAATAAATTTCGAGTCGTCTACGCCCCTCTTCCTCCTTCTCATTTCTTACACGCAGTTGTCGACCTCGGATATCGTCCATCGCTTCATCCGCCAAAGCGATATTTAACTCACCCTCTGCCCAAACTTCGCATAGCCGAGCATCAACGAACCTTCCCAGCTCGCCTTTCCCCTCTCCTGTTTCCCGACGCAACCCCGATTGCGCGATTCGTTCACAGTGACAGGCCAGTCTTTGGTATTCGATTACACGAGACCGGCGGTTACTGCCATCTTTCTTCGGCACTAGCGATTCGACCGCGTCCAAACCCGTGTACGAACGCTACCCAGCACGCGATTCCTAATTCCCGACGATCCGAGACGGCAAAGCACAGCTTCAGTAGCAGTGCAGAAGACCACACACATTGGAAGTTGTGGCAATCTATTACAGCTTGAACAGGGCATGACACATAACTATTCATCGTTGTAACTGCTGGCGTATTCCAGCTTCACTTCCGGTTTTCCGCATTACGACTTCGTGACGGAGACCTGTTAGCCCAATATGGCTGACCCCTTCGCGCCTCGCTCTATGAAGCGCAAGAATGTCAAAGGCCTGGCCTTGACACCTGCTGCCCCCAAGCCTCCGCCGACTGCCGAGACCAGTCACCACGATAAGGATGGCGGTGATCAGTCGGCACAGTTGGAGATTGGTATCGAATACAAGCTGGATCTGAGACCAGAGGACCTAGAAATTCTCAAGGAGCTCGGTTCAGGAAACGGAGGTACCGTCAGCAAAGTCAAACATGTTCTTACCGGAACTGTCATGGCACGAAAGGTCAGTCATCACTTTTGTCCTACTCGGAAGGCTAAGTGCTCATCAATATCAGGTCATCCACGTGGAAGCTAAGAAAGAAATGCGCAAGCGCATTGTGCGTGAACTGCAAATTATGCACGGTTGCTCGTCCGAGTACATTGTCAACTTCTATGGAGCCTTCCTGAACGACCACAACGACGTCATTATGTGTATGGAGTACATGGATGTTGGGTAAGCGCGTGTCTGATTTGGCTTTAGTAATCTTGGCTAATGCGTCTCTCAGTGCTTTGGATCGTGTATCCAAGGTCTTTGGGCCTGTTCGAGTGGATGTTCTCGGAAAGATTGCCGTGGCTACCTTGGGAGGCTTGACCTACCTCTACTCGAAGCACCACATCATGCACAGAGACATCAAGCCGTCCAACATTTTGGTGAACTCTAGGGGAGGCATCAAGCTGTGCGACTTTGGCGTGTCTGGAGAGCTCATCAACTCTGTTGCTGATACGTTTGTGGGAACTTCGACGTACATGGCTCCCGAGCGAATTCAGGGCGAGAAGTACACAGTCAAGTCAGATGTGTGGAGTTTTGGTCTGACCATCATGGAAATGGCCATCGGAAAGTTTCCTTTCAACGCAAGCGAGCAACTTTCGGACGGCGAGTGCGCACCCGCAGGCATTCTGGATCTTTTGCAGCAAATTGTCCACGAGCCCGCACCCAGACTACCCAAGAGCGATGCTTTCCCTTCAATTTTGGAAGACATGATTCAAAAGTGTCTGTGCAAGGTTCCTGATGAGCGGCCTACCCCTCAGGAGCTCTTTGTGAGTACATTCCGTAAACATCAATCAACCGTGTGGCTAACATGCATCTTCACTAGGACCGTGATCCCTTCGTCCAAGCTGCCAAGAGAACACCTGTAGACCTGAGAGAGTGGGCAGTTGGTATGATGGAGAGGGACAATCGCAAGTCTCACTTGGCGCCCCAGTTATCGCCAGCAACACGCGACCTCCTCAATTCCAATGATTCCCCAACATATCACGGCGGTTCTGGAAACGATCGATCCCTTGACACCCCTACTTCGGGAGAAATTCCTATCGCCGGCGCCGGCATCATCTCTCCGAGAGAACCAGCCAGCCACTCCAACCGCTCTCCCACTAGAAACGGGCTTAACACTATGAGCAGTAGACAGCCGGGTGGCCACCCTGGGATGGGACAGAGGATCGTCACCACTAACTCGATACCCAAGGTTGGCGAGTATCCCAACAGTGCTGGTCCGGTGAGCGCCAACGCTGCGTCTTTCAGCCTGCCTGTTCGCCCGGCTCCTGGCGGACCTCTACCCCCGGCCCCTCCTCGGAAGGGCACACCTGATGATCCAAGAAGAGAAAACCGGAGACAAGCTACGTTTGGCATGCCTCCAGCGCCCAGAAGCTACGCAAGCGATGTGTACAACGGCACCTCCAACTAGTCGCAGGAGGGCTTCGACTATACTCACAGCGTTGGGCCTCAAACCCATCAAGCTCACCCACTGCATAATAGAGAATCAAATCGCGCCAGTTCGCTACACCAGCCACATCCGTCTTTCAGCCAGGGGCCAAGAACGTGCAATATCTCTACCCAGATGGCTTTCCAACCAGCATCTGACGAACGGGTTCAACGAGCTATCGCATCAGCTCCGATCTTCTCGTCTCAGAGGATGGACATGCCTGATAACAGAAGTCGCAGGATGCGTCGCGATGACAATGTCGCTGGCTTGGAAGATCCCTTCATCTAGACGCACGGCAAAGCCCGGCAAAAGCCTCGTACACCAGGTCCCAGCGGCGGACTGTCGACTCGATCGTAGGGAGGCTTCTTCCCCTCTTTTCGTCAGCATCACCCGGCGCATGTATGGATATCATTCACTTGCAAACTCTCGTCAATTAAGTCTTTTGAGAAAGTTCGGACAGAGCATCGCCATCGATCGTAACCAAGAGAGGAGGGAATATGTCGACACAAAAAGCCTTTCATGTAGGGTATCAGGTATCTAGCAAACTTGGAGGACGGGTTTAACGGTGGCCGATATGCCAACGAAACATGGAGACGAATGACTGAGCAATTCGTTCTGCCCGCCTAGACCGTGGTGTCTTATAGTCTCTTGAACTTTTTCTAAATAGACATGAAAGGACAGTAGACAAGCTGCCGCCTAGTTTATATCCATGCGTCTCTCTATGTCTATGAAACTGGTTCCCTGCTGCTGAACCCCTTCTCAAGGATAGGAATCAGCTCATCTAACCGACGGATCACCAAGTCAGTGTGCTCGTGATCGACCAGATGCTCGTTGACATCGTTGGCAAGGAGTACTGTCGCCGCGCCAGCTCTTCGTCCGGCCGTCATGTCATCGATCGAATCCCCAACCATGATCAACTCACTACCATCACCGACGGTTGTCTCCTTGGCGTTAGTCGAGGCGTCGGCTTCTTTGACGAGACCCCAGTTTTGCGCAATATGCAGGATCCCGGCGGGGTCTGGCTTTGGCGGGCGAAAGTCGCGGGTCACGACAGGCTCGAACAGCGACCCCTCGAGGAACTTTCCGAGAAGGTGTGCGACGGGCGCGTCGAAGTTGCGGGTGCAGATGCCCTTGCGGACGCCGCGGCTGTCGAGGTAGGACATGAGCTCCACGAGGCCGGGCTGGGCTACTTGAGAGGCCATGGCCGTACGCTCGATTTGGCGGATGGACTCCATGGCCGTCTCCTGTTCCTCTTTCGTGGGGAGGGAGTAGACGTGGTCGAGGATGTCTACTTTTTTGGTGATGCCGAGGGCCTGGCGCATCTCGCCAAACATGTACGTTTGGGGTTCACTTGATGATAGTCAGCAACGTTCTCTAGTAAGTATATGCGGTTTGTACGAGGATTTCACGTGACTGTGGAGATGTCATATGTAGGCACTGGCAGTTGACTCAGTCTTTTGCTGTACTCTTATCTGCATGCTCACCCGCTGAGGCTGAAGCAATTTTGTTCGTGCGGAGGCGTAAAAGTTGAGATTCAGACAAGATGTTATATGAGAGAAATACGATAACAGGAAGGGACCAGATGACCAGGCACGTACCATAATGTTCCATCAACGTCGAATACAATGCCTTTGAGTCGAGGTGCAGTTGACTTTGCTACAACGCCTGGCTTCAGAGGGGCGAACTGCCGGGGAGCGTGTGTGACCATCTTCGAGATGAATTTCTTCATAGGATAGGATTTGGTGTTACAGAGAGCTAAGGCCAACTGCAAAATGACGGTTAGAATTTCCCAAATTTGAGATAGAGTTTGCGGTGGTTGCGATACCTTCCACTGAGGAGCTGTTGCGATGAGTCGTTTAACCCTCAACTAAGACGGAAGAGTACGTACACAACCCGCACCGGATCGATGACCGCGAGTCGGGAATGCGTCCTGCGGGCTCAACTAGTGTAAGATAGGTAGGCGGCGATTGCGCAAAACCCCACACTGGGCTGGATGGGGAATCGGAGAGTGGGAACACAGTGCTGGCTGACTGACTGAAATGTTGCACAATTCCGGATCCCAGCCGGGCAGATGACATGGGTCTAGGGATGTGAATGGTTGGCGCGAATCTTTTGCGAGGCAAGAGAGGTCTGCTGTACTGCTGGGTGGGAGGAGCTTTCCATGTGGCGAGGCCCAACCTGCAGCAATTTAGACCAGTGCCAGTGTGTCGCGGATGCTCGGTCGGTCGTTGGGAATTCTGTTTAGACGCCTTTGCAGTTGGCAGTAGGTCTGTCTGTGTCTGACAGCTATTACCTATCTTATTTCTTTTACGTACAACAAAACATCCCAGAGGGCGCCACAAGTTCATCCCTATTGCTCCAACCTAGAAAACGAACCTTTGTTAAACAAGCTTCTGCGAGCTCCCTTGTCGAGCGCATTCAGACCGACTGCTCCAACACGGCTGACATTTGGGTGCTGCGCAACACCCAACCGTGATGAGCTCGTCGAATAACAACCAATGGCCACCTAGGCGGCCCTCGAAACGGAGCGTGAGTAAATAGACCATCGTTTTTCCTAGGATGAAGCTTGCAGGCTGGTGTTGCGCAACTCAGAGCTGACCGCGCGGTGTGTTTCTAGAAGCTCCGAAATGGCACCTTCATCGTCCCAGGCACCGGCGAACGCAGCCGCCGCCAATTCTCCCTCCGCGGATCGAGCATCGAGATTCCCCCGCCCGAAATAAACGGATACCGATCCCTCTTGGCCGCCGAGTCGACGGGCGAGTCCCTCAATGTGGTCAAACATAACATCAAGACCAGTGCCCTACACTTCTGGGACTGGCTCATGTCTCCGGCGGGCAAGGGCGTGCTGAAGTGTACCTTGGCATATCTATTGGCAAGTATGGCGACGTTCCTCTCGCCCATCTCGGCTTTCTTAGGCAAGCCTGACGGGAAACACGTCGTCGCGACTTTGACGGTCTATTTCCACGCCAGTCGGACGTGGGGTTCCATGGTTGAGGCCGTCGCCATTGCCACCATCGCCGTCCTGTATGCCGAGATCATATCCTGCCTCGCCATGGCCTTTTCCGTTGTCGTGGGAGGGCAGCTCGGCCTCATTCCGCTGTCCCACGTCCTCATCCTGACGTTCTGCATCGGCGGCGGTATGGGTTTCATCGGATGGGTGAAGCAAAGGCTGAACAATCCCCTGGTCAACGTGGGATGTACCCTTTCTTCGATTGCCATTATCGCCGTGGTCACTAGAGAGGAGGCAATCCACGAAGGGCACTTTTCCGAAGCCAAGATTGTGCAAGTACTTAAGATGTTGGCTATCGGCATTACAATCACGGCGACGGTCAACTTCTTTGTCTGGAGGGTGTCGGCACGGGCCCTTTTGCGTTCCTCGATGAACTCGGCTGCCGTGTCACTGGCGGACATGCTCTCCATGATTACTCGTGGCTTTCTGAACGGTTCCGAGAACGAGATCATGTCGGGAGACTTTGGTCAGGTTGCGAGACTGTACAAAACGACGTACGGTAAGATGACGAAGAACCTTAGGGAGTCGAAGTTGGAACACTGGGTTCTTGGACGGGAGAAAATCTATAACCTGGAAAAGAATCTCGTCAAGTCGTTGGAATCACTCTCGCAAGCCATAGGAGGTTTGAGGAGTGCAGCCAACACGCAGTTTGCCTTGCTCAAGGAGATGCCACAGGATCCCATGGGTGGCCAGCTTTCTCCCGGAAGCACAGTGTTCTCCCCGACGCTGTCTCGCGCCATGTCCCAGTACCTCAAGGGTGCTCGGGATCGGTTCGCTACGCTGGCATCGATCGAGGAAGATGACGAGTATGACGATGATCTGGATAGCCACCCAAGCCCTGAGGCAACCCCGGACGGCCCTCCGGCGCCACTTCCTACTTTCCGCTCACCATCAGAGATCTTTGAGCTCTTCATAGCACTGTTGGGCCCCTCGATGAAGTCTCTGGCATACACTCTTTCGGAGATCCTGAGAGAGCAAGCTTTTGCAAAGGGGGCAGACTCCAAGATTACCGTCAATCCTCACTTCAAGCACAGCTTACAGGACGCTATGGCGCTGTACAGCAACGCGAGAACTCATGCCCTGCAAGAGCTCTACACTAGTATTGAGCTGGGCCGAGCGAGGTCAGAAAAGATTCAAGCAGACATTGAAGAAGTCGCGGCTGCATGTGGACATTTCAGTTTTAGTCTGCAGCATGTGGCCGAAGATATCGATGCCTACTTGACAGCCTTGGAAGAGCTCAAGTATAACCGTGAGATGGGTTCCCGCAGCTGGAACTGGCTGAAGGTTTGGAAGTACTTCTCTTCACCCGCTCAACCCAAGGAATCCGATCCTAGCAACCTGGATACCGAGCGTTTGTTACATCAACCTATGGAACCTCCGGAGCAGCCTGTTCGTGCCATCAGGAAATCGGCTCTCCCCAGGGGCATTCCCGATACGATGATCAAGCGCAGAGATACCTTCAGCTGGGACGCCGCTCCCAACGCGAGCATGATTATGAGATTTTTCTCGCAGCAGCTTCTCAAGGGTTTGAGAGTTTTGGCTCGCGATGACAGTGAGTAACTGGTCCTCAAAGTATGCTTAGGCACAACTAATGATTTGGGTAGTCCGATTTGGTGTCAAAGTAGGCTTTGGAGCGATGCTCTGGGCCGCATGTGCCTTCATTCCGGCAACAAGACCGACGTATCAGCACTGGCGAGGCGAGTGGGGCTTGCTATCTTTCATGATTGTCGCGTCTATGACTGTCGGAGCAGCCAACACCACGGGCACCGCAAGGTTCATTGGCACCATTGCCGGAGCTACCTTTTCCTTGACGGCGTGGGCCATCAGCCAAGGAAACGGAGTCGTTCTTGCGTTCCTAGGTTGGATGGTCAGCTTCTTTAGTTTCTACATGATGCTCGTCAAGAACAATGCCCCCTTCGGTAGGATTACGCTTCTAGCCTGGAACGTCACTGTTCTCTACGCCTATTCGTTGTCACAAAAGGTGGATGATGACGATGACGATGAGGGTGGTTCCAACCCTTTGATGTTTGAGATTGTCTACCACAGATTTGTTGCGGTGTCGCTAGGTATTCTATGGGGTATCTTTGTTTGCCGAGCAATCTGGCCCATCTCGGGCAGGAAGAAGTTCAAGGAAGGCCTTTCAGTCCTCTACCTCCAGCTTGGTCTCATCTGGAAGAGAGGGCCGCTGGCTATCCTGCTGCGAAGCGACAACACGAGATCGTACATGAAAGCCGGAGAAGAACAAGCACTGCAACGCTACGGTAAGAGATATACCCCCTTGACTCCTGAATACGAATTTCTCTGACACAGACAACAGCCTTCAAGCTCGAGGCCTTGCGTAATTCCGCAAAGAGCGAGTTTGAACTCCGTGGCCCATTCCCCGATGCCGCCTACGGCCGTATCATGCAGTCAACCAGCAAGATTCTCGACGGGTTCCACGCCATGCGGCTGGTGACCTCCAGACGAGGACAGCTTTCCGCTGGCGAACGAGCACTGCTCGAGTACACGGCACCAGAGCGCGCACAGCTTTGTGATCGCATCTGCCACGTGTTCCAGGTGCTCGCAAGCTCCCTGATGCTAGAATACCCGCTCACCGACGCGATCCCATCGGTGGTGGGCAACAAGGACCGGCTGCTGGGCAAGATTTACCAGTTCCGCAAGGAGCATCAGCCTCCTTCTCCCATAGTTGGAAACGATTTTGAGGAACAGCAGCAGCGGCAGGAGGAGAACGGCAATGGGAATGGCAATGCCGGTAACAATAACAACAATAACAACAATAACGGCAACAACCAGATTACCAAGAATGGTGTGGTGTTGGAAGAGAAGGACTTTGCCCTGTTGTACGCGTATACCTTGGTCACGGCCCAGGTCGCGCAGGAGCTCGAGTATGTTCAGAGGGAGATTGAGAATCTCTTTGGCGTGCTCCACACGGAAGCGCTCTTGCTGCAGTGAAATTCAAATTAAACAATAGAAAAGAAAGGACGTCACTGGTAGAGTGGTGGTGGTGGTAGGGGGCAGTAGAGATTGAGAGAGATAGTGAAGAGGAAGAAACAAAAAGGGGTGACTGGACTGGACTAACTGACCGATTGATTGACTTGACGAAAACAGGCATGGCGTTTGGTTACCACTATACATACATTACTAGGGATACCTTTCATGGGCTGAGCGATGAGGGTGGGTTTACAAGGCATACATATATACAAGTAGTCGTAGTAGTAGTCATTGAACATTGTCAAGCCCAATCTCGACTCTCTTGATCAAAGATTTCCACCTTGCTTCGCCCGGCTGTGAACTTCAATACACACTGAGATTCATCGCTCAGTCTCACCCAGACAAACGATCTTGTAAGATTCTGGTGTAATGTGATATAATTGTAGTATGGGAGTTATTGCTATTCTAGCTGTACAATAACAAATAAAGTGTAGATTGCGAGCTATCCCAGCTCGCTAGGCATGGCGACAATCATATTCCTCAATGGTAGATCGGTGCTTTTTCTCTGCAAACTTGTCCAGCAACCCCTTACTCGTTCCCATCTTTTCCACCCGAGGATCTAAGGACCAATCTGATAAGCCCCTTTCCGTCGCCGACTCTCACTACATCAAGCTCTCATAGATCATCAGATGACAGAGAAACAAAAGCATACAACCTTAGCGCCATCTGAACGCCATGCCATAGATAAAGTCGCCTTGTAAACGCCGAATGACAGACACGAACACGTACACTGTTTGCAAAAACAGCCTCAACCTCCCCAGACTCGCTGCGTCATCTTCGTTAAAATAAAAACAAATAGCAACGTATGTGGAAATATGGTGAGCATCAGATAATGCCCTAGTTCCAGCCATGCTGCATCCGATCGGCGTCTTCGTGGATACGAAATCCTACGCCATCGTCGGCGCCAGGCACCTGCCAGCCACGCTGGGTGCTAGGATACTCGGACGGCTGGCTGCTTGCTTCCGAGTGAACGTCGTCCTCGGCCGTCGGCGAGAAGAGCGGGTCAATGTTCTCCCCGTCGGACATGTGTTCCTGGTCCTCGATGCCGGGCCAAGGCTCGTCCTCAGGCAGATGGACCTGCCGCGAAAACGATGAGTCACCCTCACGTTCCGGTGGCACCTGGGCCATCACCTCGACGCTGTAGTCGCTGTCGTCATCGTCATCGTAAGGGTTGGTGCTTCCGTAATCCGGATCAAGGTTTTCGTCATCGTCGGCGGGAGTATCATCCACCACCATGCCCGTGCCGCGCGGACGGGTCTCGCCCAGCGGTGCGTTGCTATACGGGGTTGCATAGTAGTGGGGTGTGATGCCGCGGGTGGACGGGTGCCGCTCGTCAGAGGGAATGACACCGGGCATCGGGCTTGGCGATACAGTCCACCGAGGGGTGTTGAGAGGGCGGCTCGGCGAACGAGTCGTGCGGCGCCGCTTATAAGCAGTCGAAATGTTGGGAGGGTTCGGCCGGACTGGAGCAGCTGCCCTCTGGCCGAAAGATGATACACGGCGTTTGATCTGCGACGGCGACATGTTGGCAGGAACTGAAGGAGGTAGCGAGGCAGTGCGAATGTAGGATGGCTTTGTAATCCTTCCGTCCCTGACAGGAGTTTGCCCACGAGCTACCATAGGACTGGATGATCGCATAGAAGACTGAATCGCAATATGATGTAGCGAAGGGGACGCGGACACTCGCTGGCCAGCTTGACGTATACCAAGAGAAGATGGCGCGCTCGCGGTCTCGTCAAGGTGGTCATTCCAGGTCCAGTGGTCCTCTTTCGCGTCGGCTTCGGGGACCTCCTGAGTAGCTTGGGAATCGGGGTAGAAACGGCTCATTTCGCGAAGGCGTTGCCAACTCCAACCGCTCTCATATGATGGCAGATCTTGAAGATAGGCCTCAGGCTGCGTGATGAACAGACGCGGTTCAGAAGATCGCATAATTACAGAGTTGAGAAACGACACGTCCCAGAGGGCAGGCGTTACCATCTCTGCCGGCGTCAAAAATCGGAGGCGGGAGTCCTTGTGGATCTTGCGGAGCGGTACCCATGGTTGCTGCAGGCCCAAAAAGCGGCTGGTCTTATTGTCGAGGCTGCGCCGACGTGAGGTTGAACGTGTGCCGCGAGAGAGTTCGGTGAAGGTGGTACCAAATGCAGTATGGATCGCTGCCTGGACACTTCGTGCGTCTGACCCTCTGACAGAAATGGTACGCACTAGGCCGCGGCTTTTGAGTCTGCTGTTGATGATACTAGTAGGACTACAGGCCTTTGCCATCAACCACGCGTAGTCATGTCCTGGATCGGCCCATTCTGCGCAGAAAGGTGACTGTGCTCTAAGTGTGTGAGAGCTCATGGTGTTGGGCATCTGAGTCCATTCATCCAAGCTCGAAGGACCGTCGGATTTGAAATCCTGAAGCTCTACCCAGACCCTCCTCAACGGAAAAGGTAGAAACACGACTTCGATTTCCCAAGGCCGAGTAAGTGTGGGAAGCTGTGACTGAAGCTGGAGGATCTGAGACTGCAGCATCTGCATCTGGCTAATGATTTCGCCAGAATGGCCGGCTCGCGCGGTAGTCGTACTTGTAGCGACTGAAACAACGCTGTTGGTCGATTCGTCAAACGTCTGTCGGTCGGCGAGGCGACCTACAACACTGCCGTTATCATTAATGAGCTTTTCAACTTCCTCGAAGCGGACCTCAAGGTCAGTCACGCGGAGATCCGTGGCGTCATGCTTCTCATGACACTCATCGTGCCCGGCAGCGGAGAATGAATCATTTTCCAGTCTCTCGAGCCGGTGTTCATGACCTTGAACTGTATCCGATATATGGCGAAACGTATCGCGGGAAGGTCCGGCAAAAACAGCATCCTCCTTTCGGACGCAGGGAGACAGAGCCCTTGGAGTGTCTGCACCATGATCACTGTGAACAATCATTGCGCTGGCGTTGTCCTTGGTGAGTTGATCCTGTGGAGCAGAAGTGTTGGCATCCTGGAATCTATCCTTCCGTAGAGATTGCACGTTAGAAGTAGCAACACCACTAAGTGTTTGGAGGCCTTTCCCAGAGAATGGACGAAGATAGCGTGCTTGGCTAGAAGATGTCGTAGAACTGGGCTGAGATTGCATTAAGCATTGTGCTGGTATTGGTGGTAATGAAGTAGAACCATTTCCGGGCTGGGACTGGATGAAATCGCCCCAGCTTAACGTATCCTGTAAAGTAGACTCTGGACGCTGGCTAATATGATCCATGTGACGGGTCCTTGGTTCCTCGGGCTTGCTCGGAGATATCGCCATGGCAGTATCCAGGTTCATGAAATCCGTAGTCGGGGGAAATCCGGTGGGCATACGAAACGACATATCTGGCAATTGTACCGGGCTGAGTGGCTCCCTGGACATCCTTGGTCTCTCGTTCTCCTGGCGAGGGACGTGGGCGATAGGTGCGGGGGTGGGCGCAGACACGGGCGCGGGTGCTGGAGCCTCGCTCGCGGCGCGTCCGTCATCGTGAAAGCAGGCGTGATGCGAACACATGCACCAGACGGAGTTATCAGATCCCAGGCTATCCGTATATGCCTTACCGGCGGCGAAGCGACTCCAGAATCGACGGCATCCGCACTTGGCTCCGTTGGCGCCAGGTGTTAAGTCCACATAGTTGCATGCTCCTCCAGGGAGTGGAACGGGATTGCGCTGGGCAGCGCCATCGTTGTAGATATCGAAGAATGAAGAGCCCGGTAGAGGGGGATCAAAAGGTGTTGTTGCCATTGGCGGCAGCAATGCTCATCGGGGAAGTCGCGAGATGTTCGGACGGCGATGGGATGGCGCAGGAGCTTGGGTCCCGGTGAGCTGGGATGGGAGGTCGACGATGTAGGTTGTTGTCGTGTGTCGGTGTCGGTGTGATGGATGAAGTTGATTGAAACGAGACGAAGGAAATGCCTATGCGGCCCAAACCAGGGCCCAGCTGGGTCGCAATCCGAGAGACCTAGAACATTGCAGCTGCTGTGGTAGTTAGCCCTCTGATCCTCTGTCCAATAATGGGAGATATATCCTGGATGGAAGCTGGCCGGCACTCGCAAGCCAACCGGGGAAACCCTCAGGCCGTAACACGCACCCGTGACGGAATAGATGTATAACAAATCGGGAACGGGAGGTCGGATTCGCGAGAAGCTTCGTCTTATTTGTATCTGCATGCGCCGGCTTGGTGAAGAAATGTACGGATCGTGTTGCGACGCCTAGGCGAACGAGAGCGAACAATTGAGTGGTGGGGGAGATGCTGTTGATAGAAAGTGAGGCGGTTACTGGATTGGGCAGCACAAGCACGACCGAGGAACCTGGGCGCTGGTTGATGGGCGGATGGGCTAATCGAGGCGGAGGAAGTGGGAACCTGGAGCAGCAGCACTGGAAGGGAAATGCGCGACAAGTAACCGGGAACGAGGGAGACGGGTAATTAGGAACGAGGCATGCGAAAAGGTGGAGAAGAGAAACAAGTTCAAGCAGCGAGCTTCGCTCAGCACAGGTTTACGGATACCGTTTGCTCGAGGTCACAATGGGTTAGCGAAGCGGGTGGGCTTATGCAGGTTGGCAGGAATGACTCGAAAGGAGTTACAGGGGTCTACTGATATCTCGACTGCCGTCCTAAGGCTGCCGTTTGAAGTCTGTCAAAATAAAGATAACATGGTCCGTATATTCGTATAAGCCGTGGTGTGAATTGCGTTGAGATGGCGGCAATTCAAGCTGTGATGCGGCATTACGGATACACTAAGGATAGGTGTGGGTGTGTAGGTGTGCCTGGCGCTGTAGGAGAAAGCTCAGTGGGCGCCTCTCGCCTCTCTTGGGAAGAGATGTGGTGGACTTCAGTGCAAGTCTGCAGGAAGCTACCTACCGATAGCTGTGCAGCATGAGCGCTTCTGCCGCGCTGTTTCTTAACCGGCCAGGCCTGTTGCAGGCCTCCATGGCGCCATGGGAACCTGAAGCAAGCCCACCTCACAGCAGGCGCGAGAGCAGACCAGCAGACCAAGAAAGCAGGGGGAAAAGACATCAGAAAAAAGAAAGACGCAAGGATTACGAATGATTGGATGTCCACGACCAGAAACGCGTCTTCTTCTTGCTTGCCTGCCATGGGTTAAAGTGTCCAGCTTGTTGGCCCCGCCCGCGTATCCCTGCAAGCTCCACGTCCTCGGAGCCCCGATTGGCATGTAGCGGAAGCATCCCATTGGCCCAACGCCAAACCTCGAGCGACTCGGGCCCCCCTTCTTTCCCTGAGGTCCTCGCCAGCCACTTTTCCACCGCAACTTTGCATGACCGGGTATCTTTGTATCTTTCCGTGTCACGACTCCAACGTTCACGGCGGATCTGATACCATCGACCAGGAGTCGTTTCTCTCACCGTGACCTTGTAGTCAATCCCTGGTTCTGCTCTTAGTTCCAAACAATATGCTCCACTGTAACGAAGACGATGGATGAGCAAGGCAAGGGGTATGCCATTGTGGAGGGGTAGGTCAACAAAGCAACGATTAAGATGGCCGTTCCATTCCAGAGATGGAAGGACACAATCCGAGCCACTATCATTGATTTGACGTGGTTGGATCGACTATACACTATAACTTTCTTTTCTCAAACAATTCAGCACAGATCAAAACCTGGGGACGGCGGCAAAGAACAACAAAGCAAAGAAGAAGCAAAGCACGCGTTGTCCGCGCAGTCGATTGCGCACTCTTCGTTTCTATAAACGTTGGAGGGGTGTTCTCGCGAGATCCACGAGGCGCGGCGGGATTAAGCCTGATGGCCGTGATGGGCGTGAACGACGCAGACGGACGGACAGAACCCTGGATTTCTAGGTCCAAGGCTTAGTCGCTTGATGGGCAAAAGACCCAAGCACACAAGCACGCGCTAGGCTGACGCTCAATGATGCTATCCATTCGCAACACCCGTGAGGCGTTCCGTCCGGGGTCCCGCACGGCGATCCCGCCCTGTACGTGAGGCAGCCCTGATCAAATGACTGGTTTTCAGGCAAAGCAGCATGTGGGAAATTCGCTGCCAGCCTTGTCTAAAAGATTCGGCGTCGTCAGGTTGTGCAAACCTAGGAGTCAAGCCTCGCCATGCATCGTTGGCTGCAAACTGAGTGTGAGCCCTTCCTCCGTATTCCATAGTGAGGTGATCCCAGGAAAGGAACTGTGAACATGGTGATGGGAAATGGGAGTCACAGCATTACGGAGTACACCCCCATCTGCACCGCTGACTGGTTAAAGGTGGAGAACTTGTGACGAGCTTTGAGGGATATATCCATTGTCGATCGTTCGTTTCGAGTAGTCGAGATGAGATGTGTGAACGACGGATGGTTTTATCGCAAGCTCACTTTCGCCATGCATCTGCCTCGGACTAAGCAGGTAGGTTACTCGTCGGCTCAGTTGCCAAGTTTGATTGTGTCACTCAACCCGTCCCGCTCGGGGGCCAAGGCTCCACATGTGCCGCCGCCTAGCCGGTCCACCGGCCAAAGGCCCGGAGGACTGGTTCGTTCCTTTCCCGGTACGTCTTTCTTACCTTTTGAGACAAGTGTCAATCCTCCGTTCCCGTCAAAGAGACTAGTACCATATCTCAGTGTACGCATCATCCACTGATAACATCACCAGAAAACGAAATCCATCAATACCCAGTAATAGCATGCAAGTAAATACTTTCAGATGAGTGGCCAAGATGTTTCAATTACGCAAACTCAATAATGTTTATATGATCTGTAGATGCTTAGTAGCTCTAAGTCCCTTAATCGTCATGATATGATATGCAAATGCTGTTCCCAATACCCGTCAAACAAGCGACAGTTCTCGACAACTCCCGCTGACCCAAAATAGTAATACACATCTATTGTGAACAGACGCCCATACGTCGCCGCTAGTAGCGGCTTCAGAGAGTGGAAATGAGACGAATGACTCTGCCCGGCTGTTGTTGATGCTCTGATTTACTCAGACTTCGCCCCAGCTGCCCATCGGGCCCACCGAAGCGATGACTGATCCCGTTCCGATGGAACCTCCGATATCCCAATAGTGCCGTGATGAAACGCTGCTTCGTCTCGCCGACCGTCGTGTGCTTTGGCTCGCGCAGCTGGACGCGTGCCTCATGGCGGCGGGGCTAGATGGTGTCGTCGCCTTGAATGTCCTCCGCTCTACCTGTCGGGCCCGGGAGACGAGCGGGTGATGCTGACGCACCCGCGCGGCCTTAGCTGCTGTATCTGGCGTTGATGAGGTGGCAAGGTGGGAAGTACCGGTTATAAAAGTAGATGAAGGTGTCGACCGCGAGCTGAAACGGGATCGCAAGTACCTAAACACGAGGTTGACGTCCAAGTCTTGCTCCCACTCCTCTTGGGTGAAAGTAGCAGGCAATGGGGTTGACTCATCCCTAGTCAAAGGCACGGGAGGATCCGACTGGGGCCGGGTAGCGGGGATGTTGATGGGGCGCGCGTGTTGAACCATTGTTGGCTGGAATTCGGGCATCTTGGTCGATGCTTCTCGTGCCACGGGAGCCATGGCCGTATCAGCGCTCGCCTCTGGTATAGCTGGCAGGCCCGCATATGGAATGGGCATTTGCTGCATGCGAGTGTATGTCGAGAAGGCACCAGGGTGATGATGCGGCGAAAGCTGGTTGACCATCAGGCCAAGCTCTTTTGCGACACAATCCAACGCCCGCAGTTGCCAAGATGAGTCATTGGACTGTTGAGTGGGTGTGTTGGATAAATCTGCGCCCGTCTTGGGAGTTGTTGACAAGTCATCGTCTGACGGCAGTTGCTCTCCAAGCAAGATTGAGAGTAACCTCTCGTCGATGCCCAGGTCGTTGAGGACCTTGCGGGTGATCCTGGCGAGCAGGCCCCGCTCATTATCCTGGGTGTCAGTCGACTCGTAGTGCCAGTCCATGCTGTCAGCATCATCTTCATTTCCGATAGCACTTAAGCTTGCAACGTCCTCGGCCTTCTTTTCTTCCGTCGTCACCGTTGGTCTGACTGAGACCATGGACTGCCGCCGCCGTCTGGTCTCCCTACTAATCTCCTCTAATAAGATGCGACTCTGCTCCAGGCGCCAAGCCTCGATTCTCTGCATCTTGTGTGTCTCTTGTTCCTCCTCGATTTCCATCTCAAGCTGAGCAAGCTCGAGACTCTCGCGGCGCCTTCGCACATGTCTGGGGTTGAATCTCTCAAATGCATAGAGCTGCTCCTGGACCTCAGGGTCGTCTAGCCTGAAAGAGCCCAGGCCATCATGTGTAGGGAGTACAGGGACGCTTTGCGCCCCGGCGGCACCAGCAGAATGTGTGTAAAGGCTTGGAACCGTCCTAAATTCGGGGAGGTGGCTGTCGAGGCTGTCGAGTTCAGCATCGTCCTCGACTGATTCTTCGTCGATGGCACTTGAAAGGACTCCCGACTGCCGGGACTCTGTGTCGCGGGCCGAGTGTAGGAACGTGTTGAGGCTGCCTATGTCACTGAGTCTGGATCGGCCCGGTGTGGGAAGTGACTCCTCCTCTTCGCCGAGGTAGGAAGAAGCTGTCGTCGTGTCATCGGCTGGTTCGAAGAGTACCCACGAGTGGGAGGCATCGGTAGCAACAGGATCTTGGATGTGGAGTTGGGGAATGTCGCGATCCTCCTCTTGCACAGGGCGGACAGCACGCTGCTGCGAAGGTCGCCGGGTAGGTTGATGGAAAGCCATCGTGTTTGTCTTGTTGCCAAGTCGTCGAGTTGGAATAAACACAGGCCGAAGAGGTATGTAAGTAGTTGAGTTGTGTTCGTCCGATAAAGGATGGGCGAACAATCACGATAAGGCCCCCCCAGTCGCGGTATCGCAGTGACGCCTCGATAACGGCGCCCCGTATTAATAGCGTGTTTAGTTCAAGTGTTGTATGTTTGTCGTTTGACAACGTTTTAAAGTCGGTGAACAGGACGAGTTCAAGGTCGAGGTCGATCAGGCATACATAATAGGAAAGAGGTCAAGAAGTGGTCGGATACAGGCCACACACTGGATATATGTGGCAGCAGTTTACTGGAACCAACAGCGGACAGGAAGGAAGGAAGAAAGCGGGATGGATGATAAGAGGAGGACAAGGGGGGGTGTGAGGGGTGGATCTCTCCTACTGGGCCACAGCCA